GACATTGTGGGGAGCCCTGCAGTGCTGGGGGCAGATGTGAAGCGCAGATGTGGGACTTGAGGACGTGACAGAAGGGAGCTTGGTTGTGCTGAGCAGGCACAGGGCTGGGCCTCGTGCTCGTGGGGGCTCCAACATCCCGACGGCTTACAGCGAGCATCAGGAAAATGAGGGATGTGCAAAGTTTGGGGCTGATCCCTTTGTTTCTTCCCCTGTAAGTCGGATTTGGGCTTTTATGGGCAGATCGCAGCTCTCCACAGTAGGAGAGCCGGGCTGCCCTGGCGGGCTGTGTGCAGGATCAATGCATTACAGCAGTGCGCGTCGCTCAGCTGCTGCGCTAACGCTGCTCGTAAAAATCACCTTAGATATAAGTCAGGCTCCGTGGGGACGGGGCTGAGTGCACTCAACAAATAATGAATAGGAATAAAAATAAATATCAAATGGCCCATAAAATCAAACAATAACGGTAACGAGGAAGTTCCTGGATCTGCTGCGAGAGATGAAGTCCCATCGGCAGTCTGAAACAACACGAAATACCCCCTCTGGTTCCCTCTCTGCATGACACAAGTCAGCACGCCTGGTCAGCAGAGCTGTTATGGAACACATCTTCCTTCCAGCGTCGTATAAATGCATTTTTCATGCTTTTGGGAGACTTCAGGGGTTCTATTTAACTGGGATCTGGGGAACATGTGAAAGGCATTTACAGCATGGGGGCTTTTCCTGCCGGGAAGCAGAGGTGCAGCGCTGCGGGCCGGGTGGCAGCAGGGCCATGATAGAGCCGTGGCCTTAAACAAAGGCACTTCTGATAATATGTATACAAACCTAAAAAATGAAATGTGGAAGCGTGAAGTGTAAACCTTGTAAAGAAGAAGGGGGGTGCTGCAGAGATAAAGCATCCCTGGAGGAAGCAGGACGGAATGGAGCAGGGCTGGTGCTGCAGGACGAGGGCTGGGGGTGGCAGGAGCAGCGATCCCAAAACGCAGCACAGCGCGGTGGGCACCGCAGCCACGCAAACAGCAAATTAATGAGTCCTGCTTCCCTTTCTCCCAAAGGTTTTATGGGGCTTAATTAATGAATGTCTGTAAAATGCATTTGGAGCTGGGAATGAAATGTGCTGTGGAAATGCCAAATATTTTTAATGCTCCAGCAGATTTAGAAGGTTTAAATAGGAAAAATACACAGCGTTGCCTCTGAAATAGATTCCTCTCCTTGAAGCAGAGGGCTGCAGAACATGAAGTTTTCATCAGGCTGACTTGAAAGGGTGTTTTCATGGCTTTCCAAGCCCATTTATTCCCCCTTTCCCTTATACAGATGTGGACGCGGAGGCATGGGAAATCAAAGGGATTTACCCACACTCGTTGGCAGAGCCACCAGGATGAATAATTTCCGGATTTCCACTGGCAGTGGAATGCCCTCCTGCCCATCCGCTGCCTCCAGATGCGCGGCGGCTTGAGAAATTACACAGCCCACGAGGCCTGGCCACGGGCACAGCCATGGAAAGGCAGCGAGAACATCAGATGTGACAACAGAACGGCATCCTCTGCAGTGCAGTGCTGCGCCCACACCGCGCGGCTTCGCCTCAAAGCCTGGTCCAGGATGGATGGCTGGGCGATGGTTGGGGTTGGGTAGATAAGGTTGGGTGGTTGGGGTTGGGTGGCCGTTGAGGTTGTTGGATTGTTGAAGTTGGGTGGTTGTTAAGGCTTGGTGGTTGCTGGGGTTGGGTTGCTGTTGGGGTTGGGTTGTTGTTGGGGTTGGGTGGAGAGCTGAGGTTGGGTGGTTGTTAAGGTTGGGTTGTTGCTGGGGTTGGGTGGTTGTTGGAGTTGGTTGGGTGGTTGTTAAGGTTGGGTGGTTGTTAAAGTTGGGTGGTTGTTGCAGTTGGGTGGTTTCTAGAGTTGGGTGTTTGTTGAGCTTGTTTGATTGTTGAGGTTGGGTGGTTGTTAAGGCTGGGTGGTCGCTGGGGTTGGGTGGTTGCTGGAGTTGGTTGGGTGGTTGTTAAGGTTGGGTGGTTGTTAAGGTTGGGTGGCTGTTAAGGTTGAGTTGTTGCTGGGGTTGGGTTGTTGTTGGAGTTGGGTGGTTGCTGGGGTTGGGCGGTTGTTGGACTTCAGCCATTGCCCTCAACGTGGGCAGGTCCGTCCCCAGGCCGGGGGCCATGTAAGCACGTAAGCATGTAAGCCGTCTCCAGAAAGCCTTTCACGCACGGAATCCGGATGGAAGTCGTTCGGCGCTCGGCTGCGGGTCACCGTGCGGCCGCGCTCGCAAACCGGACGGCCGCAGCGTGCAGCCACAGCGCCGTGCGGCTCGGCGCCGTCCCCACCCCCATCTCGGACCCGAAGCCGCTCCGCTCCCCCGGGCCGCGGCACCGCGCGGCCGTTCCGGGCGCCGCCGTCCCGCCGCGGTCCGCGCGTTTCCCGAGGCCGCTCCGCGGTGACCCCCGGCGGTGGCGGAGCGGCTCCCCGCGCCCCGCTGCGCCTTTAACGCGGCGCCCGCCGCCTCCCAGCCCGGCGCGGCCGCGGCGGCGCAGCGAAGATGGCGGAGTCCGGAGGCGCGGAGTTCGGAGCGGAGCGGCCCAGCAGGTGAGCGGGGCCCGGCGCGGCGCGGGGTCGGGGCGGGGCTGCGGGGCCGCGGGGCCGGGAGCGGGGAGCGGCTCGGGTGGGCGCGGGGGCGGGCGGGGCTCGCGCTGTACGGCGGGCCGTTCGGCTCCGGCCCCGCCGCGCTTCGTTCTCCCTTCGCTTTCCGCCTCGCGGCCGGGCCGCCCCGCTGGGGAACGGCGGCGTTCGTCGCTCCGAGCGCTGCGGGAGCTCCGCGGTTCCCGGCCTGCGGTGCTGCCACGCGGCCCCGTGCGCCACAGCCGGGCGCGGTGCGGTGCGGTTTCCCCGCAGCACGGACGCGGCGCGCTGCGCTCTGCGGTTCCGGCAGCACGGAGCCGGCAGCGCTCAGAAGGCCGCGCCGTCCGTCTGTCCGTGGGCGCCGCGCCGTCCGTCTGCCCGCGGGTCGCTGCCCCGAGGCGCTGCGGGGTGGCAGCGGGTTGTTTGGGTTGGGATGAACCGCCCCGCAATGGGGCCGCAGCCCCGCGGCGCTCTCCGTGTCCGTAGGTTTGGTTTTTGGTTTTTTTTTTTGTGGATAATTGAAAACTAAAAGCCGGGTGAAACGTGAGAGCCGCTGCTCGCTGGATGCCGGCGTCACGTTGTAGGTGATGGATTTATGGGAGGACATGGGGAGAAACCTGCGGGGCACACTGCAAACACCGCACTGCCTCCATGCAGCAAGAGGAGAATCTTACTTTGTCCGACCCAAAAGTGCTCCTCGACAGCTCCTTCTGCCCCTGACCTTTTTCACTTATTGAATATTTGCTCTCTGAGGCAGAGGATGAAGCCCTGCCTCACCATTCCTTGCACATGCCATTTCGGTGGTGCTGTTACCCAAACAGCACGGGCAGAATTTCCATCTTTGGAATTGTGACCGCGTGGCTCAGGAGGGCAACGTGCCATGCAGTGCCCAGGGCAGGACGAGTGCGCTGGGAGCCCCTCAGATCTGTGCTGGGAGCCCCTCAGATCTGTGCTGGGAGCCCCTCAGATCTGTGCTGGGAGCCCCTCAGCCACGTGCTCTGAGCACGGCAGGAGCTTTGGGGCTGTGATGGTGTGAAGTGCAGCCACTGCTCTGCGCCCGGTTTGTTTGGGACGTGTGCAGGAGAAGCACACACTGACAGCACGTTTGTGTCCTCTGCAGCATTCTTCTTGCATATTGCTTTGTTGTTTTAACAGCACGTGGTCAGATTTCTTCTTCTTATAAATAAAAGCAAACAGCCCAAATCTTCTCTTTTGAAATAAACTTGGCTTTTTTTTTTTTTCTTTTTTCCTCCCATCCCTGTTAATAGTTTCCTGAGCTACAGCTGGTTTCGTGTTTTGTATTGCATGGAAAGAGCTGCAGTGTTACCCTGCTGGAAAAGCTGTGCTCGGTGCTGCACATGGGGCTGCACTTTGGGTTTGGTGAGCAGAACCAGCAGCAGAAACACCGCAGCCGTCGTACCCCGAGTCAGGGAAGGCAGAGAGATGTGTGAACTCTGCAGCGTTGCTCACAGAGCACAAAGGTCGCACAGAGGTACAGGGAAAATACCTTCTGGGTGCATGGAGAGGATGCCATCACGTAGGCCTTCAAGCAGGAGTTAATTGGGGTGCCCAGATGTGCTGCTGGGGAGGGCTGTGTCTCTCCAGCCTGGGTTGGTCCTATGAGGAAAGGAAGGCAGCCAGGCTGTACAAACACTCCTCAAAGCCTTCCCTAATGCTGTTACACGCTGCCGAAAGCGATCCCACCTGTCAAAACCAGAATGGATGGATGGGGGACCTGCAGGTCCCTCTTATCTGTGAGTACGTGTGCGTTGGCTCACATCAAGAGGAAGGCAGCCTGAACTCCCCTAACCCCGCTGCTCCCGGAGGGGAGGCAGCACAGGCAGCAGGGCAGGGTGAGGCGATCGGGTGAAGGAGGATCACAGCAAGGGCTGGTCTGCCTCACCTCCGTGCCGCTGTAACCTCACACAGCTTCGCTCTTTGCTTTGACATTCTTTCCTTTTGCAACCGTACGAAGCTCTGTGTGGTTTGTGTGTTCTGTACTCTGCCACGTGGCAATCGAAAAGCAGATGTAGTTGTTAGATCTGGTAGACGTGGTGGAAATGTTTGCACTCTGATTGAATCACTGTAAGAAATCGCTGCTGCTTTCTTGTGCGATGTTGGGAGACTTTTGAGCTGGAGGCTTTATTTAGACCAGAAGAAAACCCCAGTGATTCTGTACAGGTTTTTCTCCTGCTCAGTATTGGTGGCTCTGTAGAGAAGTGTCTCACATTGTGGGATGAAGGCTGCGCTGTCTCTTCCAGTTCCTTATTTGTATGAAAGGTGAATTCTGGACATGCAGAGAAGTCAGTGCAGATCAGAAAAATTGGGGAAGGGCTGCTCTGCACTTCTGGCTGCCCTGGGTTGCGTTATGGTGTGAGGTGTGCATGGAGCCAAGCTGCCCAGGAAGGTGTGTGGATGTTTGGGATGGGCCCACACCTGTCTGAAGGTACGTGGGAGGTTCAGGTAAGGAGGGAAGCAGCTGCAGGCAGCCGTGGTGGTGAGATCTGCTCATGGAACTGAACTGGAATTGGTGTTACGGTGCCAAGTGCCGGGGCAGCTGTTTGCATCTGCTGCAAGAAGTGCTTTCTCCAGCCTGCATAAAAGGCATGGTGGGGGTTTCTTGCCCTGCCTGCTGTTCCATCGCTTCGCATTTCTTTTGCTTGAGATCCCTGGCTGCTCAGGGCAGTCGGCTGGAGGGTGGAGGTGTGGGGTGAGGAGGAGCAGCGTGCTGTGGGTCACGGCAGCGTGGCTTTGCTGCTCCCTGCCTGCTCCAGCACCACTCTGTGACTGCACTGCTGTCATCTTTATTGCAGTGCTGCCCAGAGAGTGCTGTAGGGTGCTGCAGAAATGGGCTGAGGTGAGCGCTGCTCCGAGGAGCTCATGGTTGGGTTTTGAAGTTGTCCTCAATCTCTCACGTGGAGCAGAGGGATCAGTGTGGTCGTGTGGGCTGGAGGAATCACTGAGTGGTTTGCTTCTAGGGGAAACTTTCTGCTCTGAACTGCAAGAGGGGCTGAAATGGGCTGTCCCTGACTGAAGGGTGACACAGGCACTGCTGCCTTGTGATGAGCTGGGAGGCTGGGACGGGACCTGGAGCAGCTGAGTTCCACCACTCAATCTCTGAATACAAAAAAGGGATCCCACCATGCTGACCCTGGTGGAGGCAGCGGCCCAGCCGTGTCCCTTTGGGGTGGTCCTGGTGGCTGTGCTGTGCATCCCAACACCACTGGGCGCCTCCCAGCCTTTGCTCAGCGGCTGCTGCCGGCGGTGGGTGGGGGTGCAGGAGGCACCCGCTGCAGCTCTGCTGGCTGAACGAGGACAGGGCAGCTCTGGGCCTGCTGCTGGTACCTCTGATTTGGTCTCGCTTGCTTTCTTTTCAAGCCAGGGTTTGATTGTAAGGGCACGTGGTGGGAGAAACCGACTGCTGGCAGCGCTGCCTTAAAACAGCATCACAGAGTGCATCGGAAGCCACGCAGCGTGGGGATACGGTCACATTGAATGCAGTGTGAGATCTGCTGTCCTTCCGGTGGTCCTGGAGCCAGGAGCAGGGGGGGCAGCTGGCTGCACTGCTGCCCATGGCTGCCACAGCGATTTATGTGCTCTGAGTGATTTTTGTGTTGGCTCAGTTTGCTCCGGGCTCAGTGGGATCGGCTTTGGGGCCGACAGGAATCCGATTGCTGTAAGGTTTGGGGATGGCACCTTCAGGCAGTGTGAAAGCACAGGTTGTGGCGGTGGCGTTGCTGGTGGTGGCACAGAGGTGAGCCTGGCTCTGAGACGTTTTGAAGAATCTTGTTCTTTTTTCTTTTTTTCTTTTTTTCTTTTCTTTTTTTCTCACCGTTTGTCCCCGGGTGCAGCCTGTACTGACCATTCCCTCACGTTGAAACTCCACGAGGTGGCACAGAGTTTAATGTGTTCGGATGTCTCGCCCTTCACTTTTTTGTTCCATGCCCCAATGCACCATTTCACCAGCCAGCTTTTGACAGACATCCAGTTTCATTAGCGCTTGTAGCAGAAACCCAAATCCCACCTCCTTTGGCTTGCAGACAACCTACGATGGAAGTCTAGGCAGAATATATCTGTGTGTGTGCTGGGCTCTGCCTGCACCCGGTCGGAAAGCAAACAAGAGAAAGAGATGCAGAGGTGTTCAGACTTCTCGTGATACAAAAAAATAACAATAATGTTAAGATAAAGAAGAAGTTGAAAAGACCTTTGCCTTGCAGTTGGGTCCTGGGGGTTTCCTTGGCTTTGGGACAGGTGGGGTGGAGGCTGCTGAAGGACAAGCAGTAAGTGGATGGGGAGGACCAGATTCAGAACTGACAATAGTGACTCTGTATTGTTCTCCCTTCTCCAGACATGAACTTTAACTTTGAGACTGGAAGTTTAAAAGACAAAAGGTTTTTCAAATCGCTGCTGAATTCTCACTGTTCACTTTGAGACATTTTACAGAAGACCATTTTTCCCCACAAAGCATAAATCCTTCTGAAGCTCAAACTCATTTATGATCCTCATTTGAGCGCCCCAAATTGCGTGTCTTCTTCTAAATAGAGATGTTGGTCTCAGGCTTTCCACTTGCATTTATTGCCTTTGATGAAAAAGAGGGTGTCAGGAGGGGAAAGTGAGCGAGGGAAATAGGAGGAATTAAGGGGAGGAGGTGGAAAAGGGAGCAAAGAAATTTTGCTCACGTATCTTTCTAAAGATGACGGAACCATTGCCTTCACTCAGTGTGTTAACATTTAATTAGCTGCCGTGCTTATTGCTGTTGCATTTGCTAAGGACTCACTGGCAGGTGCTGTTCCTGGGGGTTCTGTGGCAGGCCTGCTTGCTGCTGTGCTGCCAGTGGGTTACGAGGGCAGGAATCCTTACAGTGCAGCTCTGCTTGCACCCAAAGGCAGCTGTGGCATGGGGGGGGGGGGAGTGCAAGGTGCTGAAAACTCCTCTTCAGCATTGGGGCATGTGATAGGGAGCCTTAGGATCTGAAATATTGCAGTAACCATGGCTACCAGTGACTTATCTGAGGGAGTTTGACTTTTGTTTTGATTTTATGTGTCTTAATTGTAGTTTAAAAATCAGAACCTGAATGTGTTTTTCACTTAGGCGTGAAACTAAGGGCATTAAATGATTTGCATTATTAAAGTATCTATAATGCTGCCTTTCAAACTTATTCTCGAGGCAAGTCCTTAATATTCATACAGTACGTGCTAAATAAAGTCACTCTGCAGCTTTATGGTGGTTCTGTTGCTCTCGCCATAAAGAATTGTTGCAGGCTGGAGTGCTCAGAAGGTGCCTGGCCGGCTATTTTGCAATCCCAAGCCCTTTGTTTATGTGGCACTGCGTACTTTATGTGAACACACACAAGCTGCTGCTTTTCCTCTGTCCTCTTTTGTACCCCAGCCATGCCCCGCGGGGTCCTGCCTTCAGAGCTCATGTTTACTGTAGAGGCTGGCTGCTGGAAGGCTGCCCTGCTTGGAAATCTTGCCAACCCCCTTGAGTTCCTCCCGTATGAAACATTACTGAGCACCACCTGCCCAGAGAGTGGGAAAACGTGGGTGGATATTAGCAGGGATGCTGAGCAGGGATACAGAGGGATGCTGAGCAGGGATGCTGAGCAGGGATGCAGAGCGATGCTAGCACCAGAACTATCCCTCTTTCCTTGGAGGACCATGTTATGAAGGAAGAGTAGCAGAAGGCCAGGCACTTGTGCAGCACAAGAATTTTTTCCCTTTGATTCAATGGCTGAAATGTTTCCTGGTGTAGTTCTCTCTGTTTGTACTTCTGCAGGAGTTACAAACACGCTGAAATATGAACTCATGCTTCGTAAGCCTTTAATTCCAGCTTTGATGTATTTAATCATCAGTACAGATTTGGTTAAAAAAAAAAAAAAAAAAGTGAAATGATTCATTAGCTTGAAATGCATCTTGGATTACGCTCGGTGCTGTGCAGGACGGAGGAGGCAGAGCAGGGCCAGCTGTCCTGAGAGCAGAGCATGGGTGAGGCTGAGGTCAGTGCGGCGGGCGGAACGTCGCCATCAGTGCTCTGGGCAGTTCCTGGGGCTGTTCTTGGAGGCACTAAAACGTCCCAGCCCATCAGCTTTGGAGGTCTTGTGAGTGTCCAGCCCTGTGTTCTGATGCTTCCTCACTGTATCTGTTTTGGGTCTAAAATCAAGCAGTCCTTGCTTGGGAATGTGTCAGTTAGGATGTGGGGCAGCGTGCTTGGGGTGAGGATGAGCACATGGCCACGCTGCTGCAATAGGTGCAGCAACAAGAGGAAAAATTCTGGACTTGTTTGCCTTCCCTGCCTGCTGTCTGCTGGAGCCGCTCCCTTAGCCCTCGCTTTCACCTTTTCCCCATGCACGTGGGTTGTCCCCAAGCTGTGGTCACGGATCTGTGCTGAGCTCTGTCCTGCAGTGACTGGAGAGGATTGAAAGCAATCTGGCTTCAGAACAGCAGCTTGGAGACAAATCCTCTATCCCATTACTTGTTCCTGGCAGTCCCTTTTTGACAACCAGGTTGGGGAGGGCTGCCCAAAGCAAGTAGTCCATCTTCTCAGTGTCTGTATTGAAATCCAGCTACTAAACCAATCCGTATCACCTCCATTTGTGCCATGGATGCAATTGTACTCATATGAAGATGCCTCTCATTGCTTCGGCTCTTCCCATATGGAAAGTGGGGTTTCTGTCCTGGTAAAGTCACTTTTGTATTGATGTATTCATGTTAAAGACCCCCTTCATGTCACCATTGTCAGACAGCTGTGCAGCCCATGGGATGTGCCATGGAGGTGCTGCTGGTGTGGCTGACACTCTTCCTTTTTACATCTTTCAGAGCAGGAATGCAGCGGGATGCAAAGCTCTGCCATCTTCTTGAGAGCAAAGATGGAGAAATGAGGAAAATTCCAGAAGCTTGAGAGCCCTGCCTGCACCTGTAAGGGCAGGGGAAAGGAGCAGAATAAACACTTTCTCTCTATTGTGCCTGATGAATGGCTTTTATCTGCAAGGATGTTCTGAACTGCTGAGAAGGAGATGCGACTCCGCTGAAGTTTGTCTGCAAGGCTGCTTCTTCTATAACAAATTGTTAAGCAACAAATACAGGGCATATTCAGACCTTGCTTTAGAGACAGCCTCACAAAGGCACTTTCAAATGTTCAAGGCCTCCTTTTGTGCTGGTTTAACTCTGGCATCCCACTGCTGCTTTGCTCTCCATCTCCAGCAAGCGGAGCTGAGCTGCGTGGTGATGTGGGGCTGTGCCTGGGGTGACAACTTCTGCTGCAGGCCCCTTCCTACCACCGTGCTGCAAGCACTGCTGCTGTTTTCTCACCTATCTTCCTCCTCCCTCTTTTATTTTTTTTTTTTTGGTGAAGTTTCCTACTGATTCCTCATGGTTTTTCAGTTTTATCTTGCTTCCAGCTCACATGAGTTTCTTCTAAAATGTCTCTTTCAGAATGAATGAAACTGGACATTATCAATGCTTCTCTTACTGTTGGGTTTTGGTTTGTTTTGCCTCTTTTACCTGGAAGATTGTGTCATTGCTGGCTCCTTTTGCTCCATGTGTGTAATAGGAAGAAAGGACCCATATGGGGAGCTTTCCTGGGGTAGCTGCTCACAATTACTGCTGAAATGTATGCAGCACATACAAACTCTTTTCTTCTAGCCCAGAAATATCTTCTCTAAGTTTATTCTCTGGTTATTAGCAGTGGCTGTGGATGTTAATTGAGCAAAAAGCAAAGGGAGGGCTGTCTGTTCAGGTGCTGTTTGGAGAGGCACCCACACGGGGAGGGCTGTGCCATGTTGTGGGTACAGAGAAAGCAGTCGTCTCTGGGTAAATCCTTATGCCAGCACAGGGAAAAGGAACCATGAAAATTAGTCTGACTAAAGCAGTGAAGAAAACTGCCATGGGAAGAATCCTGCAGGAGATGGAGCTGAAGGAAGCTGCAGTGAGCTGTGGGGCTGCCATCCCTCAGGTGTGCTTTACTTGTGCAGTTGGGGCAGCGAGAGCTGGCTGGTGGGTGCAGTGTGCAGGACAAGGCCGTTTCCTTACTTGGGTGTGATGTTTTCTCCTCTCTGCTCCAGCGGATTTCTCTGAAGAGAGGAGTAAAATGAGTTTGACACGATGAATATTCATGTAGTCGCTCCCTCCAATCGCTTTTTTCCTCCGCCATGGGAGGAGGGGGAGTGCAGAGATGTTTCTTGGCTCTCGAAGTCATGGATAAGGGTCTTGTCAGCAAGTGCCTTTCTGCTAATCCTTTTTATTAGAGGAAGGATGTTGTAGCTGGACGCCGTTCTCCGTACTAAGGCTGTTAGCACGCTCTGACTCGGAGGGAGGGATTTCAGGGGAAGCACAGCTGAGTGGTGCCAGTCATCCCAATGAATTTTGGGGCGCAGTTTTGAAGCAGACTGCAAAAATGTGATTGCTGCATCCTGCGGCATCCCAAAGCACTGCAGAGCTGCATTGGCTCTCCCAGTGCTCTGATGGCCGTGACAGATGTCCCCTGGCCTGCCTGTTCTCTAAAGCTTGCAGGAAATTGCAGTCTGATAAGTTAGGCAAGTTGCAAGTCCTGTCCATTGTTCCTTATCGTTTGAGGATTGTTTACATCCCCCATTTTGTTATCCCATCTCCCACACGCTCCTCTAACCTCACCTACTTGTTTGGTCCTCTGTGTGTGGCTCCTGTTGTTGTGGTGGTGAACTCTCTGGGTTGGCTTTTAGCAGATGGTGTGGATTTGTGGACACGCAATGCTGTTTTCCAGATTTGTTGTCATCTATTTGTGATCTTTTTCATGTCACGCTTCCGTAAAACATCCCTTGAAAACATAGAGCCCAAATAGCAGGTGGCTTCTGAAAAGCTAAGATCCATCCTGAATACTGACTGGTTCTTGTGTGTTTTCTTCCCAGAAGAATTCAGAGAACATGGGATGTTGATCCAGAAAACTAGTTCAGACTTGGATGAAGTTTGAAAGTGAGCCTAAGATTTCTCCTTCAGTTGGTGTGAGTGCAGCACGCAGCTGTGCGGGACAAACTGCCCCGTGTTGGCTCAGGAAGCCTGCAGCACAACTGTGGTTACCTCCAGAGGAGCACAGAGTATCTCAGTGTCCTTCCCACTTGTGCAGAATTACTGCTGCTGTTCACCTCCAAACGCAGTGTTCTCGCCGACAAGTGCATTCGAGGCCAAGTGAATCTAAGAGTGATGCTCCACGCACCAAGGAACATGTGTGAGAGGCATTGGGAAAACCAAGGAAATATTTACACTGGGAGGGGACTGTTTACAGTGCAGTTCAAACAGTTGACGTTATTTAGAGCAGCCAGTGCTGTGCAATATTCTGCTTTTGCTCTTCTCAGGAGGGTCAGGCATAAGGAAAGGATCAAACAGGGCGAGCAGGGCTGTCCTTGGACGGTACGGAATATCTAACAGCTGCATTTAGGTTAGGTGGTGAGAAGAATAAGCAACTGTGAGTCAGTCCTGTGGTTGAAGTCAAGGTCAGGGTGGACTCTGGGGTAGCAGCAGTGTGTGGACACCACTGTTCATGGAGACGTTGGCCCTTCTTGCTGATGTTTGACTGGTCCCCAAAGCCCACGTGTGCTGCGGCGTGACAGGTTGTCAGTAACACACGAGTACAAGTGAACGTTTTGGATGTCTCTTTTGTGCTGGGATAAGGGAATGCAACCGAGGTACTGATGTCATGATGGTCTGTGTGGCCGTCGAGCTGGGAATTAGCTTTCAAACTGCTTTGTGTTACAATATCTCCCCCAGCATGCTTTGTAGGTATACCACATATTGTTTTAATTTAAAACCAGCCTGTCTCTCTTGTTCTGTTTTTAGCATGGCTGACAAGAACAGCACCCTGAAATGCACGTTCTCTGCTCCTGGCCACAGCACCACTCTACTGCAGGGACTGGCCTCGCTCCGAGCTCAGGCTCAGCTGCTTGATGTCATCCTCACTATAAATAATGAAGTGTTTCAGGTTCATAAAGTTGTCTTGGCTGCCTGCAGTGACTATTTCAGGTGAGAATCTGATAGGGAAGCAGGCACTGTTACCCCTTGGTTTCTGTTTCCCCATCCTCTCCTACCCCAACCTCCCCACCGTGCCCCAACATCACTCCCCCACACAGCCCTTTGGAGGTATGGTTTGAGCCACAGATGTCAGTGGGATTCCCTGAAGGTGTGTGGAGGTTTGGGGTCTGCCCTTCTGCGTTCTGATGAGGTTGTTCTGCCGCAGCCACTGGGCTGAGACTCATCTCAAGGGCAGGTCTTGAAGCCACGTCGAGAAGGATGAGGCGTTTTGTGCATGTGTTCCCCAGCCCATTGGGAACAGCTGTCCCTCTCTGTAGAAAGCCAAAGCATAGAGATGAGCTTCCTTTGCCAAATTAAGGCATGGTGAACCAATTGAAGAGCAGGGAGTTCAGTCTAAAGTGAAAAATGGACTTCATCCATCTTGCCTCCATTGAAGTCTTGTCTAACAGTTCTGTGACATGGGGTTCTCTCTCTCCATTCAGCAGTCCCTTGACATGTAGGTTCCTTCCTGACCTGAGCAGGTGACCAGGAGCAAGGGATGTAGGCATATCCCTTGAATATCCCATTTCTTCAGCTGCTCCAACGGTGTCCTTCTTAAGGACCCTCACATTTTCCAGGCTGTTCCCTTCTCTCTCCCTTCTGACTCCCCTCGGTAACATAAACCTTCCAAGCTTATCGCTCTCCCTAACAGGCATGCAATTAATGATGGAGCTGATCTTCCACCAAATGCTAATAGCACTATTTGTATTCATAAATGCTGTATGCAGTGCCACTGTTAGTGTGTTTTCCCTGTTGAAATGTAATTGCTGAGTAGGTTTCTTGCTATAAGGTCTGTGGCATTAAGTAAGGTTGTCCTGGGGAACAATGGCAGAATAATCTAGCTTTTGAAAATGCTCTTTATGCAGAAGAGGGGAGGGAAAAGAGTGAAACCGAAGCATTTATATCATCAGCATTTTAAAACCATAACACTTTTTCAAGGAATGGCATTTTATTTGGTGGTTTGTCTTCATCATGGCAACAGTAATGCTTTTCTTTGCTTGTGCACATCCAGCTCTGTATAGCTAATGCATGAGCACACACATGTCTGCATCTCCTCTGGGGCAGGGGATCAGGCAGCATGCTGTTTGGTGACATGGGATATGCAGGGGGATTTTAGCAGAGTGCTCTCATCTGCTGTATGGACGAATAATTGCGAACAGTGTTCCTGGTCACTCGGTTACAGAGAACTGATTTCATGTGCAGATATTTCCTTATTTAGGTCATTTAGCTTTCTGTAGGTTTGTGCTGGACGGCAGCAGTTCTTCCAGCCTGGTTTGGACAGGAAACTTGGAACTCCTGTCTTTTGATAGTGTTCCCAAGGTATTTCTTTATTCCTGTGTTGATGCTAAAGAGGAAGAAGGTCTGTTCAGCATTTTCTCTGAGTAATTTGTATCTTAAAGTCATTGCAGCTCTGACAGTGTGCCTTCACAGTGAATTTACCTCTCAGACATGAAAAAGTAGGTTATCAATGGTGAAAAAATGGCCTAAAATGTGCAGGCAGTTTGAATGGTCTTTGGTGTGACAGCCTTTGTAGGCTTGCTGTGATGTTTGTACAACGATGCTGGGTGGTGAAACTGCATGTCACTGTTCTTCAGCAACCTGGTTTCACTTTGCCTTCCGCAGAATCGCTCTGCTGCTGCTTGTTGAATGCTACACACAGCGCAAACCTTTGCCCCCAAGCCACCAATATGTAACAAAAACTGCTGAAACGTAATGTAAACCTATAAAAAAAAATGTGCACTTATGTCCCCATCACGCCTGCAGGCCCCGTGCCTGGGAAACGCAGCCCTGCTTTAGAGCAGCAGTTTATGAGATGCCTGCGCGCAGCGCTCGGCGTGGTATGTGCTTCCTGTGGAATTTAGAAGCCTCCCAAGGAGGTGATCGAGGGCCTAATCTCAGCGTGGCCTGGTCAACTGATGTGCTTGCAGCTGTGCTGTAAGAAAATCGTTGTGTTTTTTTTTCTTTTTTAATTGCCTTCCAGCCCCCTGCTGTCGTACTGCAACATAACAGACATTTTCTGAAGTGGTCACAACTCCTGTTTTCTTAAGGCATTGGGAAGGAGCCTTGGAGAGGAGGTTCTGTCGTGATTATCAAAGCCTTTTGTAAAATGTATTTGCAATGGCAGTGCTGAAGCCATTGGCTAACTCACCTCCAGTGCAATGGGCGTTGCCTGAAGGCCCCTCTCAGGCCAGCTCAGAGGCTCACTGACTTCTTAGCATGGATGTCTCCCTAAAGTATATTCATCTTCACGCTCACAAATCCTGCATAGTTGAAAATCAGGTAGTTAGAGTTATGGATACCAGCCTGTGCTGCTGCAGATCCCACTGTTACCTTTGGCTGCTGAATATCAGGGATCCTTTGGTCCTGCACACAACGCTCCCTGCTCTGATAGCTCTGACCACTTCCTGGCGCTTTGTCCTGGGAACCATTCCTACATCCACTGCCAGTGAAGCAGCACTGACAAACCTGTGATAGCTGAATGTGACTTCTCAGAACGTTGTTTATGCAAGAGTATGCGATGTTTAATTGCATACTCTTTTTTTTTTGTTTTGTTTCTCCTGGCTTTTAGAGATTTAGCCTTGATTTATTTCCCCCCCTTCATCCTTCCTAAGAGGTTCAGCGTGTTTAAACAAATGAGAAGTACTACATCATTTACGTGCAATTAAAGAGGGGGAAAATTTTGTTTGTGTTCTTGACCTGCAGGGCGATGTTCACAGGCGGGATGAGAGAAGCCAGCCAAGATGTGATTGAACTGAAAGGTGTATCTGCAAAAGGACTGAAGCACATAATAGACTTTGCGTACAGTGCTGAAGTGACTCTTGATCTTGACTGTATTCAGGATGTTCTGGGAGCTGCCGTCTTCCTCCAGATGGTGCCTGTCGTGGAGCTCTGCGAGGAATTCCTGAAATCTGCCATGAGTGTGGAAACGTGTCTCAATATCGGGCAGATGGCCACCACCTTTAGCCTCGCCTCCTTAAAGGAATCCGTAGATGCATTCACCTTCAGGCATTTCCTCCAGATCTCCGAGGAGGAGGATTTCCTCCACCTGCCTCTGGAGCGCCTCGTTTTCTTCCTGCAGAGCAATAAGCTGCAAAGCTGCAGCGAGATCGACCTGTTCCGTGCCGCCGTCCGCTGGCTGCAGTACGACCCCAACCGCCGTGCCAGCGCCAGCCAGGTGCTCTGCCACATCCGCTTCCCGCTCATGAAGTCCTCCGAGCTGGTGGACAACGTGCAGACCTTTGACATCATGGTGGAGGACGTCCTGTGCCGGCAGTACTTGCTGGAGGCCTTCAATTACCAGATCCTGCCTTTCCGCCAGCACGAGATGCAGTCGCCCCGCACCACCATCCGCTCCGACGTTCTGTCCCTCATCACCTTCGGCGGCACTCCTTACACCGACAACGACCGCACCGTCAGCTGCAAGGTGTTCTGCCTGCCTGATGCCAGCGGGCGCCAGTTCAAGGAGCTGACGGAGATGGAGGTGGGCAGCAGCCATTCCTGCGTGGCCGTGCTGGACAACTTCGTCTACATCGTAGGTGGGCAACACCTGCAGTACCGGAGCGGCGAAGGAGCGGTTGATATTTGCTACCGTTACGATCCTCACCTCAACCAGTGGCTGCGAATCCAGGCCATGCAGGAGAGCAGGATCCAGTTCCAGCTGAACGTCCTGCACGGCATGGTGTATGCCACGGGTGGGAGGAACCGCTCGGGGAGCTTGGCTTCCGTAGAGAAGTACTGCCCCAAAGATAACGAGTGGACTTACGTGTGCTCCCTGAAGCGCAGGACGTGGGGGCACGCCGGGGCCACGGTGGGAGGCAAGCTGTACATATCAGGTGGGTATGGGATTTCAGTGGAAGATAAAAAAGCCCTGCACTGCTACGACCCGGCCGCGGATCAGTGGGAGTTTAAAACCCCGATGAATGAACCCAGAGTCCTGCATGCTATGGTCAGTGCAAATAATAGGATTTACGCTCTGGGAGGCCGCATGGACCACGTTGACCGTTGTTTTGATGTTTTGGCTGTGGAATATTATGTGCCTGAAACAGACCAATGGACAACAGTGAGCCCCATGCGTGCAGGTCAGTCGGAAGCTGGCTGTTGTTTGCTAGAAAAAAAGATTTATATCGTAGGGGGGTACAACTGGCATCTGAACAATGTCACAAGCATTGTGCAGGTGTACAACACAGAAACTGATGAATGGGAAAGGGACCTGCATTTTCCAGAATCTTTTGCTGGGATAGCATGTGCTCCTGTGATACTGCCACAGATAACGACCCAGAGATAACTGAGCGCCGCTGCTGGCCGTGAGATCACCTCGTGTTGCATGTTACTGGGATGGTGTGTTGTTTTCCTTGTTTGCAAATGGTATCGTGCATTTTCTGGGCGAGGGAAGGAGAAAAATAGCTTGCGTTCCCTCCTCTGTGAAGTCCCTCCTTCTTTTCTCTTACGTAGTGTTCTGGCAAGCGTGCTTCATCAGAAGCACTTGTCAGCTAGTTAGACTTAGCAGATGTTACAGCTGGAAAAAGCTTTTCTCTTTTTTTCTTTATCTGAAAAGTGTGTGTGTGGGGAGCTGGGGGGTGGGAATGCATTTTGCCAACTTTCCATATTTTTAACAATATTACACATTGCAAACATTGACAGCTCAGGAGTAACTAAGTACTGTGGTATGTTTCAAAGAGTTCAGGTGTGATTTTTACTAATAGCTCCAAAAATCATTGTGTGTCGATTTGTTGTTTTTTAGCAAAGAAAAAAACCAAAACCTGTATAACACACTGACCTCCAGAAGCAATAAAGGGACAGCGGGAGCTAGAAGAGCTCAGGTGCTTGGGTTGTGAAAGCAGATTCTTGCTTTTCAGAGGTGACTTGCTTTGTTTTCCCCATCCAAGAAGGGGAATGCTTACCCCTGCACACCTCTGGCCTCTGTTGGTTCTTCATTGTTTGGATTACACTGCAATTCCAGATCCCCTCCTCACCCCCTGCAGACATCAGCGTGATATTCTTGTCCAGAAATTCTCCCTTAATTGGGGCATCCACGGTTCACAACACTAAAGCCATGTTGATAACTTGATTACACATAAACGAGCACGATTTTTTATAACTGCCAAAAATTTGTTTGGCTTCACTGGCAATAAGAGCTCGGCAGCTGTTATCTGACCCAATAAAGGCTGAAGCAGAGAGCACCCAGGGGCTGTGCAGGACCCTGCTGCCTGCACGCATCACCCCCAGCCATTCTGCACAGGGAGGTGGGTGCTGCTCATTCACCTGCTGAATGGTTTTCTCTCTTGACTTGTAAATAAGAGACTGGGTTTCATGGCAAGATGGAAGTCCAGGCGGAATGGCCTTTGTTGCTGGTGGGTATTTTAAAGTAAGAGATTCGTTTTAAGATGGCTCTGTCATTTTTGTAAAATCTGTGTTTGCTGCACAGAATACTGTTATTTCTTGAACTGTCCTTTCCTCCAAGCCATTTTTTTCTAATTAATTTTGACTGATAAATGAAGTTGAAGTTTCTTCCTTTATCAGGCATTCTGTTTCAAGGGCTTTGTTTTGTATCTGTGGAAGTTTGGTTTTGATGTACGCAGCCTCCTTTTCAGAGAAACTGTTGCATTCTGCTGGTTAAATAAATGCCGTGCTGTAACCCTTAGAGACAATGTATAATGTCTGTTTTGCGGATGAATCACTCATCAGGGCTGTGTAAAGCATGAACTCCATACCTCAGATTCACTTAAAGATATTTCTGATGATTAAAGCACTTTTGAGTATGTTCTGCTGCGAGGGCACGTGTTTCTCAGTTCATTTCTGCATTTGAAATTTTAGTTAAAATGATGCATAGTTTGGTTTGTTTCTATCTATCTGCTGGTTTGCCAATAATAAATTGATGGAAAGTGCTTGTTGGTGTTCAGAATGCTGAAGTCAAGTGGGCAAGCCCTGCTTCTGTGGTGTGCAATGCAGCCAACTCTCCTGGTACCACCACTACCATCTGTGGGCACTGCAGAGCAGGTGCTGGGAAGGGTTTCCACGTTCTCTCACTGGGACTTGCAGCAATGTGCTGCAGGGTACCACCTCTCCTGGTTACCAGGATGTTCTTTTTATACCAATATAAACAATTATTTTTTGTAACGTGACCTGGAAGGACTCTAGCTGTTCTGAATTTAGCACAGGCTGGCTAAAGTATTTCTGAAAGTGGTATAATCTGTACTGATAGTAGAGTTTGTTTGACTCCTGTGAAGTACATAGCTGTGGCTCTGGGCCACTCCATACGTACCCTGTGTGGTATTCTGAAAATAAACTGCTTTGATTCTCTGTATTGAATGAATTTGATGGCTGGATTGGGCTCTTGGTGAAGTGATCTTGCTCTACGGCTGGGCTGGAGCAAGTGCAGCTGAGGATGCTCTGCCTGAGGAGCAAAGAGACAGGGCTCCTCTCTTCTTCAAGAATGAACAAAGCCAGATAAATGTTTGATTGCACTCAGAGCCATTTAGTAGTCTCAGAGCAGCAGTAAATGCTATCAGGGTAAACCTGATTTGGTATGTTCGAAAATACCTTTGAACAGATGGAGACCAGTGAGAGCACAGCATCGTTAGCTCTAGGTATCTGCAGTGTGCGTGTCCCGTCAGGGGCTGCTGTCAGGGCTGGGATAAGAGCTTCTGTCTTCTCTGATGTTTTATGGGCCTGAAATTGTGCTTAAAACTATAAAGGAAGAAAGCACTAGAACTCTTGGCAGGGTGCAGAACAGCTAGAGATGGGGAATGTCTGTATCCTATTAATGGTGTCACTGACCCTTTTCCAGAGGGTCTGTCGGCTCGGCAATCGACTGTCATTTCTCCCCACACAGAACCTCAGTAATTCGTGCAGACATGGCCCAGCTTTTGGGAGGAGGTCTGGGAAGTTTAGAAGCAGCAGAACATCTCATTTCTTTGATTTACAGTGAAGGAGGACACTCCCACCAGCTCTTGGTAGCCTGGTGCTGATGTAAAATGATGCTGTGCAACAGAACTGCTCAGGACCTCTTGTAAGCCACATCAAACCTATTCAGATGTTTTCACTTCCACGTCTGTGATAAGCTCTGTAGTTGCTGAAACTCTGCAAACTTCAGGAGCATTTATCATACTATGATTATTGAAGCCAGACTACTGTCAGAATAAATAAAACATGTTTCCCAGTGCAACTCTAATTATGATTTTGAGCCAGTTGTGTAATGTGCAGAACTTTTATTTACAATAAATCTTCCAGTTGCTTGCATAAATGAATGAGATTTCACCACTTGTGACTTAAGGACCAGGAGAAATGAATGTGGTTGAATAAATTTACTGTCTAGCCTGGGTGTGTCGGCATGTCAGGCGTGTGAGGGAGCAGAGCTGCTAGCAGTGCCTTCCTAGGAGGGCTCACTTATCTTACATTTCACCTGGGAGCATATACGTAACCAGATATTTCTTTCCTAAAGTTATTTTTCTGCAGAGACAGCTTAGATTCTGCTCTGCATTTTAATACTGAGTAGGCACAGCGTCAGCCCACAGGCTGCAGAACTTTTGTTTCTCGTTCCAAGCTAATAACTGAGCTTCAGAAACACGCATTCAGTGCTTTCCAGATTAATATTTCAACTTCAGGGAGTTTTGGAGAGGAGTTTGAAACTTTGCTCATGGGGTGGTCGTGATTTCAGCTGCTCTAACGCTGCTGCTCCATCAGGTGAACACGAAATGGACTTTCTGCTTGGAGACAGCTGCTGGTTTAGCTCTGCAACCTGAAATCAGCCTCAGATTGTAAGAGAAAGAATTGAGATTTAGTACAGAGCAATGGTGGGGCTTCCAGAGAGCAGCATCAGAGTAGTGTGTGCAGCTTGCAATGGAAAGAAGAAAAGCTGTTAGAGCAAAAGTATTCAGAAGACTTTATAAGCTGAAGAGAGCAAATCAAAGGTTCCTGTCTTGATCCCTGAGGCTCTGCAGTTGCTATTTCACACCCAGGCCCCTGTCACGTAATTAGCTCGAACTATTTTTTATGGCTTCTTAAAAAATGAAAATCTTTTTTGCTTGTTTATGCAGGCTACCAGCCAGTGCTTCTGGCTACACTGCTTTATATCTGCAGCAATCCCTTTGAAGTCACTGGAGTTGCAGTACATTAACACTGGAGTGCCTAGAGCAGAATTCATCCCTTTAGATGGATGTAACATTTTTGATCTATGTCTTCCGGTCACAATGCTTTGAAAATGCACTAAAAGCCCTATTTTACATGTGGTATCTGGTGGTTCTAATCAGACTGCTAATCTGTGTCTCCCTATAAGGTTTGCAATCGTTTGCTCTAGGTGCATCCTTTTTCCTTTGGTTGGCTGGTTATTTTCCCCTTGCTGTGGGCTCTGGTTGAACTACGTGCCCCTTATGGGTGCAGATTTACTGCTTGGCACTATCAATACCTGCATTCAGTATTAGTGCCTTCAGGACAGCGGTTCACAACTGGATTTAGAAGGAATGTATGAATTTTGCTGAGGTTTGGAAAAGAGAAATTTGCCCTGTGGTGCAGTTAGCATGTCTGGACCTTAATTTTGCATGCTTTGGGGATCTCGCATGATGAAAGCTTTCTTATGCCAAATATATGTGCTTGCTATTTCTTAGGAAGAAAATCAAAGCATATACTAGGTAAAAAAGGTTCAATTTAGGGTTCAGGGGAGTAGAGATGCTCCCCATGCACACGTATATGCTCACTCATGAGCTGTGCATTCTGGGGCACATGTCCCATGCTGCTTGCTGCAGCCTTTCTCTGCTTTCTATGGTGCCGTGCTGTGCTTGAGGCTTTTTCTTGTGGTATCTGAGTCTTTCTGATAGACTGGTGTGTTCTTTCAGGCTGCAGCTGCTGTGGGGTAAGAGGAGGAAGGAAGGGATTCTATCTGCACTGCTTCTGTTGATAGTATTGATCTAGCAGTGTGTCCACCCATTGTAGCAGGGCATGGACGACCATAACAGCAAACCTTGATCCCAGGCCAGATGTTCGGCAGGTATTCAGCCAAAGGCTTAAAGCTTGCACTGGAGAACCGCCCATTTTCACAGTGAGAAACAAGTTGTTACATTCCTTTTGGGGATTTTGCAGAGCAGCAATTAGAGTTGGAGTGAATGACTCCCTGCTCCCATCTGAGAGGCGAAAGGGACTTCTTAGAAATGCTCTCCTGGGAAAGCAGTCCTCATAGAGCAATCTGTGTTGCTCTCGTGTAGGGCAAAGAGTATAAAATCAGTCACAGGAGCCAGCAAAACGGGACTGTGGGGGCTGCTTCCTCACCTGCTGAGGAATGGACTTTGCGTGGCACTCCTGCTCTACTGAAACAATTGAAACTCAAGAGGTGCCTGAATTTGACTGGTGTGTTTGTCTCACTGGTCATCGAGTTTTCGGGCAAACATTATCAGTGTCTGCAAACAGATTTTCCCTCACCCTTTTTAATATCTTCAGCATAAAAAAGCATAAGATGAGCCTTTAACTTACAGGCAAAGATATATGCTAAGGCCTGGAAATAGCAGGGGCTGGTTTTACACAGGGTTATAAACCAGAGGAGTAGGCAGGTAGTTAACTATGTGAAGCCTATTAGCCACAAATGAAACAAATGGTTAATAGTATTGTATTTTTGCTGTGGTATATTTCTGCTTAAAGGTAGCAACAGCAATGGTGTAATCTCTCAGTGGTTAAAAAGTATTTCCCAGTTTCCTGTTTGTTTCAATGAAGTGCATAAATCTTAAGGGTGCCTCACCTTTGAGTGCTGACTGTGAGTGTACCCGCATCGAAAGCTTTGCCTCCTATTCAAGGGTTATCTTTGGAAGGACGAAAAGTGGCTGCTGCTTTATCAGCTCGTATCACCTTAGTATCATGGGAATACTTCTTGCTTCAGCGTGGCATGAAGCCAGGCCTTGATTCTGGGAAAAATAACTGGACCAGAATCCTCTGTGGGGTTGCCAAGGTATTATAGAGCACCAGAAGATAAGGCTTGTAGAAATGAGAATATCTTTCAGCAGCCAGTGTTTGCTTTCTTTCTGTAATTTTAGAATTTACAGGGAATGGTGAAGAAACTAAGCTGGAAGGATGGTGATGGCATCATCAGGGAATACTGGTGTTCAGAGCAAGGATCTCCCCAAACTCCTTGCAGGAGAGCAGAGCCAAGCATCCCATGTGAAAGCAGTTTGGTTTGCTTGGGCTGCTTATCAGATTTGAGGTGCTAATTTAGGTGCTGCCCTGTGGAAGCGACGATCTCTTACATTAAAGAAACAGGAGAAATGCTGGGTGAAACAAGAAAGTGTTCTCCCACTGAAAGCACAAGTTGGAGCTTAGTTCAAAATAACATTGAAACTACGGACTCTGTGGAGTTCACAGGAGATTCTTTGGGGATAATGGGAACGTCAGTCAACGGGAACATTAAGTAGGAAGTGCGAGAGATCAAAATCTTTGTGTCTGTAAGCAAAAGGAAAAAAATAAGGTTAGCTTACTTGTCGATCAAGGCACAGCTCACACTGCTGTGCTGTTGTGTAAGCTGCTCAACCTCACACCTTCCTCTGGAGCCTCTAAGGGAGAATACGGAAGTAGCTGGATCTCATCTGCCAGAGCAATTCCGAAGGATCTAGAGGATACCAAACAAGTGATAAGTAAACAAAACCTCCTCCCTGCAACCCGCTCGCCCTCGGCTGCATCTGCTTTAAGAAGCTGCAGCTTGCTCAGTAAGGAGTTGTTTGCAACAAAAGCAGATGTGAACACAACACCCCAGTCCTCCAATGACTCTTTGTTTGCTTCAGAGCAAAGCTCTGATTCTCATTTACAAGAAACTTTTTCATAACACGTCTGGAAGGCTGGGAGAGATAGAACTGCTGTCTCAGGGGAACCCATCACAGCTTTCTAGTGAGATCAAGTTGTTCTCACATGGCCCCATATGTGCTCAAGGTGAAGACGGCGGGAGACATAAATAATACTTATGGTATGAGCTCATCATTTTGTCAAAGACATGGCATATCTCCTTCAGTGGAGGAAGAAGGAAACCTGGCACCAATCTAAAATGTCTCCTTGCCAATGTCTTAATGCAGTCAAGATTTACATTGTCTGCTAGGTCATGCACTTAGCAGCCATTCAGATCCACCCACACCCCAAAATGAGGAGCTGTGAGTGGGTGAGAAATTCCAGAAGCAGCTCAGCAAACACAAGTGTTGTATTAAAGAGAAGTTAGTTACGCAAACTGTTTTAAAATCAGAGACATTAAGATCAGAAGCAGGGCCCAGATTGCACAATGGAATTCAATCTGATAAAGCTGCACAGGCAAAACAATAAGAGAAGGGAGTCTTCCAAAGAGAGGAAGTCGACCCCCCCCCCTCCTGCCTGGCCATCTGTGTTCCTTCCCCACAAACCCAGAGCTGGAGAGCCGTCAGAGGGGAGATTTCACTCTCTTCAATCTTGTGAGATCCAAGAGGGAAAAATTTATCAAGTTTCATCTGAGGCACTTAATCTTTTGGCACTGCAAAAGGCAGAGTGACAGCTGGGTCTGTAGATGCTTGTTATTACCACCTATAGTATTAAATCCAGTGCAATTTAACAGATTACTTATCGTTATCTCACTTCTCAAGCAAAAACAATGTGGATAATGGGTATCTTAGTGTTAAATCTTGAGGTTTATATGCTTTTAGTGTGACAGACCAATTTTGCAGGTCATGTGCTGTTCATGTACACATCCAGAGGGTATTTATCTGAAAGTGAGTGCTGGCTGTTTATGCCTGGTCAGAAATACAGGAACAGGTTAGGCTAACATCTGTCAGGAATGACATGGCTGATCCTGCAAGGAAATGGCCTGGATGGTCTTCTAAGCCCCAGCTCCCTTCTCCACAAAGCTCTTTCTTCTCACATGATAAACTTTGAGTCCAAGCCGGCAACTAGAATCTAGAGTAGGACATGACTTTATTGCTAACGCTCACCTGACGGTTGCTGAGCTGAGTTTCATCCATCTATCTCCTGCAGCCTTGCAGCGGTGGATAATTACAATCTATTTTTACGTGGGCAGGAAGTGCTTATCAGTGGCTGATAAGCAGACTGAAACGGGGCCGCGGAGGTGATCGATAGTGGAAGTGAGAGCAGTGTCTGATTTCTTCGCTCTGATTTCCCAACCCTTACAGGATTGGGTTACAGGAGGAAGCACTGCTTAGGGTTGAGGTGATGCTCCAGAGCAGGGGAGCACCCGCTTTTATCTCCGATGCTTCATAAAAAAGAAAGCATAAAGGGCAGCGTGTGGGTGTGAGGAAGCAGCGCTGTCAGGATTTATTACTGCCTAATGGTGCGTCTCACATATCGCAGTGCTTTGCACCAATCCGATGTTAACACAGCTGGAATCAATGGCTCAGCAGCCTCAGCCGGTGTTTGGAAACCTGCAGCCCACAGCCAGCAGGGCTGTGTCTGTCAGCTCATCCACACCTCCAGGAGGACATCAGCCTGGTGCTGCTGCACTCGGGCTCACCAAGAAGCAAAAGGTGATGCTGGGTGTGATGGGGGAACTGGCAGTGCCTACATGGGAGGATGGCTCAGTTCTGTGCAGGTTGGAGTAACGCAGCTGTGGCAGCTGCTTCACCTGTGGGCCCACACACTGGAACCCCACAGACCAGAACCCACACAGCGCCAGCAGCATCGCCTCTGCCCGGTGCTCTGGGCATTGCTTCGTGCATCCTATCCTGCAAAAGTGCAACTCCAAGCCCTGAGGCTGCAGAACCTCAGTGCAAGGTCACAGAAAGCGTAATGGATGGCTCTGCCTGGTCTGGCTGCCATTACAGCTCCCTGCAGCAAGGCAGCTCACAGTTGGACGCCTGCAGGTCCCCATAACTTGGGCTTCTCCACAACCAAAGGAATGGTCCAGAGGAGCCTGGGGACATGGGGGCTCATGTTGGTGATCAGGCAGGGCATAAATAGCCCAAAGTATCCTTAGAGACTGCACATAGCAGGGGGGTTGAAACTAGATGATCATTGTGGTTCTTTTCAACCCAGGCCATTCAGTGATTCTATGATTCTATGAAGCAGCTCTGGGGAGATGGGAAGACAGTTTCCAGGCTCAGCGGTTCTGCGCTTTTTCTGGGTCCTTCCCTCACCTGGGCTGCTGAATATAAGGACAGGATGAGAAGTGGGCAGTTCAGACTTTAACAGGTAGTGGTGGCCGTGGCCCACACTGACCAGACTGAAGAGGACATCACGCAGGTCAGCCCAGCTGGAGTATGCCTCAGCACAGTTCATCCAGGTGCATTCACCATCTCCACAAACAGCTTGTAAATGTTGAAGTTCTGCAAGACAAAGGAGTGAAATCTCAGCGGCAGAAGTTTGGAGCCCTTCTGTTGCTAAGCACAGGCGAAAGAAAGGGCAGCTCTGCTCTATGGCAACTCCCACAGGGCTGTTAGGCTGTCTTCATTACCTGTGGGTTGACGGGCTCCATGCTGTACATACAGGCTCAGGGCTTTGTCCCTGACCTGGATGAGGTGGGTTTCGTACAGAGCTACATACTTGTGCAAGACTTGATAGTTCTGGAGAAGGCACGCAGAAAACATAAGAACTGAAAGCATAAGATTATGCCCTGGGGCCTCCCGTCCTCTCCATAGGGAAGTGGCCAAGCTGTGCCTCTCACCCCGGTGCAAAACGCTCCTCCGAGTGAACCAGCTGGAATGAGCGTCTGCCCGTTCACTGCAGGGAGCCGGACTCGATGGCCGTCCTTCCAACTCAAACGATCCTATGACCCTATAACAGGAGGCAGCGACGGCAGAGCGGGAGCTCTCAGCCACAGGCCCTGCTAAGGATCCTAACGTGGCTGCCGTCCCTGAGCGCAGGCGGCCGTGTGACCGGGTGAGGCGCTGAGGGGAGCCCTCAGCCTCCATTTTCTGAGGGGAGGAACAGCGGGCCAACTGTCCTCTCTGTAACTGCACAGAAATATAAGATTTTCTTGTTTATTTGTTTTTGCGCACGGCTTTTTAGAACTTATTCCTCACTTAACTCCGCTGCGGCTCAACGCGAGCCGCTCCTTAAGATAAAACGGCGCGATCTCCTCACGACGCTGAGGGCGCCGAGCACCGAGCGACAGCCGAGCGCTTCAGCGCGCATGCGCGCCGCGCGCCCCCTCCTCACCCCGCCGTCGAGGGAAGCCCTTCTACTGCGCACGCGCGGCTCCAGACACCTCCTCCCGCTCTCGCCGCCGCCGCCTCCGCGCATGCGTCCCTCCGCCCCCTCGCCACCCCCTCCCGCCGCCGCGCATGCGCCTTGAGGCCCTCCGCCCGCCCGCCCGGCCCGCCCGGCGCATGCGCCTCGCCCCCTCCGGCGCGGGGAGGGGGATGCGGACGGGGGAAGATGGCGGCCTCGAACAACCCGCGGAAATTCAGCGAGAAGATCGCGCTGCACAACCAGAAGCAGGCGGAGGAGACGGCGGCCTTCGAGGAGGTCATGAAGGACTTGAGCCTGACCCGCGCCCACCGGGTGAGGCAGCGCCTCAAATCGCACGCGGCCCCCCCGCCGCTGCCCGGCGCGCGCCCCCGGTGGTGGCAGCGGGTGTGGTGGGGGGGCGGGAGGAGGAGGAGGAGGAGGAGGGAGAGGAGGAGGATGAGGAGGAGGAGGAAGGGCGGCGGCGGCGCCCCCCGGCCCTGGGGGCAGCGGCGCGGGCGGGGCGGCGAACAGCGCCCCCTGGCGGTGGGGGAGGGCGATGCTCTCAGTTCGGGGCGGGGGGCAGCGCGCCGCCCCCACCGCCGGGCGGAACCAGAGCGCCGCGGGTTCGAATCCCGGTGCGCCCCGGAGCGGGGTTCGCTCTCTGTGTGTGTGTGTGTGTGGGGGGGGGGTCTTCGGGTCTCCTCGGGAGGGGCAGGGGGAGCCCCGCACGGCGTCGAGAGGGGCTGGCGGGGGTCTGCATCCCTCACATTGTGGCAGGCCCCGCTCCAGAGGGTGTTTTCCTTCTGAGGCAGACGCGGAGCTGGGGGGTCTCCGCCTCTCACCAGAACCCCGGGCGCACAGACCTGCAGATGCTCGGCGGGAGCTGCCGGGCCGCGTGGCTCTGATTCCGCTCCCTCTGGATGCGAATTGCTGTGCTTTGTGGTCCTCCGTGGCTCTGCCTCTGCAAAGCCCGTGGTTGGAAACGAGCGGCACAATGAAGTGCCTTTGGCAAACGTCAGATGCGTTTGCTGGTTAAGATCCGCGGGCATCGCAGCTCTCCTGGTCTCACCTGCTTGTGTCAACGTTTTCGTTTCTCTTCCAACTGCTGAAGGAACGTTTACGAGCTTGTTTGTGGCCGAGCGAGAGAGTGTGCAGTTGGATGTGCAGTAAAACCTCTCCTTTCGGTGCTGGGTGTCAGGGCAGGGTAAATATTTGCTTTCACTTGGTGCTGCTGCTCAGAGGCAAAACAAAGGCATGTGGCTGCAGAGGTGCGAGGCCGCGGCTGCGCTGCACGTCTGCTGCTGCGTCGTGCAGGGCGCCGTGCTGGAGTCATGCTGGAGTTATGCTGGGAAAGCAGCGAGGGCAGTTTGGAGCTGTTTGCAATCATGGGGTTCTCTGCGCCTTCAACCTCTGGTGCAGCTCCATCTCCTGTGGGTTTTGCCTTTCGATGGCCGTTGCTTGGCTGCTGCTGCAGTTCTTGAAGCCCGCAGCAGTTCTTTCCTTCACCCTCAGGTTTGGCGTTTGCCTCCTGCAGGATAAGGATGTCCGTAAGTCAGAATGCTAATCTGGTTTCTCCCACATCTGAGTGCTTCTAATCCAGGATTTGCAAACGCAAACCTTTCTCATTTTCAAGAACCCGGTGCTGAGAAAAGGACCCAAGATGAATGAGTTGTCTGAGGATTCTGGGTACTGAAGTGATGGAAACGCTGACCGAACAGCTGAGTAAAATGTCTCCTTTGTAGACTTTTTCTGAATTCCATGATTTCATCTGTGTTTAAAATGCAGTATAAAAGCAAAAAGGGGTTAAGCACAACTTTGCTGTTTGCTCTCATTTTCATTTGGCAGGCAGTGCTGTGCTGTCAGTTTGAAAACGCGTTACTCAGTGTGTGGAAGCAGCCCAAAATTTCTGTTGCTTTTTCATTATTAGTAATTGTCTTTTTGCAGTGTTTACTCTCTTGTCTCCTTTATTGTTAGTTACTGGTTGCAGCAGAGGCAGAAAACTACTGTTCCACCATTTCTTGTGCATACCCGTGCTGTTTCTGGGCTTGCTTTCTCACTTGGGAACCTACCACCCATTTAACTGTTGAATCCATCTGAGATTTGTGCATTGCTGTGCTTCTTCCTTGTCCAAGACAAGACAGAATGTGATATTAACTCCTTTTCTTGTCTGTTGCCCTCGCCATTCAGATGGTAAATATGTGTACATATATATAAAACTCATTTGAGAATGAAATGAGGGCGGTTTCAAAAGGGTTCTGCCGTGCTCAGGAGCTGCAAACTGCTGTCTTTCAGCTGCCCAGTGCAATTCCAGCTTTTCTGCAGCCACAGAGCTTGCAAAGAGCCTCGTAGGTGGGTGGCTGATAGAAGCACTGGATCTGCTTAATTGTCTTGTGAGTGGGACCTTCATGTTTATAATCCAGAGATTTCTGCGAGTCCCATAGTAACTAAGTGGGTGAGAAGAGGGGGAGTTCGTTCTGTGTGACTCCTGTATTCTGCTGCTGATTCTGTTCCTTTTTTTTTTTTTTTTTAAATGCAAAGCATGAAATTTCAGCACTGTGCTGATTTCTGAGTTGTTTACCAGGGCCTACTCTCGATTCCTGTTGTAACACAGCACAGGGATGCTTCTTGTGTGCTCCCTCACGCAAAGCTGCTGCTGCCTTCTAAAGTTGCAGTTAACGAGGCGGTGCCATGCAGGATGACACAGATAGTGCTGAGCTCTCCAAATCTCACCTGAAGAGCCATACATTAAAGCATTTTAAGTTTTTAAAGCTTGTCACCTGCATTTTAAAGGTAGTTCTTCTTCAGCTGGAAATGCTCTCGAGTTTCCAGGGCTGCTTATTTATTCGTTTATCACATAGATTGTGGGAGGCACTTTGTTCTGTGGGATTCTGGCTGGGGCTGTGTTTCAATTCCCTCTCATGGATTTTGCAGCCTTAAAGAGAAGCCCCCCGAACCTCCCAGCCCCACAGACAGCAGGGAAGTGTGCTGCTGCTGCTGCAGTGAAAGCGGGCAGGAAAAGAAAGCAGGTGAACAATGATGCTTGGAAACATGCTGCAGAATTCCAGCACTGCCTGCGGCCTCTCCATGCACACAACAGTGTGTGGAAAGCATCTGTGAGCTGCTGCAAACCTCTCTGCTCAGAAGACAACCTCTCCTGATAGCCACTGTTCCTCAATGGCACCACGTTTGTTTTCTTGCTGCTGAAGCAGAGGCAGGAGCGGTACTTCTGCTTGCTGCAGGAGAGATCAGAAGGTCTTTGTGCATCGCAGCAGTCCATCAGATGTAGGTAGTATGCAAAGCAGTGTGTAAAAGCTTACTTCAATCGGCACTGCTAATGTCTGCTTTAAAAAATGATAAACACTGATGGTGGTGACAGTGTCGCAGTGATTCCCGATATCTTTTATTAAATAATTTGACACGGAAGAAATTCCAATTGCATGATGGTGCTTTGACGTGACTGAAAGATGTGAAAGAAGTGCAGCAGAATCAGAACTCGGCCCTCCAGCAGAGGCTGGGTGCTGTCAGCTCTGAGCGCTGTGTTCCAGGCAGTGGGGAGCTCCCCTTGTGCAGCAGCGTTGGTTTGGCTGTGGCTCTGCCCAGTGCTCTGCTCCGTTACTCCCAGCTGCAGGGCTCACAGGTTCCCAGGCTCAGAAGTGCATCAGGGGGCTCCGAGCATCGGGGGCTGCTGGAGCAGGGCAACCTGCTGACCCCGAACCGAGCTGTGCTGGGCTGCAATCGCACGCTGTGCTGGGAGTGTGAGACTTAACGCAGGGCAGAATCGGTGCAGATGTAAAGATGAGCTCCAGCGGGGCACAAAGGATCTCTGTTCCTGTGCAGCGCTCTGCCTCCTTCCTTGGCCTGAGCTGTCCAAGGTAAACAGCACGAGCTGCTGCTGATAGCCGTGCTGCACAGCCCAGCCTTCCCTCAGCAGGGCAGCCTTTCTGCTGGGAGCCCACTCGTGTTTTTCTTGTGTTGTTTTTCTAAGAGACAATGGCTTTTTTTCATGCTTCCATCACTCAGGTGCGTTGCAGCCGCGTGCTTCTGCTCTCAGACTGCATCTGCTCCTGCACACGGCCATCTCCTTGTGCTGCAATCATCCAGCATCCCCAGCTCATGAACTGGAATTGTACCCCCGACGCGTTTCAGCGTGTTGTGTGCAGTTCAGTGGATGAACACGTGGAACTGCTCGCTGCGCTGCGTTTCAGCGTTTGCTTCAGCAGCAGGGAATATTTGCAGTAATTTGCATTTCTAGAAGTTACTCGTTTTGTCAGAGCAGAGTTCGGAGCTGTCAGCCCTTCCCCTCTCTGTTGGGTTTTTCCCTCGGGGTGGATTGCAGAGCTGCTGGCACAGAGCTGAGCTGTGCTCGGAGCTCAGATCCTGGCAGCTCTCAGGTGTGGGCACCCATTTCTTTTTGGCCTCTTGTTTACAGATTGCGCTGTGGGGTGGTGATGATTTGAGTTACAGCTGCAAACTCCAGAGCTCCAAACCTGTTGTGGACAACTGTCAGCGTAAGGAGCTGATTCTTGATTAATCTGAATAATGTGCTGGCATTAATTCGGGAAATTACCCGGCACTTCTGGCCGCTCTGTGGTAGCAGAAACGAGATGCTAATTGGGCAAAAAGTGGACATCTTCTCCTGCGTGGTCAATGGGGATTTAAACAAGATGGTTTAAAGGCGTAATATTTGTCTTGGTTTTCTCTTCTTTCTCTCTAATTGCTGAGGAGTGTTTTCTTGGGCTGAATTTTGTCAATTTCCATAAAAGCATCGATCAGCCCCTAATGGTGCATTCCATCAATACTCTCCCTGGTGTGCTGCTATCTGAGTACTGTGGGGCACTTCCCAGCCAAAGGGATGCTGCAGCTGAAGGAAACAAGCTTTGCTTTCTTTAAAACAGCATTTCTGGGTGTGATGGCTGGCATTTCTCCCCGTGTCACTGTGGACGTGCTGGTGGAGCCGTTCCTTTGGAGTTGGGCTGTCTGGCTGCTGGCAGGGCTGAGGAAGCAGGTAGATTTTGGTAGTGAACATCAGCTTGCTGCCGTGTGCATTTTGTGGCAGCAAGGAGTTGTGGCCTTGGTGCTGCTTCCCTTTGTTTCCCCATTGGCCCAAACTACGTGTGTTCCCATACAAACTTGCAGTCCCAAAGGCTTTTGTGTAAACTCGAGGTGGCAGCCAAGCTGTAAGTATTTATTAACTCATTAGCTAAGATTTGCCTATCTGATAGCGTGTGGGAGTTAAAGTTTAAAACGTTGCTTCGATTCGCTTTAAATGATTTGCATAGGATGATTAGTGCCATGTAAGTGATATCTGGGGATAAGATTTCTGTCGAGCTCTCCTTTGGTGCCCGTTGGGCCGCGTGAGCTCTGCAGAGCACCGGAGCTGTTGTGATCTCACTGCTGCTTCATAGCGCTGCAATGGAGCGTTGATAGTAGTCCTGTTTTGCACGTGGTTTCCTCAGAACTGCACATTCCCCTTGTGCCACAGCAGCCCTTGTTGGTTTCCCCAGCGCGTGTCTTTGCAGGGAGGTGATGCTGCCCCAGCTCTGATTGCCTGTCTGCAGGTTGTGCTGTGCTGCTCTTGGGACGCATCGTGGCCGAGCAGCATCCCATAGGTGAAGCAGTGCAGAGCCTTCCTGCCATCTCTGAGTCCCCTGCAGGCTGGGAAAAACGAGTGGGAAAGGGGAAGACCGTGAGTTTTGAACCCGTTGACTTCTCACCCGTTTCCTTTCCTTGCAGACATGTACAGGTCATGTTCGTGGCAGCCGTTCAGCTGGTGGCTGGCGTGGTGCTGCTGGGCTCTGCCTTGTCCATCTGTGCACCCAGCCATGGTCCTCCTTGCAGCTCCTCACTCCCAGCTCCACGAGGCCCCGCTCCCCTCAACTCCGTGGCATTTTTCCACGAGGGAGAGGAAGGCAGCACTCATTCTGTGCACATTTCCACCCCGCTCCCATTCTCACGTCTCACTGACTTCTCATTGCCGTTCGGTTTTTCACTTCTGCGGCAAAACCCTCGCTTTGCTGGGGCGTTTTGCATTCAAAGAACACTGACTGTACTGCCAGGTGATTGTAATGCTCTGAGAGTGGTCCGGAGCTTCATCTCGAGAAGCTGCAGCGTGAAGGCTTGCTGTTGCACGCAGTGGGAGCAGCACAAGGGATTGGTGCAGGTAACAGCGCTGCGCAGCCGCGGTGGTCTGCGGATGGAGAAGAGTCATCTGTGCACCTGCTGAGGCCGTGGTGGCACAGCTCTGTGGCACAGCACTGTGCTGGGAGCTGGGTGTGCTCCTGGGAGCTGCTCCCCTTCCGAGTGGCAGCACTCCCTGCTGGTCCAGCACTTACCCATCGCGTAGGGTTACGTAACTGAATTGTCAGTCTTTTGCTAAAAATAAAAAACGGAGCAGAAAAGCTATTTTTATCTTGCTTAATGAGGGCATCTCCGCTTTTATTTCGTCTTCCTGAGGTATTTCAATAGAAGGAGGGGGAATGGCTTAGGGGTGATTTAGTTGTAGTGGACATTCCTTCTCCAGGGTCGTGCCCATCAAGCAGCGGGTGCTTACGGTGCTCTGCTCTGAGCAGTGCTTTCTTTAAAGCACACTGCTAGGAAGTAACAGCCACCGGGACAACAGTCAGACCTCCAGTGTAGTGCTGGACCTAAATATATCATAAAAGCCAGGAATTTGCTATCAGATAATCCATGAGCTTCACGTGGAAGCCCTCTCCGAAGCGTTGTACGCAGCCATCGGCGGCGCGCACGCCGTTCTCCTGCCGTTTCAGAACAGAAGGGCGGTGCTTTCGGAACTGCCATGGGATCTGGTTTTGTTTTTAAAAGCAGTGCAAATCAGGTTTGGTTCATATTGTAGCTCAGCTTGGCTCCCTGCCCAGTGATAGAGCAGAACTCTGAGGAACAGCCACTATTTTAAGGCGTGAGTTGTGCTGTATCCTGTTTTTCCTTGCGACTCGGTTGTGACTGTGAAGTCTCAAACAGTAAACCTTTGTTCCCCAGCAATAGCAAAGTGTTTCTTAAACACGGAGTGACAGCCCGCGTGCTAAATTTAATTGTTATCATTACTCAGATTCTGCAGGGTTTGCTGGTGGGGGTTCTTTGCCCACAGCCCCCAGGACACCCAGTGCTCTATACTGACTCATTTGATGGAGGCAGCTACATGCAGCTGATGTGTAAGAAAGTTCTGCTGGTAGAAAACACAGAAATCACAAATAAAAACAGGAGTTCAGTGCTAAATGCTGCCTTCCTCCCTCCCCCCAGCTATTCTTTCTTCCTGCAGCGGTGAAGCATTCTGTTTTGGTCTCTTTGGGTTTACAGGAAGAAGGGTTTTTGGCCTGGAGCGTAATGTGGATTTGGGGTGGTTTATAAATAGTAATTGTATACGAGGAGGTGAGATCTTTTCGCTTTCACACGAACTCTAGAAGACACCTGGGGATGGGGGTCTGGGGATGGGTGTAATTTTTATAGCCCCGTTTCCTCCAAATTGTGGAGCTGAGGCAATCTGGGGAGTTGGTTTCAGCCCGTGAAGGAGAATCTAATGGTGCCTTGGAATTCGTAGATGACTCATAACAGGACAAAACAATCCAGTTAAGTGATTTGAGGTCTTAAATAATCTCTTCAACAGGAAGGTGAAGAAAACATCATGAACTCATGAGTAATAATTGGCTCTCTTGGAGTGCTAAAAGTGCAGCGATTGCTCGTTGGCAGGGACTCAAGCGATCCCTGCTTAAGCTTTGCTGATCAGTATATATTTCATCTCTTATGAATGAAATTTATTTAACTGGATTATAATGCTTTTAGCAATGCGGTGTTAGGGTTACCAGTTGGGAGAAGTTTCTTTCAGGTTGGTGTGCAGTAGTGATGCTTTGCACCGTGGGGCTGCGCGGGCTCTGCTCTGTGCAGCACTGCCTTCTCCCCACTCTGTGCTCTGCAGTGTGGATCTGTGCCCGAGTTGGGTTCAAGGGAGAACCCCAGCAGCACCACGCTGTGCCCAGTGCACCACCACAGTCCTACCTGCAGTTCTTTGCTCTGTAGGTGCAATAACTGCAAAAGTGAAATGATTTCAGGTAATCCCCAAACAGCTCACGTTGTCACAGACAGTAGGGGTAAGAACTTCTCGTCTCCTTTCTCCTTTCCAAAGCACAGAATCATTCAGTACAGCCTGAGTGTGCAGAGGTTTGTCTGCAGGCAGAAGGGACCCGTGCTGCTGCTGCTGTGGAAGAGACCTCGTGCTTACCATAAGCAGCTGGAATCGCAGCCTTGTGCACCAGGAAATCTTTCAGCTTAATCAGGTACTTAAAGTCAGAAGTTAGCCAGCTTGCTGACCCCTGTCCTCTAACTGGATGGTTTCATTCATGCAGAAATCCGCTTCTGCTTTCCAGTTTGATTTATGTGGAGCACTTCTGGGGGCTCTGTGAGATGGAGGGGCAGAGTTCTGCCTCCCCTCCCGTGCTGTGAATCCCTTTGGTTCTGGTGCTCGAATGTCACATCCCGTTGTTAATTTCTAAAGCCTCTATGAAAGGAAAACCATCAGTCCTTGGATGTGTGTTGGTGAAGCACAGCCGTCCGAAAGGCAGCGCAGTGCTGAGGCTGCTCTGCTGGGTTTGTTGGAGCACTGCAGTGTGGCTGAAACGCAGCTCTTGTGCTCCTGTGGCTGCTGAATTCCAGTGCATTGCAACAGAAAAAAAAAACCCGAAACAAACAACCAATATCTTTTGCTTGAATTTGTATTATTGGCTACGTTTGGGCTGGCCTGCAGGGCTGTTTGTGTTGTTCGTGTCCCAAAACGTCAGTGTGATAATGGAACAAATACTTGCAAGTGACTTCAATGACAGTTAGAGTGATGGAGGAGTAAACAATGATGTAGCAGTTCTAGAAGCCTGGGTTCAGATCCGGTTCATAGCATATGTCTGGATTTTCTCGTGGTGATTTTCACTTAGTTTGTAGTAGACGTTTGGCTTCCTGTTTTGGCTTGGTAGTCCTCTTCTCTGCAGTGTCTGTTGCACCAGGACGGTAACAGCACCATGAGGCCAAATGAGATTGGCAGCAGCAACAAGGGAAACTTTCTCTCCGCTTGTCCGCACTTGTCTGTTCCCAGCCAGTGTTAAAATCTTTGCTTTCATGACAAGAAAAACATACTAAAACTCAAAAAACCCGTTGCAAAATGTTGTGTTATAATGATGGAATATTTTAAGTCCCAAGTGGCCCAGACAGAGCAGCTGCTATCACTGCGGATTATACCTTTCCTCTGCACTTCAGACTTCATTTCCTTTACCAGTCTTCCTGGGAGGAACAGCTGTGCATTTGGATCCTCTGCTGCTGTTGGATCGGTACTTGAAACTGCAGGAAATAAGTTGCTTTCAAAAGCTGGCTCGCTGCAGCTTCTTCCTGATTGTGACAGCCCAGAGGAGAAAGAATTGCGAGGGATTCTCTTTTTCGTTAACAAACTCATCTGTGAATCCTGTCTCCATCAGCCAGGAGGAGTGGTGAGGAAGCTGGCCGTGCTTTTTCCATCCTCTGTGTGCAGGTTTGCTTTTCGTGGCTGCCACCAACGGTTGATTATTCAGGAGTAACAGAACAAAGTCCCTTGCTTAGGTGTGCTCTGATTTTGGAACTGCAGCTAATGAAACGTGGCCAAGAGTTTTCCCTTCCTCGGCGTAGCAGGCTGCTCTCCTATTGATTGTTGAATCCTTCCTTATTTGATTAAATAAATTCTAGACGACTTTCTTGAAGGGGCTGCTTTAATAAATGAGCTGTTATCCCCAAGGAGGCTGCGGATGCCCCATCCCTGCAGGCATTCAAGGCCAGGCTGGATGTGGCTCTGGGCAGCCTGGGCTGCTGGTTGGTGACCAGGTGAGCATTGTGCTCCTTTGCAACCCAGGCCATTCTGTGAATGTATGATCCCAATGTATGTTAGTTTTAGAAATTGAACAGCAAATGTTTCAAGAATACAGTTCAAATTTCAGAACATGAGCAGAAAATGGTGAACGTGAGGGAGGAGCTGAGCCCTGCTGGTGGCCCAGCACTCAGTGAACTGCTGGGCAGTTTCAGCAGCTCAGACACAAACACAAAGAACTTTGTAATGTAGTAGCTGGATGGCTAATTGGGTGATTTCTAATGGCTGTGTTCCCACCAAATCCAAATGCAGTAACTGCGAGTCATTAAATAGACGTTAACTGATCTTTCTTTTTAAGACTGTTTGCTTTTCTTATCAACATGAGGATTGTGAATGGGAAGAAATCTCCCTTTGAAGAAAATACTTCCACTGGGATTCCACCGCAGTGCTGACTTGTCTGGAGGGTTTGTTTAACTTAATGTTGAATTTCACGCTGGAGAAAGAAGCCAGGTTGGGAGTTCTGGAGTCTCTCCCTTCTGCTGTCTTGCAGGGCAGGAGGAAGTTTGTGCCCTGGAAAGGCTCTGATCTCCTTCCTGCAGCCATGGGGAGCAGCGGGCCAACAAGCCTTGTGCAGATCGGAGCAGCACAATTTACCCTTAAGATGGTCATTAAAACTTTGAGTTAATCCTTTAACACATTTGTAAGTTGCATCTGCGCTTGTTTTGCAGCTTATTGGCCTTGGCAGATACAGAGAACACCTTTAAAGTGGAAAGCTGAAATTGGTAAGAAAGTTTCGAATGGAAACTGCAAACCAGCAGCAGAGCAGTTATCGTGAGATCTGACTTCCTGTACTCAGCAGATAGCGTTATTTTTCTGGTTGCAAGGACACCCCACCCTTTTATTGCCCTTATGGGAATCAAATCTGTGTATAAAAAAGGGCATTTTGCAGGATGTGCTGCTGGCAGGGTTTGGTTCTCTGCGTTCTGGGGTCACATCTGCCCTTGGTGACAGCCGAGTCCTGCACACAGCTTTGCCATTTGCCCCAAATTTTATTTGTATTTTTCAAGGGGAAGGGATTTAGAGAAGGTGATGCACTGCATTTTAATAAATGCTCCCTTTGATTCCCATCTGCATATTTTTGGATGCCTAGAAAGGCGGTAGGAAAACTGGATGTGCTTTTGGGGTTGTGTTTCTCTCCTTTTTTTCCTTCTCCCTGTATAACTGAAGGCTCTGTGCACACGCAGCTGCACACACAGCAAACTGCAGCCCAACCTCATTGGAAGCACTGAGGTGTTTTGTATCAATGCATTCCCATAGCAGCCAGTATCTGGAAGAATGCTGCTAACGTTGCTTGCAGGTTCCTGCTTGCTGCATGGGAAGCAAGCTGTCCCTTCCCTCTTGGCTGCCAAGATGCTGCCATGCAGGTGGTAACCCCAGCTGCAGGAATGACGTATTGGCTGTAACAGAACTACAAATCTATGGAACCAAGGGTGTACCAACGTGCTTTTATTTAGGGAACGCTTACAGCTATGCTAAAAAACTGCATGCATGGAAATATTTTAGTGACAAAATAGCTCCAAATTGGTTTCTGGCTTAAAAACTTTTAAAGTAGAGGAAGAGAAATGCTGGCAGAGGGAAATGAGAGCTCTGGTCAGGGTCTGTCCTATGGGAGGCGTTCCTTTGGAGCAAGCATGCTAAGCAGAAATGAAGTGCTGTGACAAATAATGGCTTTTTCCTTTGCCCTCCAGCTGCCTCAGGCCGGAGCTGGTGCTGTTCTGTCTGGCAGCCCTTACCTTGGGCACGGAGCACAGGGATGGCAGTGCTGCAGTGCAGGCTCGCTGAGTTCTTGTGGCTCAGGGGATGAATACAGGTGGTGAGCACTGAAGAGGCAGCAGGCAGAGGAGAGGAGCAAACACAGAGCCTGCAATATTACAGGATAGCAGTAAAGTTTTGGCGCAGAGCTCCAAAAGCATTTGTTGAAGGGAGAGCTGGTGAGATGAATGGCACACCAAAGCTGCATAACCAGGTCGTTTTTGAGGTCTGCTGTAATTCTTCATCTCCTGTGTTTCCTCATTTCCATGTTTAAGTGCAGTGGGAAGACAAATGGTGGTGACCTCCCCGTTACGTTGTGCTGGGTACCTATTGGGGATGTGAAGCAACCCCCCCAGCCCAGCACGCCTTATAGGAGGTTCCTTAGGAGAGACCAGCACCTGTTGAAGCACTTACTTCACATTTGGCACCAGTCCCAGGCAAGCCTTTTTGTAGCAACAAAAACATATGTACAGAGCAGGCAAAAAGCACAGCTCGTTCCAACGCTGTGCATCGCAGCTCTGCGCCGGAGGCTGGAACAGCACGGTGCTCCTCTGCACTGCTGTGTGCCTGTGTTGTAATGGTGTGTCAGAGGATGGAAGTGCAGGGTGGGGGGGTCTGGGTGGTGCTTTGTGGCTGGGATCTCTGAGCTGTCTGATTCAGGTGTTCTGTTTGGACCCAGAAGGGCTGGCACACCATCAGCACGCCGTTCCTTCTGCTCCTCTCTGAGCCGTACCGTCACCATCAGCTCTGCTCAGCCCCACTCCCAGCAGCACTGCTGAGCACAGGGCTCTGCTTTGACCTCACCGCCAACACGAGCAGCGTGGCTCTGCCTCACCTTGCTGGAAACATCTCTGCTCCACCTCAGAGGCAATATGGTGAAGCTGTAGTGCCGTTTCCTTTGCTTTAAGAAAGGGTAAAGAAACAAAGCGCACATATAAACATCCAGTTTGGGTGATGCCCTTTGTTTTCTAGTACGTATCCAAACTTTGCTCTTCAAAATTCTGGCATTGCAAGGCAAAGGCTTTAAGATCTCTTTGAGTGGAACTAAACCAGATTTGTTGATGTACACACAACGGTGCCTTGGCAACCACACTGCACCTAGTCCAAGAGCTGAACGTTCAGTCTTTAAACAATTCTTTGCTACCCATCAAGGAACGTTCTTGCATCTCAGAGTGCAGAAGCAGCCAGTTGACATCTAGTGAGGAACAACGCAGCTGATAAAATCCGTGCTGCTCCGGGCTGGGAGGAGAGGCACCTTCTGTAAGCACAGTTCTGAGCTGCAGCTCCTCGCCTTGGAAGGTGCATCCTGGGGGGTGGGAGTGGTGTGTTCAGATGGCTGCAAACCGAGCTGTAAAACAGGGCTTTGGTGGCTTTATTTTTCTTTCTCTTTTTGTCTTGAAAACCTGCGTCACTGCCCTGTCCTGGTGCAGATGACAAGAACACTTACCTGATGGTGGGAAGCAAGCATCTCCGTTACCTAGATTGCTACCGAGTGCATTTGGTTAAACCATGCACTGAGCTGACTTCCTCACATGTTGGCTGTGCGTGTGCCCAGCTGGTTGGGTTTGGTGTGAGAGGCAGGGCTGGACTGATACGGGTTCTTTACTCCTGCTTTGCAGTGCAGCAGGTGACAGAAGGACTTTGTGCTTCCATGGGGCTGTTCTTTGTTGGAAATGGAATGTGATTGCTGACTCCACAGCAGTCCCTGTGTGCTGTCACACAGGCTCTGTGTGGCAGAGGAGTGGTATCCACACTGCTGCAGGTGGTGTCCATTCTCAGTGATCAGTGATATGGGGAAAAATTGAATTAATTAAAACAGCTGAAAAACAGCTGTGTTACTCTTACACTTTCCTCCTTGTTTTCTTTTAGTTACAGCTGCAGAAAACCCAATATTTGCAACTGGGACAGAGTCGTGGCCAGTACTATGGTGGGTCCCTGCCAAATGTGAATCAGATTGGAAACAGTGCCATGGATCTGCCCTTCCAGGTGAGTTTGATTGGGGTTCTTCTATGTTATGTGCTTTGTCAATAGCTGCTGGTTCAGAGCACAGCACCATGGTCCAACATGCAGCTCTGCTGTCAAAATTGTTGCTTTTTTTTTTTGGATGGAGCATAGCTGTGTGTGGGATGAGTGGATAGATCTGGTGATGTTTGTTCTGCTCTCCTTGGTTGTGTTGTGTTTGTGTCAAAACCAGGGAGAGACAATGCAGTTTCATCAGCAGTCAGCGGTGACTTCTTCTGTTTTTGTGTAGTACCAAATTCACAATGAGATCTGCAGAGGTGCTGCAGGCTTGAAACAGAAGTAGAAGGGGATAATGTGGCAAGTGTGCGGGGTGATGTGACAAGAGTTGATAGAAGGAAGTGCTGAGGAATGCAGCCCAGGGCAGCAAGCATGTAGCATGGGAATAATGCGTGGGATTTTAGGGGAGGAAGAGGGAGAATGGGGCAAAACAGATTTCAGAACTGTCAGATTGCTTTGGGCTGGCAGTGAAGTGAGCATAGGGGTATAGCAGCTGCTGCTGTGACACTGGGAGCAGGAGATCAGGCTTTGTGCAAGTTCTGCTGAGTATGTTAGAAGGTGTTGTGCAGTGCACAGGATTAGACATTGGTCCTTCTGGGACTCCTGATTTCTGTATTGGTTGGCTTAGGGTGCTCAAGGTAATTAAGACTTGTGCATTAGTTTACCTTGTTGGAATAGTAGCACCTTTTATCTTGGAAGGATGTGGTGAGAAATAAATGCTGTAGGTTGTGGTTTTCTGATGAAGGCTGGCTTAATGAGCAGTCATTGATGGTGACTGCTGACGGTGCTTTTCTGAAGTCCGTGTGGGCAGCTGAACTCAGGGATGTTCTTAAGAGCTTAAAGCTCATACAAGGGAGAGGCAAGCGGCCACTTCCATGTAGTGGCCTGCAGGGAGTGCAGCTCCTGAACTAGCAAACCTCTGCAGTCTGTGGTGTTGCTGCACAGGCATCTGGCCTTAAGGCCCACAGATTTGGTCAGAACTGTGGTGCTGAGGAGCTCAGGGTTGCAGTTTCCTTTCAGCAGCAGTATTTCAGCATTGTTGTCCTTGCTGGCTGTTACAGGACAGCTGTTACATAGGATCATTCCATTCTGAAGCTAGCAGAGTTCTCCTGAGGAAGCATTCAAACATTTGTGAGTGATGAGAGAGGGTGATGCAGAAACAGATTTAAACTCTGGGTTTTTAATATGATTTTTGCATAAATAAATAAAATCCAAAGTTGGTACTGTTACGGCGAGCAGCAGCACCGTGTTGTCGAATCACCGCTGAGTGCTTTCCAGATTTTTCAGTTTTAAGCTGAGATGCAGTGACATTTGCAGGGATCCTTGTGCAGTGTTGGGGCAGGGGCAGCTGCTTGCCCTGCACAGCACAGCAGTGTCTGAGCATCTTGGTTCTTTGCATTGCAGCACAACGGAGCTCTGGCAGAAACCTTTGGAGCAGTTCCCGTCTCTTTGGTAAACAAGTATTTAGGTTTGTGCAAATACGTATTTAGGACTGGTGTTCTGTTTGCCCAGGTAGATACGTATTTTAGCACACGTTACACTTTTCCTGGTATGCACAGTATTTATTTGATTCACCGTCCCAGCTGGGAAGGAGTTGTGGTCTGTCACATAAATACGGGTGTTGCCATGCATCCCGGTTTGGAACATGCATAACAATTCCTGTTGCAGCCTCTCTGGACTCGCTGTGGTCTGTCATGTGATTCCTTATGATTTATGGGGGATTAATTTGACGCAGACGGTGGTTCCTTGGCACTGTCTTGGCCTGATTTAAGCAATCTCTGAGCATGTGCACTTAGCCTGCATGTTGAACTCCATTGGGAAGGGCAGAATGATTCCCCACGTGCTGCTTGTCGCCCAGGGGCGGGTGGTGGGGACTGCTCCTCGCTTCCCCCTCTTCCACCTCACTGCTTTTGATTTCTCCAGTCAATGCCTCGATAAATCTTAAAGGGACACTGTTGCTGTAGAGCTCTGAGCTTTTTCCTTCCTGTCTGTATTTGGGCTTTTTCCTCGTGTTTTGCAGAGTTTTGGTTCTGATCTCAAAACGTGGAGTACATTTGAGGGAAAAGAAGCAGTTCCAGGTGTACCTTTCCCAAGGATGTATTTTTTGTCACTTTTCCATTTTTCTCAAGCAAGTTAGGGATATTCTTGGGATGTTTGTGCCTGCAAAGCCAGAGACAGCATTGCCCCAAGTTCTTTGCCAGCTGTGGCAGGGCACACTCCTTGCTTCCTTGTGCCACGGTTACACTCAGATGAGATTTTTGTTGTGCTTTTATATGTGAGTGGTGTTGTAAGACTTGAGGAAAAGCTGCCTTGCACGCAGCTTTGTGTGCCAGTGCATGCTGGCTTCCTTTGAAGGCACAGGTGAGTCTGGCAGTGCAGTCCATGTGCTGCAGGCCGACTTCTCTTCTGGTTCACTTTGCATTTGAGACCACTGGCATGGGAAGTTCTCCTGTTGGCCTTGTGCTGACCTGCAGGCTTCACAGCCTTTGGGGTCGGTTCTGCATGGTGCCAGTTAGAACTGGAGCATTGCTTAGCACTTTCAGCAGAGATTGAAGCAATGACTTGAAATTGAGATGCTCTGTCTTGAGATTTCTGAGTATTGGTGCAAGGAAGTCGTACTCGTTAAGGAACTGCAGCAGAACACAGTGATCTGCAGTCAGGAGTGCGTTACAAGGCACTGTGCTCTGCTGATGCTGACTTACTGACTGAGGAGATGTTCTGCTGCACGCAGTGTTGGCCCTTGGACAGGAGGTTACAGCATGGACACTGCATAAATGGACACTGATACAGGCTGGGTATGTCCAGAGGGGAGCAAAGTGGTTGTTGCTGAAAAAAAAAAAGAGTTAAAAATAGTAGGAGGGTGCTTTAAGGAGTTCTTGCAAACAAAACGATTCAAAATAAACACAAATTTCTTTTTAGATGTGATCATCTCAGCAACCTCAGCTGGACGCTTTGAAGTGAAATAAGATGAGCGTGGAAGGCAGATGGCTGCATGGCTCAGCAGGCAGGGCAGCAAGTTTGTGCAGTACCTGAATGGAGGAGGGAATTTTGGATTTGCAAGCAGATGGTGTTGGACTCAGCAAAGCTGTTGGCATTGGCAGGGAGGGGAGGGCTGAGCAGCCCCAGAGGTCCATCTATTGCTGGTGGGGTGGGAGCGGAGGTCGGTGCTGCCTTCCCCCCTCCCTGCACACACACACTGCAAAGGGCTTTTGAAATGAGAGCTCTCAGCTCAGCATGGGAATTCATCTTCCCTGCCCTCCCTGGGGCATCTCAGTCCTGGGATGGGTTGCTGACAAGCAGACGCTCTGTGGGACGGAGGCGTTGATAAGATTGAGAGGGAATCCATCCAGCTCTGTTCACTGTGCAACCCGAACGAAATAAAAGCCTCTCCTGAGATGCCGAGAGCAGGAACTTTTTTCCAGACAGAGGAGGAAGGAAACTGCTGGGTTTTTTTTCTTTTTCTTTTTTTCCTTAATGTTGTCAGTGTCCCCTTAAAATCATTATGCCGAAAGGAGAGGTGAGAGGAAGTCTTGAGAGTGTTAGGATCTCTGCGCATCCTCGTCCTGCATCTTCTCCTGCCCGTGTTCTTCCAGCTCTGGATGTCAGCATGTTCCTTCTGGATGCATGCTGCATGCTGCACCCAGGAATGTACGCAGCAGTGGGCAGCTGCTGTCACTGCCACTTCGGCTGTTGTAGAGATGCAAAGGTTGGAGAGCAGCGCTGATGGATGCGAGGGCAGAGCCCACACAGTCTGCCTCTGCTCACCTCCGATCTCTGGGAGATGGCCCTGGTAATTGCTTCCCATGGCTATAGTGAAAGTGGAGAAAAAATGTAGGTGCTTACATTTATCCATATCTTCCCTGGGTTTTATTGCTTAAAATAATAGAACCTTTAGTACGACGTAAATAACCTCCAGGCGGATGGCTCGTGTGTGTATTTTTCTGCTTGTGACCTCACTCATCTCTCTCAGACTCCTTTTCAGTCATCCGGGCTGGACACGAGCAGAACAACTCGGCACCACGGTTTGGTGGATCGAGTTTATCGGGACCGGAACCGGCTGGGATCGCCGCACCGCCGCCCGCTCTCTGTGGACAAACACGGCAGGCAAATATCCTTTGCTTTGTGAGCCAGGCAGGGAGAGCCTCCCTTCCACCACGATCACCAGTTGGAGTTTTTGTAGTTCTCTTCTTCCTTCTCTCCTCACCTGTCAGCAGAGTTGCTTCCCATCTCCGTGCAGTTACTGCCATCTGCTTTTCTGAGCTGTGATCTGCTCTGGAAATACCTCCAGTTCTGAGAGTGCACTTCAGCCGTTCCTCAGCTCTGAGTGTGGGTAACAGGGCGCACGGAGCTGAAAGGGACTGAGCTCCTTTGATGGGAAAGACAAAGCAGTTCTTGTGAAGCCGAGTTTCCCTTCGAAACAGAGCAGATCCAAACCAGAATAATGCTCTGCAGCTCAGTGTGCCTTTTATTACGAGTTGATTCACCCGTTTAACATCTGCTCGGCGCTGTTTCTTATTGCTGCTCGTGAAGATGAATTAGCTTTTTATTGCTGACTGGCTTCAAATGTGCTGTGGTCACACTGGTTTGATGGGGCCGGGGGGGGTAAGCAGGATGGGGAAGGCTGCTGCCTTCTCATTAGGTGCTCAGAAGGGGAAGAGGGCTACGATTGTCCCACTGCTTAAATGTTCCAAGCAAAACAGTATTTCTGTTCCCAGTGTTCTTAAAGTCCATATGTCCCCCATAAAGGTCTGCTTTGCATGTCTCATGTGAGCTTAGTGCTTTGACAGGGTAATTTGAATTACTCCTTAGGCGTGGATTTCATATAGAGGTGTTCTTGCCCTTAACTGGCTCATCACGTGGACAGCTGTCCGTACGGCACTGTGTATCTGTCACCTCCGTCAGACACGAGCTGGAGAAGGTTGGTAGCACAGCAGAGTGCAGGGCTGTGGGGTTTGGAGAGCTCTGATGTACAGCACGGCCTCATTGCTCTCCTCTGCAGCTGGTCGTGTGAGCTGCCATCATTCACGGGGTGTGGAACCTGATTTCTTTTTTTCTGTTGTGTTACTCATTTAGATGACCGGCCTTTAAGATTGAGGTGTCAGGTGTTGTGGTCTTCTTAAAGGTGTTGAAGGAAGGTTTCCCTTAAAGATTGGCATAACCAGGGGATGTGTAAGAAGCTTTCAGTTTGAGCTGAATTATTTGATCGCGCTCCACCTCAACAAAGCTTATCAAATTATTTTCTAGCTGTGGCAAACAGCTTTTCCTGTATCCCTCTCAATCCCGTTGTTGCAACAATTACTTTTCAACCTTGAACTAATTTATTCTGTAAATGGATTGTTTCACAAAGAAATGATGTCTGGTATTTACCAAAAATAGCTTTTGTTTTTTAACGCAGAGCAAATGCAGATTTCCCTGATTTGGCTGCGTTTATCTGAGATGGAGGATTATTCTCTTTGAGGAACTGATGACCAATTTTTCCTTTTTTTGTGTCTTCCCCTCAGGACAAATTCAGACTCTGCCTTGCACCAGAGCACGATGACTCCAGCTCAGCAAGAATCTTTTTCAGGAGGATCGCAGGACATGCAGCAGAAAAGAGGTCAATAGGATATGAGTCCTAATCTGTCAGTTTTACATTGATGACTTAAGAGGAGTTTCTCATAGTTAACTTCATTAAATACTAGCTGTGAGAAATTAAATTCTGGAAATTGATCATGCATTGAAATATTAAAGGCTGCTGAACTTTTTTTCTGGCAGAGTAATCTGATGTGAAGAGCTGCAGATCCATCATAAAAGCCTTGAGAGGTTGAGTGTAATTCTTCACGTGCAGTTGCTCAGCAGGATGCATTGGCTGCTCTGACAGAACTTCAGTCCTGTAGTGTGTGCACACTGACTGTCAGAAGTGGCACCAAATCACCTGGGGCTTTTGTCCTGGAGTCCTCCATTCTTTGGGGTGGCATTCAGAGTGTTTCACTTTTGCATAAGCACGGTGCCATGGGGCGTAATGAAGGTACTCTATCACAAAGTGGCAAGGATTCGAGTCTTTATGGGGTTGAGGTCGCCTGTGAGTGTGCTCTGAGAGGCTCTGCTCACAAGCAGTACTCTCTGATAGTATCTCTACAATCGAGGAGCAGCACAGCCCTCAGGCACTCACCATTTTGGTGCCCTCTGCTGGCCTTTGCTTCTGCTGTCAGTGCACTAAATCATTAATTGCTCCTAAATCAGTTGAGAAAAATATATTCCTTAAACAACAGAGATGGGTGAGTGCATAAAGCCTGGATGTGTGTGCACTGTACTGCAGCTCTTCCAAAGAATACTTGTGGAGCTGTAAAACATGGAATAGAAATCATCTTGGATGGTATTGCATAAATTTAGGTTTAAACATGGAACTCTCCTCCTCATCAGTTTGAAGGGCTGCTGCTGTTACATCTCTTATGGACTTTCTTTTGCTGTATTTTGCCACCTTGCTATTAGCACAATGAAGTTGCTGTTTGCTTTGAACAAATGTGCTTGGAATGTGGGGAAGGAACAGCTTCATATTGCTTCTGTATCCCAGGGGATGTGGTTTGGGTTTTGCCCTTTGGGGTTGTCCTGTTGGCCACCCATGAGATGTAACAGATGTGCATCACTTGTGTGAGATGCAAGAGGGAGGGAAGAGCCAGCTCTCAGGATACCTTTTTCCATTTACTTGCAAGGGGATGAACTTGGAGGCAAACACTTTTTAAAGCACTGTTGAGTATTTTCTGCCTCGTTTGTTGTGACTTCTCATAATGGTGAGCAGTGCTCTGCTTCGTGCTGGGTGAAAACAGCTCACTGGAGTGCTCTTTGGAGCAGTGACACTTCTGAGCTGAAAACTGATTTCTGAGAAGCTGCCCTTTGTTTCCACATTTTAGTTTTGCTGCTGACTGTCCCTGGAATGGAGGAAGCCACCTCTGAGGCAGACAAAGCCCTCTCTAAGCAAGGATGGGACACTAAAAAGGTAGGAATCTCCTATTTCAAAGTAGAGAGCTTTCATTTCCTAAACATATTTAGGTAAACTAATGCTCTAAATATTGCCAATCAAAGCGAACTGCTTGCAGAGATTAGAATTGCATTCTATGTTTAGCAGCAAATTACAATACATTAGATCAGAAGGGCTCTTTGTATGCATTTTGATTATATTAGGAGAAACTCTTATTGAAATCTGAGCCTTGCTGGGCTGGTAAAGCAAAGATGATGACAGGTCTTTTCTGAGACCTTCACAGAACTCGTGTGTAGGAGAACAGCTCTACTTTAGAAGTGAATTAAATAAGATTTTCTGAGTAAACTGTGTCGTAAGCATTAATTCCTAGCAATATCTTTGCCTATAAAAATGTCTTCCTTCTATTTTAGACTGGGTCATCAAGACCTAAATCATGTGAAGTTCCAGGAATCAAGTAAGTTTTGAGCAATTCGTTTTAGAGAGCACTGAGATCTTTAGGAAAGAATGTTGTACATTGAACGTTTGAGTTTTCTGCAACAGCCTTTGACTGTTTAAGTGTGGAACAGATGTAAAATAAGCCAAAGCTACTGCTGGTGTCCCCTTGGCTGCCATGTCTCATTTTGTAGTTTCGGTAGACCAGTTAATGTTTCTGTATATGCATCTCCCTTTTTTGCAAATGATTTTGTGCAGATCTGCCCAGGCTGAAATTTCGACTGAGCGCTGGCTTTTTTTCTCTCTCCCTTTTTTAGCATCTTTCCATCAGCTGACCAGGACAACACTACAACCCTGATTCCTGCTACGCATAACACGGGCGGCTCCCTGCCAGACCTGACAAACATCCACTTCCCTTCCCCCCTCCCCACGCCGTTAGATCCCGAGGAATCCACCTTCCCTGCCCTGAGCAGCTCCAATAGCACTGGGAACCTTGCTGCCAACCTGACTCACCTGGGCATCAGCACTGCCACTCAGGGTAAGGTCGTCCCTCACACCTCTGCCTCGTGGCATGGAAGCTGCACTGCTGGGTGGTTCTTCACTGCTGATGGACTGTTAGAGGACAAATACAGCATTCAAAGCACACCCCTCTTGTAATTAATTGTACTTAATCCCAACACCGTTTGCATTATGGAAATACCTAAAGTAGACCTTTTGGTTTTCGTTCCTTGAGGATATTTTTTTCCAGCGTGAGGATTCTTTTGGAGAGAGAACATTTCCTTGCTTCCCCTGAAGCAAATTTTATCTTCTGAGCAATCACAGTAGCACAGAGCCCTTACAAGGTGTGCTGGTTTTTGTGCATTTGACTGCCTGATTCTTGAAAGTTATCCCAACTAGGCAGGGTACACAACAGGGGAGGGCTCTGGGGAGCAGCACCAATCCATCCCAGCACCTCCCCGCAGTTCAGCACAGAGAGGCAGAGCAGTGTTTGTTGGGGCCTTTGGGCTTTGGCAGTTCTGATAGTTTGATTTTAAAAAAGTAAATCGTAGAGATGAGCAGATAATTTCAAGAGTTGTTAACTGAAGCAAATGGCCTAAAGAGCTGATTGCTGTTTGTTTCACCATTTCACTAGGTTCTGAGAATAGCTGTGCATAGGGTTGCCTTTTGTATTGCTAGTGCTGGCTGCAGTCCCTTGATTCCTAGAACAGGAAAAAAGTGCTTTGTCCAAAAATAGAAGATGTGTATTTCCTGTGTTAGGCAGGATTTACTTCCCTGCTTAAAAACCTGCTCTTGTATTGGAGAAAGGAAAGAATTCTAATCAGGTTAATGTGGTGCTATGGCTCAGCTGTTAGGTTTAAGCACGAATTAAGAGCACAGTGCTGTTCAGTGAGTTTTCTGGTCTCCAAACAGCCTGCACAGCACTCCGGAGATGAGCTGTCACTCACACAGAGCTCAGCAAGTGTGCATTAAGAAAGGCAGCGTGCATGTGGAAGGGACAAACTACTTCTGTGGAGTGAGGCCAGATGGGGCTGCTGAGTGGGTTTTTCTTTTTTTTTCTTTTTTTTTTTTTCTTTTTTCACTACCCACAATTAGCAAAGTAAATGGGATAAAACCAAACCAGTTGGTATGTAATTGCTTTGAAAACATTTCCTGATCTATGAAAGATACTGCAGATTAGCAAGGTACACTCACTGGTGGTTTTTCTGCTTCTTATTGGACCCTGTCCCGTAGTTTAAACAACGACGTACTCAGTGTGGAGCTTTTTAAAACCCATTTTCTCAAACCTTCCTTTCCTCTCCTTATCTCCTAGATCTCTAGCTGAAAACATAAATGCTTTTGGGTCTGTAGTAGGAGCTCTGAGTGCTGTGCAGACACGCCTGTGGCAGCCCCAGGAAAAGGTGGGGAGGAACACCTGCCAGGTTATGAGCAGCTGCCAACAACTTAGGCTACACATTTGTGCATTTGAGTTTGTCAGTTCGCTGACATGTTCCATGAGACAGTGCTGATTTTTGCAAACATCACGCGGGAAGCCAGGCAGCCTTCAGAGTGCACTCAGTGAGAGCCGGTTTGCCTGCTGGCTCCTTGGCAGCCTGGGCTTCCTGGCTTTCTGGCAGCCTGCCTGGAAGCCTTGAGCAGGTGCCAAGTGCCGAGGAGCTCTCAGGCTTTTGTGAATTCCTCCTTTCTGGCAGCTTTGGAAGAACAGCTCACTAGCTAGATTGTCCTGAAATTGCTTTACAGGGTGCCTCAATTCCTCTTGGGTGAGGCTGAAAATAGAGAGGTTTCAAAACTTGCAAGTTTTGTCTTGGATTTGAGTAAAGCTGCACTACTTGAATTGTGTGCCCATAGCCCCTGTGAGGTCACAGTTCTGTAGAGCGTGAGGGATATTTCCTGCCTTCCTGTGTGCTGGTGTGCCATTAAAAATGGTGTACATCCTGTGTAACCAGTTTTTCTTCTGCATTTTCCATTAAATAGGCGTTTGGGTTTCTTTATATCACAAGTGCTCTCTGATTAATCTCACTGCATATCCGTTATCTTCTTCCTGAAGTTGGAGCTCCTACAAACGGAGCAGAAGGTGCTGCTCCTGAGTTTCCTGTGAGAACAGCTCTGAGTGTTTCTGGAGAGCACTGAGGGAGAGCAGTGGTCCGGAGCTGCTCTGCCCATTGCAATTTCAAGTTGCTATCTGCCAACTGTGACTGGCTGAGGTCCGGGATAAACCATGGGGATCTTCCTCTCTTTCCGACGCTCTTTACCCTGACATTGCAGGTCTTTGCAGATCAGCCAGCTCTGTGTCAAGGTGCTGTCGATCTGCACCACGCGTTTTTCAGTGTAGAGAACCTCTGTCCCTGTACCCACTGCCCTGCTGCCCTCTGAGCTGCTTTGTCCCTTCCTGGCAGGGATGACGCCGCCGGCTCCGTCCCAGCAGCACCGGCAGCCCACCGTCAGCCCCCTCTCGCTGAGCGCGGACTCGAGGCGGCCGCAGTCACAGCAGATGTCTCCTACACTTTCCCCTCTGTCACCCATCACTCAGGTAGGAGTGCCTGGAGAAGGAGCGTCTGAAAATCACAGGTTGTTCCCTGGCAGCCTGAGTGACTCTGATTCTTCTTTTTAAGGCCGTGGCGATGGATGCGTTGTCTCTGGAGCAGCAGCTTCCCCCATACCCGTTTTTTACCCAGACGACTTCCCAACAACAGCAGCAGCCCCAGGTGGTGAGCACCCTGCCTCAGAACACTCCGTTAATGCAGACCTCTGGTTTACAGCGAGGAACACAGCTGCCCCCGCTCTCCGTCACAGTACCTTCCACCATCCCACAGTCACCTCCAGGCAGTCAGAGCCAGAGCCAGCCGTCCATGGGAATAGACATCAACTCGGTAAGCTGGGGCAGGGCTGGAAATGATGGCACTTCTGTCCCAAGAATGTGATGGTGTGCAGCCCTGTGTCTGAGCTCCGGCTGACGGCCCTTGTAGTGGATGTACCTCTGGGTGCAGTCTGAATACACTTAGAGTGGTTTGATTTAATGCACCTTCAGGTGCTTTGTAGACAGCAGTTGGCTTTGGAGCGTGTGCTCAGTGGCTGTAGTTTCCTAAAATCGTGTTCCCTGCAGCTCTGTTTGGTGAGACGAGCTCGAACTTTGGATATCAGTGCTTGTAGTGCTTCACTGGAACAGGTTGCCCAAGGAGGCTGTGGATGCCCCATCCCTGCAGCCATCCAAGGCCAGGCTGGATGTGGCTCTGGGCAGCCTGGGCTGCTGGTTGGCGACCCTGCACATAGCAGGGGGTTGAAACTAGATGAGCACTGTGGTCCTTTTCAACCCAGGTCATCCTATGATTCTACGGTTCTATAGCATGTCCAGCATGGATAGGCTGTCAGGCTGTTAAATGAGTGCACATCCAAAGCACAAGGGACATATGGGGCTTTGATACAGAAGCTGCTACCTGCACTTCTAAAAACTGGGGAGAACTGTGCTCTGGCCACTGTGCCCTGCTCTGCCAGGTCTGGTTGTGTGACCCTCCTGGCAGCCGTTGGATAACAGGAGGAGCTCACTCTGTGATGGTGGAGCACCAGGTTGTGGGTTGCTTTGTGGAGGAAATGTTCACAGTCTGTGCTGGTAATGCTTCTTGGAAGGAGCTGCTCTCATGTCAGGGTTAAAAGGAAAGGACAAAGCAGTGGTGGGAAGGATTCCAATGCACTCAAACTGTCCCAGTGTTCTAATACCTACATAGCTACCAGGACAGGTGATTCTGATTTCCATTCTCTGCTTTCTGCGTTGCTTTCCTCATCCTTAACTTCTTTATCACCTTAACTTTTAGGATGCTGTGCAAAGAGCTGTTCTTGCTGTCTGTATTCTGTTCAAATGCTTTGGAGAGCTGTAATTTGTTGAGGTCGGGGATTCTCTGTGACAAAAAAACAAAAACAGTTTGTCTGGAAGACTGAGAACAGAGTCAGTATCACTGATGTGAACCTCCAGAATGCAGTGGGAATTCTCAGACGATGTCTGTTGCGTGTCCTGGGTTCACTGCAGCTTCGAGGAGGGTTTCAGTCCTTGTGGTTAGATGTATGCTTCCATCCTGGTAACACAGCCAGGCTATTTCAGACTCAGGGCAGAGTAATGTGAGATGGACTCTGGGTGTGTTGTAAACACGAGTTGAGAATGTGCATGTATGGTGAATGAAACTGAGAATAAATGAAGTTATTCTGAGATTTTAGGACTGCTTTTCCCCAGATTGTTGTCTGACCAGACTTTTCAAAATTGAATTTAACTGGAAACTGGAAAAAAAAGAAAGAAAAAAAAAAAAGTATTTGAATAGTAGGGCTGTCCTGCAGCAGCACCGTGCTGTCAGGGTCTGTGCCATGCTCACACCTTAACTCTCCCTCCCATGGCATTACTCACAGTAATCTTGTCTTCGTGTAGAGCTGAGAAGTGCTGAAGAGGACGGTTTCTCCCAGCTTCCTCAAGCTGTGTTCACCAAAAGTTGCTAATTTTCCAGCCTTCCATCAAGCCCATGGTCTCTAATTCTGTGTTGTTCTGTAGGCTTCACTCCAGCAGTACCGCAGTAATGCTGGCTCCCCAGCCAACCAGTCTCCCACCTCTCCTGTCTCCAATCAAGGCTTCTCTCCTGGCAGCTCCCCTCAAGTAAGGGACTCTGTGCTTCCACAGGCCTTGCTTCTTGTGTCTGTTTTAGTTGAGTCTCTCCATTACTGACCCATAGTTGTCTCACTGTGAGTGTGTGTGCCTCATGCATTACTGATTTCTCATCTCGTGTGCGGTTTCATTCTGTTCCAGAGTTTTTCTATAGCTGGTGAATTGCCTTTTTATTGACCCAAGCTGCTTACTGGGATACTGCAACACTCAGTTACTACTTTGGGGCAGACAGCAGCTGCAGGAAGATCCTCTCAGTGAGCAGTGTTGTGTAGGAGCTGAAGGTGAGGGTGGGAGGGAGAGGGGGAAGCTTGTGAGTAGATCCATGGGGCTGCTCCGTTCCCAAATCCCACCTGTAGGAACAAGGCAAGCAAAATTCTTACAGAGCATCACAACAGGAGCAGAAAATCCATTTTCTGTTTCAGGATTTAATGCTTAAGGCTGTAAGGAGGATCATGTCTGAATAAGTGCTGCCCCTTCCTGGTTCTGAAGCAGAAGCTGCCCTTCTCCTTGCCTTCAGCAGGAGAGCCAGTGCTCAGCACAGAGCAGGGTGTCAGGGCTGTATGCATTTTCCATAGCCCTTGCTTAATTGCTTCTTAACTTTTTTTTCTGACAGTTCTGTTGCACCTCAAAGGAAGCAAGCAAGCTTAACTTTGCTGATTGGCACGAGGAGCAAAGCTGCAGGCGGCCTTGCTCCCAGCTCTGGAGGGCACTTGTGCAGCCCAGGAAATTTAGAGTTTGTGATTTTCTTTCTCCTTTGACTTCTCAGTGGCTCTTGGCTTTGTCCACAGGCTCGTAGCCCTTGGGGGAAGCCTGCTGTCACTGAGGGAAGGGAAAACAGCTCAGGAACAAAGCAAACAACAACAGGTAGTGATTATGGGGGCAGCTCCCAGGTAGTAGGATCTGAAGAGCAGAAGAAGCAGATTGGTTCCAGCAGCAGAACTGCCTGTTGTGGAGCAACAACACTCCAGCTAACGAGTGTGCAATCAAGGAGTGCAGCCAGGACAGCACTTGCTCCTTTTTCTCCCATTACTTTTAGGTCAACTCATCCTGCAGCTTCCCACTGCAGTGTTAGTGACATGTCACATGCAGTTCATTCACCAGAAGTTGCTTTTCATCTTTCCACATCTCCTGATCGATTTGCTCTTGTGTTTTAGCTGTCTGCTTGTTACCTGGAGGTCTTCCTGTTCCAACACAAATTGAAAAGCTCTGCTTGTAGTTCTCAGCTTTGTGTGTGCATGGCTTTTCACTGGCAGTGGCTTGTGCTTTCCTCCTCTAACACCTGGCGTACAATTCCAATTAGATAGAAATCTGCTTTTTTTTTTAGTGGAATGGCTGAATGCTGGATACATGGTATGTATTTTTAGGCTAATAATTTAAGCCAGGGGTTTGTGGTTTTGTTTTCTTTTTTCTCCTTGCAGTCACCACATCATTAACCCAAGAAGATGAACTGTTGACAAAACAGACCTCATCTAGTGTTTCTGTAGGACATGGTGTTAGCAAGATGTTCTTCACAGAGTTGTCAATAAATTATTCCGGGACTCCGAAGTGTTGACGTAATGACATTTCCAGTTGATTTCCTTTGGGAGTTTCAGTGCTTACAAATGCAACAACTGGTCTACTTCAGGGCTGAGAAACAACGTGGGCCTGTGAGTTTGGTTAGCAGTCCTGAGCGTAGGCTGGCACAAGCGGGTTTTGTTCTCTGTTGGTTGCTCTTGGTGTTTCCCAGTGCTTTCGGGATGGGAGCAGTGCTTAGCAGAATGTGAGATCTGAGGTTGTGCCCTGCTTCTAAAGCTCCTGCACCAAAGAGATGTCAGAGGTGGCAGGAAAATACCCAGACCTCGGTCCTCCTTGGAGCGCTCAGATCAGTGCTGGAAACACAGCTGTTATCCAGAGCAGCTCAGGTTCACACTGAGCAGTGGTGTCCTGAATGCACTTCTCCATCAGAACAGGCACACATCTCTGTCAGACATGGCAGAGCCCTGCAGCACTGGGGATGGGGCCTCTCCTGCTCTGCTGCAGGGTTACTGATGGCTCGGCTGAACGGGGCTGAGTTGGAGTAGCACCAAAATGCTGATCTGAGGATAGCTGGGCAACAGGCAGCTTATCAGCGTGGTAATGAAGCAGAGCATGTTTAATTATCAAGTCCAGCTTCTGCAGGAGGGCTTTGCTTTCTGCCACCAGGTGCCGTGTGGCTGTTGCTCTGCAGTTGGGTTCCACCCTGCTGCTGCAGTGGGACGCCTGGGAGGGCAGGAGGACTGCTCCCAGGAGCAGCAGTTTCCCATTTTCACCTCTTTCTGAGGAGGGCATTGAGTCACAAAGATCCCATTGTAGTTTTGCAGTCATAGCTGTGACAGATCATAAGTGAATGCAGTGAATCAGGACTTTATTTCTGTCCGTATTCAGGGCTCAGGCTGTGTAGGAAGAGTGGCTCCATTTGGTTCAGGTGTTTCCTCCGGAGAAATCCTGCTGTGATCTCCTGTCACAGCAATCTGGCAGCTCTCACTCCTTCCCTCTCGTGAGGCCGCACTCTCGTGGGACAGCCAAGGGTTCTGCCTGAAGGCAGGATGGCTTTTGTTAGCTTTAAAAGGAATATTATATTGCTGCTTTCCTGCCTTTCTCCTCTCGTGGGGAGTTTTGTACCAGGCTCACCCTCCTTGCATGCAGCCTGCAGGTAAGCTGAGATGTGCTGCTGGTGGAGGAGGACGCCCGGGATGCAGCGTGCTGTTTGTGGGATGTTCTGTGTGCTGCTGGGGACACGTCCCACATCCCAGCACCCCGAGCTGTGCTCAGCGCTTCTCCCTGTGCTGCTGCAGCTGAATTGTCTCTCCAGCGCTGTGGCTTAACGTCTCAATCTGCCTGCGCTCATAGGGAGAAGATTCAGAGCCTAAATACGTAGTTAAAGCATCTGGAAAACGCTATGTGAAATGTTTTGTTGTCTTTTTTCCCCCCCAAGGCTTAAGCAAACTCTCCACGCAAATCAGTTTTACAGAGCCCCGTCCCCACGTGGGCTGCTGGTGGTTGTGAATCAGGAGTCATCGCTTCGTGGCAGCTCTGGGGCAGTGCTGAGCAGTGCTGGAGCGCTGACCCACAGCTCTGGTCACTTCATCTTGCCAGAGGGACCGGCAGAGTCAGCAGGGGGTGCAGCTCTGCTGGGCTTCTTGCACAGAGCTGCAGGTCGCGCTTCGCCATGGCTCCTCCGATCTGCAGCTGGGGTGCAGAGTGCAGTTTGGCAGTCGCAGGGGAGCTGTGCAGAGCTGCAGGGCTGTGCCTTGCAGGAGATTCTGCACGGTGCTGCAGGGCTGTGCCTTGCAGGAGATGTGCTGCAGGGCTGTGCCTGCACGGGGCTCCCGGCGCTGCCTGTCTGCACGGAGGCTGTCCTTCACAGCAAAGTCGCGGTGATCCGTGCTTCTCGTGCGGCCCAACGCGCTCGTCTGCATTCGTACCTCAGCAGCTTCATGTCGTGTGTCCTCCAGGCAGTTTGTTGGGTCCCTGGTCGTGTCTTTGTGCCCCTTGTAGGGCTGTGTGGCACAGCTGGGTCTGTGCTCAGGGAGCGCTGAGCGGCGCTGCCCAGCGGGAAGCACCGGCCGTGGGTTCCTCTGTCTGAGACCTTTGCACCATAAAGACTCTGTTTTGTTTTCAGCATTCTTCCATTCTGGGGAGTGTATTTGGTGACTCCTATTATGATCAGCAGATGACAGCTAGGCAGGCTAATGCCCTATCCCATCAGGTGAGCAAATTCATCTCCGACTTTCAGCTGTCTCGGCCACTTTCAGCTTAAAATAAATATAATTCAACTACTGGTTATTCTGTGTAAGATCACGCTCTGTCCTTTTAATTTCACTTTCTTATTTTCCGTTTGCAACACGTAGGGATCTCTTGTCTTCCCCCCATCCCAACTTCTCCGTCCCCATTCCTCCCTCTGAGCCAACATAGCAGATGTTTCTAAATGTGTTCTGCCGAGTTGATTGGATTAGAAATAATGACGAGGCTCTGGCAGCAGGTAAAATGTCTTCCAGGTAAAATGCCTTTGAGGCGGTGCTTGGTGGGCAGAGGCCCCAGGTGGTAGCATGAATTGGTTGTGTTTCTTCTTCCTTCCTGCTTTGTTGTAAAGCTACCGCTCACAGTAACGACAGCACCGCTTTTATTCTGGCATCTTCATTTCCCCACATTCCCAATTTGGCAGTGTTGGAGGTGTTCTGGAGAGTTAAGTCAAGTCTCACCAATATTTTGACCAACAAAAGCTAAAGATGAATTTGTTTGCCTGCCTTTCTTCGCACCCTTCCCATCCTTGAGCTCTGTAAGTTATTTTTGCTGCCTTTCCCGATGGTTGGAAGTAACAATTCCTTTGTGCCTTGGTCTTCAGCTCGAACAGTTTAACATGATAGAAAACGCCATTAGTTCCAACAGCCTGTACAGCCCCTGCTCCACGCTTAACTACTCCCAGGCAGCAATGATGGGCCTCACCGGCAGCCACGGCAGCCTGCAGGACTCAGCACAGCTCAGCTACTCCAGCCATGGGAACATCCCCAACATCATCCTGACAGGTGAGCAAACCCCACGCTTTGCAGAGCCCGGCTCACCCGGTGCTGCCTTGGTTAGGGGAGAGCTGGGTGTCACTGCTCTTTGGGGCTCGCTTTCAGCTCGTGTCAGTGCTGAGTTCCTGGCTGCGGGGCTCCTGCTCCATCCCTGCCATCAGCACAGCGCCCTGCTGCTGACTCACACATCCACGAGAGCTGAGCTCCTTCCTCTGCCCGAGCTTGCCAGCAAGGATTATTTCAGTGTTCCATACGGTGGAGAATCTGGTCACAGTTGGACATTTGGAAACAGTTTCTGCATAGGTCACTGAAAAAGCTGGAGTTTAATCCATCCTTCAGCCTGGGGCTCATACTGATGAGAATAATGCAAACTGAAGTAATTGTTCCTAAAGCAAAGGGAGAGCGGAGACCCGAGTGTTGTCCCTTTGTAGCCCCAAATACCCGTAGATGAGTTTAGCTTTGTGTGGTGTCATTGAGCTCTGACAGATCTGTAGTTCATCCGGCTGGAAACGAGGATGGATTTATCTCAGCTCCACCTTTAGTTCAGTAGATGATTCAGGGGGGAATTATAGCAGGCTGGTTTTTTTCTTGCTGTATCAATGCTGTGCCTGGAGGATGCATGAGGCCAACACCGCTGCCTTTCTGTCCCTCTTCCCCGCAGTGACAGGAGAATCTCCTCCCAGCTTATCGAAAGAACTGACCAGCTCTTTGGCAGGAGTGGGCGACGTCAGCTTCGACGCGGATTCCCAGTTTCCTTTGGATGAACTCAAAATTGACCCTTTAACCTTGGATGGACTGCACATGCTGAACGACCCGGACATGGTCCTCACCGACCCCGCCACAGAGGACACGTTCCGCATGGACCGGCTGTGACGCGCGGGCGCCGGGAGCTCAGGAGTGGGGTGGTTCCTGGATCAGCCGAAGCAGAGTCCATGGGTCAGTCGTGTCAGAGCCGGAGCTGCTGAGAGCCGGAGCTCTGTCCTGTACAACGTGTACAATGAGTAAAGCTTGTTGTTCTAAGCTTGCAGCGCTGCAGACCCCTACTCCCTGTCGCGCCGTATTTCGCCCCTTATCCACTCATTGCCATTAACGAGCAAGGAGTTTCCATCAGCCTTCTCCTCTCCAGAGCCCCCCCTCCCCCACCAAAGCTCCGGCGTTGTCAATTTATCCTTTGCACTAGAAGGGGGTGCTCTTGGGCAGGCGAGGGGGGGTCCGAAGCCAAGGGAAAATTGATTCTAACAACCAAATTCTGGCTGTGGTTGGAGCGGGGGGAGGCACCCAGGAGTGCCCCCTCCTCCCCCACGCATCGGGAAGCAAATCTCTGCATTGCCACCCTGGGGAGGGGGGGGGTGGGGGGGGCAGGGGAGCTCCTGTGGTGTCGTCTCTGCTTTGTGACAGCTGCTTCGTAGGGCGAGCGCTTATTCCTTGTGCCCCCGTTTGTCTGCAGGTGTTCCTCACGTCCTTCTGCCTCCCTGTTCTGAGCAAACTGTGCACGTGGAGGAGCCGCCCCACGGCCTTCGCAGCCGGCGACTGTAAACACTATTTTCAAAGCTTTTTTTCTTAAAAAAAAAAAAAAAAGAAAAGAAAAAATTTATATATATATATGTAATATATATATTTATATATATGTATACATATATATGGCATTTCTGAGCACACAAAAAAGTACTATAATTCATTACTTGATGAGCACGGAGGGAGGATCAGAGCGTTTTGAAGCAGCTGGAGGCAGAGAGGAGGGGAGGCGCAGAGCAGAGGTCTGGCTTTGCTCAGTGTGAGGTTCCTGGGCAGCAGAGGGGCATTTCTACAGCAGTGCCCGGCTGAAATCACCACAACTGGTTTTTATTTTTTATTCATTACTTATTCTGTTACCGTTATTTATGTTTGTTTGTTTTTTTTTTTAATTTAAGTATTTGGATATTAGCGACGTAGCTGAACTACATACCGCCTACTGAAGCACTCTATGTAATACTTGTACATCTTCTTGTGTTTTTATTCCAGAAATATATTATATATATTATATATATATATAGGTATTTTTAACTAACTGGAATTCTAAGCAGATGTTGAGCAGCAGGAAGCTGAGGGTGAGGGTTCCCTCTGCCGTGGTGGAGCAGTGTGGTCAGGGTGCAGGGACTCCTTTCAGCATGGGGTGAATCTGCTCAGCCACCCCACGGCCGGGCAGCACAGCGCCCAGCAGCACATTGGGCTCCTGGTAGCAGATGCTTTGTTGGCCCTCATTGCTGCGGTGCGGCTGAGCGGTGCGTTACAGCGTCCTTTGCTGGCCGTGCTGCTGTGCAGCTGGTGAGCTGCAGTGCTTCTGTCTGCACTCCCAGGGCTGCGTCTGGTTGGAAAGATGTGTTTAAAGGTTCTTTGGGAGCATCGCTGCTGCACTGTTACAGCACTGTCGGTGTGACACCGAAGGAGGCACCATGCTGGGCTCTCAGTGCTGTCCCTCCTCAGCAAGGTTAAGAGCTGGCATTATTTGGGTTTCATTAACAAAGCAACCAATTACGTGGTGCGTTAATGAGGCAGTGAGGGGCAGCTCCATGCAGGAGGGGCGGAACACCACGTTAAATGCACCTCAATTAAAGAGCCCTTTTAGTTCCCATTTCCAGACGAGCTGTGCTTCGTGTCCCTCTGGCACTGCTCAGCCCAGACCTGCTCTCTGTGCACTCGGAGTCACCGGGCTTTTTGCATTTTATCTCACGATGTCCGTTCGTTGCCAGCTGCTGCCGGCTTTAAGCAGAGCCCTGCAGTGCTTCTCCCCACTCCTGTTGGGGTTTGGAGCTGCTGGTGGGGCTGCCCTGCTCCTAATGAGTTCCTAATGAGTTCCTAATGAGTTATACACATTTCTGTGTGCTTCCAGAAATCAGCGGGACGCCGTCCTGAGATTTGTGCAAACGCTGCTGCGCGGAACCGCTGTTGGGATCTGTGTGTCGGGGTGTGTTTGCTCACGTTTGTGCCATTAGTTTGGACCATTTGCACTAAAAATGTTTTTCTTTCGCTTCCCCGTGTCCGTCTCTGCAACTGGAAGATCCCTCCCCGTGCAGCAGGGTGCCTCTGTCAGCAGCATTTGTTGGGATGCACACCCAGCTGTGCACCGCAGCTCCCAGCGGCCGCCTTTCGGGTCGCTGATGCTTTTTCAATTTGAGAAAACCAAAAGGCAGCCCCGACTGGGAGGAGTCCCATGAAATCGGTGATGTGGAGCCCTTTGCTTTGAGGCAGCCACAGAGGTACGGTGTGGGTGGGAATGCTTCTCGCCGTCCGCGTGTTCTTTGCAGTTCTGTCCTTCCTCAGTGGGATTTCTGTCTGTATCGCTCTCTTGTTCGAATGACTCTTAGACATTTGCATGTCAGTTCTCGTTTGTGATCTATTTTTTTTAAAACCAGTCACTTCAGAATGAAGCGTCCGCGTCGGAGATGAGATTCTTAACTGGAGACTTTCACAGGGAGCTGTTGCTAAATGCTACCTTCTAAGTTTTTTTTTTAAACTACGCGTGTATATAAGAGATCTTGTTTATTAGACTTGTAAGTAGACATTTAAAATGGCCTTAACTTAAAACAAAAAAAAACAAAACAACAACAACAAAAAATCACGTCTGGATGCAACTGTCCAAATTCGGGACCACGTGGCTGAGAGGTGCAGGATTTGTTCCTTCCTCGTGGGAGGAGGAGGAGGTCGCAGCACTGAGCCGCGCTGTGCTGGGGAGGGACTGCCCGCCCCTCTGCCCTTCTGCTCATCTGCATTTCCACTGCGTGTGCATGGGAACAGCCCGTGGAATTGTCAGATGGAAACGTGGAGGGGAGCTGCGGTGGTTGGTTGGTCGTTGCGGTCGATGAGCTGTGAGTTCTGTTCTCACCTTAGATGTGGGTGTGTTGGGAGCTGCTGCCCTCAGATGTCAGAGCGGGAGGAAAAGTCGCGCAGCAAAAAGCTGCTGCTATCATTTCTACCTTCTTCAGTTAAATAATCACGAAGCTGCGTGGGGTCGGAGTTCCCATCTGAACGTTCCTGCTGAATGAACCTGGCCCCTCCCCGCAGCGTGCTTTCATACAAATACAGAGAGAGCTCCCAAGCTGGGCTGTTGCATTTGCCAGTGCAATGGGGAATCCATAGGAATGAACTTTGGGTTTATAGAATACTGTGATTTTCAAAAGAAATCCAGGTTTGTGCTGCTTCCTGCAGTGCAGGCGGGGGCCCTCGCTGTGCACTGAGGCCGTGTTGTCGCTGCGGCGGATCCTCGGGCTGAGCTCTGCTCCCCTGTGCTGCGTGGCTGCAGCGCAGCCCCGTCCCTCCAGCTTTGCATGGCAGCAGCACTTCGCCCGCGCTCAGCCGCAAACCCTTCTGTACAGAAAACCCCTTCGGGTCCCGTTTTTCTTCTTTTAAAGAGGAAGGGGGGGGAGAAAGGTTTCCAGAAAGAGGCCGTCAGTTCACTGAAGGAGGTTATTAACCATTCGTGTATTTTCTTACCTTTACAAAACAAACAAAAGGGTTTCTAAGGAAGCGTTCCTGAGAACCACTCAGCAAAAAGTGTTTGCGGACCAAGCGAGGCAGGAGCCGCCCTCTGAGTTCTGCTCCGCTCAGCTGTGTGCCCTCACAAAGGGGCTGCAGGGCTGAAACCCCCCCGGGCAGGGAGAGCAGAGCCCGGCCAGGAGCACAGCATGCATTCCTCTGAAAGCAGAACCCCCTCACTGTGATGGCAGTGTGAGAGCGCAGGTAGCGTCTGTTCCGTCTGTGTTCTTTTTAAAAAAAACACAACAAAACAAGAAAAAAAAAACCAACCCAAAAATGGGGAAAAAAACCTAATGCTGATTTGTAGTGTTCCTGTTCTTTGTATTTCTAGTTGCATCTTATTTATACTGCGCAGTGTAGGCATGGATTGCATGTCGGTTTTCTATGCGGGCACCACGATGACATGATAACTGTGTACTATAAATCATTTTTACCTTTTTAAACAGAATCATTGTGTGGAATTTCTATACTGCAAAACGAAACACTACATTACGTACTCTATTCATTTGTGTTATTTATTTTATTTTTTCGCCGGGGGGAGGGGGGTGGTTTGAACTGTGGTGTATATTGCCTTATGTGGGCTTGACCAATTTTATCAAAATAAAGGCCTGAAGGGGTAAATACACTGCCTGGTTTCTTTGGGAGGTGGAGCTGTGGCTGTCAGAGGGGCACTGCAGGGTCAGCGTGTAGCAGAGAGCAGTGCATGGCGTGGGGAATCTGTAGAAGGGGAAGTGTGGGATGTGACTGCAGGGAGCCTGGGCTGAGCTCTTACCCACGTTCTCCTGGGAGCAGCTTCTCCTCTCCTCTCCTCTCCTCTCCTCTCCTCTCCTCTCCTCTCCTCTCCTCTCCTCTCCTCTCCTCGCTTCACTCTTTCCTTGTTGCAGGTTTTTTGCTTTGGGGATGGGAAGAGTCTTTGTGAGCACTGCGGGTTTCTGCAGGTGAAGGCAATGAGACCAGAAGTCAGGAGGAGTGGAGCAGCCGTCTGCTTTCCCCCTGCAGCTGCTTGTGGACGGTGGCTTTGCGTCCTTCCATCCTCGGGTTTCAGGTGCAGCGCCGCTCCTTGGCCCAACACGTTGTGTTTTGTGTCGGGTTGTTGCTCCTCTGCCATTTCCTGGGTGATTTGTTGGGCAGCTCTGAACTTCTCTCTGAATTTCAGCCTTCCTGGTCACCGCATCCCGGGTTCAGCCGTAGCAAAGCGCTCTGGAGCAGTGCCTGTGTCTGCAGTGCCGTGCTGCAGTGGGAGCACAGCAGTGACACTGCTGGGAAGGAGCCTGGTGCCAGCTTAGGAGGTGGAGCGATTTGGCAAAAAGCACCATGTGGTTTATTGAGCAACGTTTAGTTCTAATATTCTGCCTCTGTGTTGGAGGAAAGGTCCGACAGGTGTGAGCAGAGCTCTGTTCTGCTGCCAAACGTCCCCCTGTCCGCAGGGAGCAAGGAGCGCTCAGTGCTGGGCCAGCAGCGGCTGCAGGGACGGATCTCTGAGGGATCTGATGTGATTTTTTTCCTCACTGCTTTTCTTCTGATGGCATTTCTGCCGTCGCTGTCACACATGTGAGACACCGAGCAGTGACAGCACCTCAGTCGGTTCTTACAGCAGCTGATAGGATGGCAGGGAGATGATAGGTTTGACTGTTTTACTCCTTAATTTACTGCCTTCAGCCTATACAAATCTCTAACTTGCTCTTTTTTTTTTCTTACAACGTAACTGTGCAGATAGATGCTGTTTCCCCTTCGTGGCTGCTGCTGTGTTCAAACAAAGGCGATGGGTTTGATGGGTGTTGATCTGATGCTGTGGCACTGTGCTGGCACACATCGCTTTTGTTCTGCCATCGCTTTCGCTTCCCGCGCTCCGTCGCTGAAGCAGGGCAAACAAGTTGTAGGGTTTGTCTCAGAGCGTGGACGTGTTGATATCTCAGTTGTCACCAATTGTTTGCTGCTTTGAAGAGGTTCTGCTGCTGCCTGCCAGGGTCGGGGCGGGCGCCGGGTTCTGTGTGTGCTGTGTTGGTTGTGATGGTTTTTCCTTTGCTTTGAGCCCATGGTTGGGGCTGAGCTGCTGAGGAGCGGCAGCCAGGCAGGTCAGCTCACAGCCGTAGCACCGGAGCTGTGCTGCGTTTTGCTGCTTTGTTGTGTTTTTAAGCTCGTCCGGATGCTGTTTGGAAGAACGCTGTGTCTGTCTGTCCGTGCCACCCACCCAGCTGCAATGAGCAAATCTAAAATAAGCGGATGCACCCGGCCCTCCCCCAGCTGTGGCTTAGCAGACACCTTCATGTCGGCGTGGCTTTTTTTGCTGTTAAAGTCATTGGGTTGTTAACACACGTTGGATCGTGTTTTGTGGTGTATTTCTTAGTTTGGTTGTGGCAAATGAGAGTGAGGTGGGCCTCGCAGCAACAGGGACCAGCGGGTGTTGGTGTGCTGGCAGAGCACAGGGCTGAGCTGTGGCATTGTGCTCTTCTACTCCATGTTTACATAACCCCAGGAGGCTCTGTGGGGGGACACAGTTAAACAAATATTATCCAGATTTCATCTCTTGGCCACTTTAGAATATCCTTCAGTAAACAAACGCGGACGGACAGAGCGGACGCGGCAGGACAGCTCTGTGTGGGAACTGAGGGCTGCAGGGCGGGCACTGATCTCCCCCTGCTCCATCTGAGACCTGTGCAGATTGGTCCATCCTATTGCACTAAACGTGCAGTAGAAGCTTGAATTGTCATCACTGACACTTGGTGAGGGGAAGTCTGGGATGAGGCTTCAGCTCGTGCTCAGGGGTTTGTATTTGTAATAGCACTGCCCAAACCTTTGGAAGTGGGGCAGGTTCTGGGTGTGCATTCGGCCCATTTGTGGTTCAGCACAAAGCTGATGAGCTGCTGGCTCTCGCTGGGCTCTGCTCACAGTGCTGATCTCGTTCTGCCTTCTGAGCTGCTGTGTCCATATGGCCACACGTTCCTTTGCACGCCCTGCAGGTCAGTCAGTCCACATTCTTTATACCGTGGTTTAGGAAAAAAAAGGGGCAGAAGGTCCCAGTTTGTAAATCCAATCTGAGAACTGTGTTCTGCAGCCGTAGCAGGGGAGAGTCAGTGTTTCCTTCCTTACAGAAACGGAGCTGAGTTCTGGCACGCAGAGGGCAGGTGTTGAAGGCAGCACCATCTGCTCTGGCTCTTTGTCACGTAAGAAAAGCAGCAGTTACCAAATACCTTTGCTTATGTGCGATGTTTCAAGGCTCTGTCTGACAGGAAAGGGTTAACGTGGCTCGGGGATCCATCAGACATTAAACACAGGGAAGATGAGCAGGGAGAACTTCTCTTTTTGCTGAGGAGGTGATGCCATGGGAGTTACACGATTATATTTACGGAGCTGAAGGCTGGGGGACCGGGTTTGCTTAAACAAAACTTCCTTCACTCACTGGATCCTGAATGCCCTTGGCATGAGCTCCTTCAGACGACCTAAATATACCGTACTGCACATCCCCTGGTCTCTGCTCAGCATTATACAGCGTAGCAATTAAAATATTGTATTCCAGCCAGCTATTAGCTAATAAGGCAGTAGATACTGAGGTTTTCTTTCGGGAGGAATTAGGACTTTTAGCTACTTTTTCTTGTTACCTTAACAGAGCCCCCATCTGTGGAGGGATTCCTCGTAGAAGAAGTGGAAGTTAAACGTATTAGTGCTTATGGAGGGGAGGTTTGATTTTAATAAAATTAAATACAGCTGCTTTTGGCAGCTTCTCTCACAGACTGGCAGCTAAAAACAACTTTATGTAGTTCGTTGAGCTTGGGAAAAAAATGTCAGATTTATGCATTTTCAGAGACAGTATAATATACTGTTCTTTACAAGTTAACTTTTTCTATTAAAATAATTTGTGGATTATTTCACTGATATATGCAATCCTATATTCAGCTACAGTGTTGGTGGCACAGGAACGCTGGAAAAAATTGTCCCTGCGACATAAAAGTTTTATTTATTGTGTTTTTTCTATAGGTAAAGTGGAAAACTGAAGTTGGCTTTAAGTGTTTGCAATCTGAGAAATGATGTGAAAAAGCAGCTCAACTAAATGTACATTCTTTTCAACCTTTTCTTTTTTGTGTGAAGGCTTTTGTCTTTGTATCTTTGCATTATTTGTAAATGAAATGTAATAAAAGTTCAAATGTTTTTGTCTCTGGCTGCTTAGCTTTTTCTTCCTTGGTTGTGTTCCTTGTTTGTTTGCTTTTGGACTGAAGGTTCCCACTGTTGGTCTATTGGTGTTGATAAACAAACAGCAAAATGGAAATATTTTGGTTAGTTGGCTTCTTACAGCTATGGAGAATGAACTCCATGCACATCTCTGGCCATGCCACATTGCAATTGGCTTTTTAGAAGCTACAGGGCATTCCTTGAGTACTTAGAGCTATTTTGTATAAGAGGTTTGTAATTTGGGCTGGCTCATTTGCATTGCTTCCTATTGAAGAAGGAAAACTCAGTGTCTGTCTTCATGACAATCTCGGAATGGTGGATGGAGATGTTCTCAAAGTGCTGTGATCAGCAAACAGTCTAACTGAGCCACTTAGCAAAAGGGCTTCTTTCTGCACATCTCTGCTTATGCTGTTGCCTCCTGAGTGTGAAATTCAACTCGTTGTGGAGACCTGTGCTTGATAAGATGTGGTTTTAGCCATAAGTTTTCCAGGAGGAAAGTTTTGTTCACACCTTGCTTGTTCGGTAACATTTAACAGTAGCAGCGCATCCAGGAGGTGTTTACCATACAGTCTCATTCCAGCTTGCAAAACTGCAGTGAAGTGTTCAGGAGCTGCCTTTCTGATGAAACTATGAGCAAGTTTCAGTATAATTGGTGTGAGCTGCTTGCATGAAACAGCTAGCAAAACTGGGCTTTTATTTTTTTAGACAGACTGGAATGCTGCTTGGTAACTGTTTAGCTGGAAGAGAGTGAGGATCTCAGAACTGCAGGACTTAAGACTTTCCAGCTTACCAACTACAGAAGCCCTTTGTGAGCGTCTGCTGTACCCAGCCCAAATGAGCACCTCTTAATAGAAATAATAGAAATGGCTTCAGATTTCCCTCATCCTCAGCTGCTTCTTGGAGTTCTGGCACGGTGTCATAACACAAACCAAGTGTAAGGCCTTTGCTTATCATTCTGAAATCTGCAAGAATGAGGTAGGATGGTGTAGCTAGAGGAAGCTTCTTGACGGAAAAAACTCTCCCTGTGTATTCATACTGCTAACAGAATTATTAATTCAGCTGAGGCTCTCCAGCCATCCTCTTGCATTCAGCTTTTGAGGGTTTCTTTCTTTTATATCAGTATTGGAAGAGTTTTAGAAGAGGAAAAAAGCAACATGCACGTGACCAAGGAGAAGTCTATTAGAGTATTTATTATCCAACATTCCAGAACAAAGATACTCTCCCTAAAGTGCTTTTTTTTTTTAATACTTTGTGAGCAACTTGGACATAGGCTGCTTTCTGTGACCCTTTCAGACTTGTGCTGGGTTTGCTTTAGTAGGTCTTGAAAAAGATAACATTTACATTTGAGAGCCTTTGAGTAGGGAAAAAAGTCCAGGGAATCATCCACGCTAATTCTTAGTCAAACAATTCAGCTACTGCAGTAGCTTCTCAGCACATCTTTCTCCATGTAGTGTAGAGAACAGCAGCACAGGCTTCTAGGCACACTTGACGTCTGTGCTTCTGCTGTTCCAAGAGGATTTTGTAGCATTTACAGAAGAAGTTGCTGTTGTAGAAAACATGCCAGATAGTGCAGTGACACTTGGTGCTGTGCAGAGTGCAGTGGTATATTACTTACAGTTCTTTATACAGTATACCAGAGGCAACAGTGGGGCAGCTGAGCACTTTTTTATAAGCAAATTTTGTTGGACATTTAAAAGTCAGGTTAGTCTTGCTGAACTTTAAATGTTTCATAGTCTTCTGGAATAGTATCTAAGGAGATAAAAGTAAATATAGATTAGAAGTAGAAATGAAAAATAGAATTAAGCTACTGCTTGATACTCCTTTCCAGCTGTCCAACCATAGATTAACTTGTTCAAGCAACAGCTTCTGTGTTTGACCTTCAAAATTAGCTCACCATTGCAGCGATAACGCAGGTTTGACCAAATAATGTTCTCTTGGGAGAAGCAGAAGACTCCCAGGCGCCCTCCTCGCATAGTTGTGTCAAGGACAACTCCAGTGTCTGCTACAACCTCGGGGCCTTCATAGAAGCGAGCTCTAGAAAAGTACAAGTGTGTAGGACACGGACATGAGATTGATGCACTCACAGAAATGGCTCCCCAGTCACTCTCCCTCCTCTTTACCACAGAAGTGCACTTGGAGATGCTTGCTTTTTGTGTCGAACTTCCGCTCAGCCATACAAAGGAAGCTGTGAACCCCTCACCTGATGTATCCAACTTGAGGCCGATGCTGCAGGAACCAGCGGTACGATGTCTTGTCCTTCCAGCCAGAGTTGCGGGGGTCCTTCCACAGCAGTTTGACTTGGTCTGTGGTGTCCCCAGTGTGCCACAGAGAATTGCGCAGATACTCACCTGGGCCTGTTTTGGACTTCACTGCCTAAGGTGGAGAAGAGTGGTGAAACGTGTGGATAAAGAGCTGACTGACCACAGCTGCTGCCCCACTATGTGCATCAAAGCAGCACAGCTAAGAAAGAACAAAATCCATTGCTGACTTGTTTTTCAATGCTTTCTTTACCTTCAGTTGAATACCAGGTTCTGCGACTGCTCGGAACGGGTTTGCCTGCCAGTATGTCTGTTCCATCTGCTTCCACATGACCACATAAAAGCTGGAACTGTCCTGGTAGCCAAATATGAAGCCAGCATAATCATCATCTGTGGCAGTGTTGACGTGGAATGTGCCCTCAAAGTCCACTCCATTGAATGCTGTGTAACCTGTAGTTGGTAGGAAAGCAAATGCTCTGCATTCTGAGGTAAAACATGGATCCATTTCTTCCCAGACTCAGATGGGGGTGGTAGATTTTACTAAGCTAAATCTGAAGACTCTGCTTACTACAACCAATATTTTCCAGTAGATGGAATCATTATGCAGTACCTGAAATAATTTTACAAGCTGCGCTGTGAAGTGCACAATAGTTTTTTAATAGGACAAAAATAAGTGCCTCACCTACAGCCAAGCCAGGATCACTGTTCATGGTTTGGACAATTTCCATGCCCTGTGAAAGATGAACATTGTCTTATTAGTATCTCCAACCCTCTTGTTAAATGAGCAGAGAGGCACACCAAGGTGAGCCTCTATCTATGTCCAGGACATTACTGAACAGTGGCATTAGGCCTGCAAGCTTTTAATGAAAACTGCATCCAATTTTGTACAGGCTTGCTACCACCATACTTGCTGTCCAGTTCTGGAGTAGTGTCCTACCTGGTTAAGGACAATCCAGTTGGGGTCAATCTGTGCATCACCCTCAGGGTCCAACACAACTGTCTGGAAAGCCCTGAAGTCTGTTAGTGTCACTTCTGCGTTCTCTGGGCACACATCAATTCTGTCAATCACCATGTCTCTGTCAAAGTCATCTTCACAAAGATTTCCTACACCATCACCTGAGAGGGACAATAGAATAAACAAGCTTTCAATTTCCCCTACCCTTTGCACTTAAGTTTTACTCAGCTAGCTTTTGGCTAGCACAGCTTAAGGTAGACATGTCTGTACAAGGATAAAAGATGTTCAGAGCATTGCTGCACTCTTCCTTTTTGTCGGTAGCGAAGAAACCCTGACACTATCTCCTCCTTGTAGGAATGCTATGAATAGAAGCAGCACCTCACACTGTAGGTACTTCTGGAAGAGAACTTTTCCTAAATATAATTCTGATGTCATGGTTATTGGCGATTTGAAAATGATGCAGAACTGTCTCAAGTCAGTACTGAGGAGGTCTTACTTCCTGCCCATCAAAAGGTCAAACTCCTACACATTAGCCATTAGAACTGGAGAACCCTGAAGCTGATGTGCAATAATATTTTTACAAGCTGCAATAAAATACATTTCCCTTACCATCCGAATCTTCTTGGCCAGGGTTAGGGACAAGCCGACAGTTGTCAGGGCCTGGAGGTTTCTCATCTGGAATCCCATCATTGTCATCATCATCATCACATTCATCTCCTAGTCCATCATTGTCTGTGTCCACCTGGGAGCTGTTAGGCACTGATGGGCAGTTATCTCTTGTATCTTGGTGGCCATCGCCGTCACTGGTGAAGAAAATGCATTATACAGGTAAAGAGCATCCACTTACTTTTTTTTCCCCAAAAAGCTTGCGTGCCCTTTCTAGCAGCTGGGATCCTCTACAAGAACAGGGGCAGTTGGTGATTTTGGCCTTTTAATGTCTTGAGCTATTAGCTGCACAAACATATAGATCAGAAATATGCCAGCTGTAGTCCATGAACAAATTTGTGGGGATAGCTAATGAAAAGCAAGCTGCTGCCAGCAAGCTTACAGCTGCTAGGCCTTGGGCTGTACTTCCAGGAGCAAGTTTTCTGAAGTTAGAAGAAAATTCCACCTCCCTTGTTTGAATAAAAAGACACAAATTAAGGCCAAACTGACTTGTCATGGTTACCAATGCATGCCTTCCATGCCTCCAAAACTCCATACAACCCAAGTATAATATTTGCAGTAAGATCTCACCTGTCCTGGTTGGTGTCACAGACATCTCCCACGAGATCATGATCAGTATCTTTCTGGGAAAATAAAGCAAGAATCATTTAAACATTGGTCAATGGGAGAAATGGGCATTAAAGGAGAAATAAAAGAGGTGTTGGCATTGTTGTTCAGTTTGGAAACGGAGCTCACAACAGTGGGAGAGTTCCTGTACGTTGTCCTGATGAATCTGAGTATCTGTCTTTCCAAACCCAGATGAACAGGGCAGTTAGAGAGAACACCAGAGAGCACTGCTGCTTCTCTGCCTTATCCTCCTACACACTAGGACATTTGCCCTTGAGGGTCTGACTGTCTGTACTGCAGGACTGCAGTTAAAATTCACAAGTAGTAATCTTGGTGAATTATCAGGTATCTACTTCAGGCAGATGATGTGAGCACTGTTTTGAGTGAGAGAGAAAGCTGTAACATTGCAAAAGTGGAAGTGCTTCCTTACCTGGTCTGGGTTACTGACTGTTGGGCAGCTGTCGCATATATCTCCTACTCCATCACCATCACTATCTTTTTGATCAGGGTTAGGAACTCTTCTACAGTTGTCTGTTGGATTTTTGATCCCTGTAAAACATGCAGAGAACCCATCAAGCCAGTAGGACTATTCCAGTATATGCAGCAAGATCTCTTTTGGATATAAGAGATGACAAATGTTGAGGACAGTTGAATCTGTGCAATAAGGCAACAGTTTTGACTTGATGGAGGAAGGACAACAGCATCAGCAACTGATCTTAAAACATACTTCAGACTGCATCCTCACAGACACTACTGTCCATCCATGAACCTGAGAGGAAATGTCCCTAACTGCATTCCTTAGGAAGAGCTGAAGAACTGAGGAATGCGACTCCAACCTGGAGCCATATCTGTGCAGGAATGAGCAGCCAAGAGGATGATGATGAAGCTGTCTGCGGTTCCCTCAACTATGACAGATTCTTTTTTCTCTAAACTAGACGTCTACATAATTAAAAAATAAGTCCAAGTTAACCTTGGCTATTTGACATGGAAGATTTAGACAGTGTTTTTTGAAGGCCTGAGACTGGAAAGGAACAATCTAATTGGTAAACTGCATGACTTCACTTCCCACTTCTCTGCATTTACCTACTACACCAGCAAAGCATGCCAGCAGGGAGTTACTTGGCAGGAAGAAGCAAGACCCAAACAGCACTAGATGCACTGGAAATAATCTGTAAATAAATATGTATGTTTCAGGCCAGCAGCAATTGTGATTTTTGGCTTTTGAAAGCAGGCTTTGTGCAAATACAGCATCACTAGCTCACAGACTGTTTCTAAAGCCAGCCAGTGGTGGTGTTTTTTCTCCCAGAACACAGCCCTGACACATACTGCACTGAGCCAGCAGCTTCTAACAACTTGGATATCCCTACACTTCTTCACAAGTTGAAATCACAGCACAAAGTACTGTCCTTGTCCAGGCTGACATCAGTTTGTGTCGTACATCTTTCTGAAGCCTGAAACATGACTTTAACTGCGTACAATAAAAGTGCTATGAAAAATTGTTAGCATCATCTTGAAGATAGAACTTTAACCCCTATGAGAACTGAACTCTGAAGGATACTGGCTTGACTGCTCATCTGGACATTTTAAAAACAGAAATGTCCTTCATCCCAGCAGAAATAAGTTCTTCTCTTGCATAGCATAAGCCTCTGAGTGCTGGTTCCTGTTATGAGGATCTATAGCTTCATGCTGACTAGCTGCCTTGTTCTTATATTGGTACAGCTGCAACTGCTCTTACCATCTCCATCTATGTCATCGTCACACTCATCTCCTTTCCCATCACCATCAATGTCCCGTTGGTCATCGTTCTTCACTTGACGACAGTTGTCACAGGCATCACCAAAGCTATCCTTGTCTGCATTGCGCTGGTCTGCATTGCGTGTGTACACACAGTTGTCCTGCAGGAGAGAGAGATTTGCTGAGGGGTCTCTGTATTCACATTAAAGCTGCAGGCAATTTGCTTTGCAGGACCTCTCAGTATATTTAGGTATGATAGAGTAAGCTGTAGAATTCAAACCTCAGCATTTAATATCCCATCTCCATCAGCATCATCATCACAGGCATCTCCAATTCCATCCCTGTCTGCGTCCTCCTGGCCAGAGTTGGGGACAGTCATGCAGTTATCCTGAAAGGAAAAGAAGGATGAAGTGGCAGGGCACGCAGGCAAGCTGTGCATGTCATGGAACCTTTCTGAATTCTGCACGCTGAGCAGGATTTCAACAGCATCAAAGGCAGGGTGAGGCCTGCCCTCAAATAAGAATCACCCATTTCTGGCTCAGCATTCCCATGGTGGACTGTTTCTAACTAAATGTGTGAGAACTGCACCTTACCTTGCGGCACTTCTTGTCAGAGCAGCGCAGCTTTTCATCAGGGACTCCATCAATGTCTGTATCCTTCCCACAGATGTAGCCATTCCCTGCCCACCCCACAAGGCACTGGAAGAGAGCAGATAAACAAAACGAGGTTGCTGGTGAGTCCCCTGGTAGGGGTAATGCCTCCAAAACTGAAAGCTTTGCATGAGAACCAGCAGAACACACTGCTCTATGCGTACACAATGCTCTATGGGGGAAATGTTGTCTGAAAGAGACACTTCAGCTGAAAATAGCATTTTCAAGTAGTTCAAATCAAGCTCTCTGCTTGTTTCTAAGATCATAAAGACAGATGCATCAGCAGAACTTTGGATCAGGAGATTGAATGGTTTGTCTACTTTTTCAGCTGCAAGTAATGCTCCAAGACTTAAGATTTATAGTGCTTAAGACAATTAAAAACAAAAACAAAATAAAAACAGCAAACAAACCCAAACTAACAGCACAGAGGATCTGAGGTGTCAGGAGCAGTCCACTTCCCCTGAGATCACCCAGAGAGATTGCCATAGCTCAGGTGTTAGCAGGGAGCAAGTCTGAGCCGACAAGGCATGCTCTCCAGGAGAGGGCAGTGGCAGACCCAGGAGAGCAAGCACAGTGTAGGAGAAATGGCAGCGAGCAGATCCCAGGGCAGGGAGGCCTCGGCCTTACCGCACAGGAGATGGACCCATCCCGCTCCACGATGCACTGTGCTTTCTCGTGGCATGGGCTGGCTTCACCGTTAGGGCAGAGTCTCCCTGTCTGGCTCTTGCAGCCAGTGATTTGATCCCCGACAAAGCCAGGTTTACAAGCTCCACACTTGTAGGATCCCTGTAGGAAAAGGTAATAGGGAATTAACTATAACATGAGTCTGGGCAAACCCTTCCTGGAACCTCTCCTCGGGAGCTGGATTGCCACAGTAATAGAGGCCCCAGAACCCGGGGAAGAGGGATGTATGAGAGGCTTTTCAGTAATACTTACCCGTGTATTGATACAGATAGAATTTGGGACACAATTTCTGGCAGCACCTGTCTCACATTCATTGATGTCAGTGCAAACCTACCCAGGAAGAACAAAATAGACATTAAATTCACTTTTCAGCAGATATGATGTCACACTGCAGAATGAGGACATCACCAGATGCAGAAACAAAGCTCCCAACACATCTTACTAGCACTGAGAGCTCAAAGTTTTCCTGGGGACAAGACTGAGCCAGGTCCCAGAAACATTCCTGACCCCAAGCAAGGTGTCCACCCTCTAGAGGGTCACCAGAGATTTTAGCCTGATGAAATAGCTTAGCTCTGAGCTGAGCTGTCAGCGTATCTGCTTACTGTAAAAGGATAGAAGAGAGTAAGTGGAGCAAGAAGGTCAAAGACTGTGTCCTATGTCCAGCTAGCAGCTCTCTAAATAAAGCAAGCCACAAGCCATTCTTGCTTTTGTCAATATATTCTTATATACTGTGGTAAGACTAGATGTTAGTTTTTCTTTGTTTTTTGAATTTTAATCTGACAGTATCTGTCTATACCAGGAGGAGCTGGGTACCAACTAGCTGCATCAACTCTTCCGTGTCCTGGTATGAGGGATTCCTCAGGCTGGATTCACAGCCTCAAATCTGTCACAGACATGGCATTCTGACCAGCATAAATTCAGCAGCATTGAGATTTTAGAGTGGAGTGCTTTGCTGCTGACATGCTAGGATGGCCTTGGCAACTCTTTCCTGTCACTGCATCAGCCTTACCACCAATATGACACAATTATCTTGTAGTTCCCTCCAATTTCTCTGAGGGCTCCAAGACCCTTGAATTAATTACAGTAAGAGAGGGGAAAGAGTCGATGGTTTCTGAAGGAGGAGTTTCTGTGCCTTACCTGCTTGTTGGCCCTGGCATAAGCTAGTCCAACTCCTTCGACCGTTTGCCCAGTGAAGCCGGGAGGGCAAGGATCACAACGGAAGCCAGGAGCAGTGTTAATGCACTGGACCTTTGGGAAGCAGGGGTTTGCACTGCACTGTAAACAAGAAAGAAGTTGTACAGAACTGTGAGGCAGGCCAGTTGTGAAGGCAGTTCCCAAAGCCTTGCTGGGTAAGATCCAGCTATTGTGCTTTTATTTTCTAAAGAACAAAACAAAAATGCATAGAAGTTGCTGGCTTTCCTTACAAGTGGAAAATGCAGCTTCCCAGCCTCAGTTGTTCTCCCAAGTATGTGCAGACAAGTAAAACAAATAAAATTTCAAGACTGATTCTTTGTAGGTGACATCAATTGCCCAGGCAAAGTGCTGGCTTCACTTCACACTTTTCTTCCTGGCTGTCTCTGAATCCAGAGAACTGGATAATTTCTTAAACTGGTTTTGAAAAACAACAACAGTTGTTTGTTTACTACTCTGGGAAGCAATTATCCTTCCAAAGTTGATATTGCTGCTTGCTTTATTCCTCCAACACGTTATTATTTTCACTGAATTCTTATGCTCTGTGCTAACAGATGCTTTCCAGCACTTTCCACATTTTGGTGGCTAACAGATTATCATCAGCCTCAAAATGTCTCATGAACTTTTTTAGTTTCAGCAGGTTTTTAAATGGCTGTAAATGCCATAGAGGGGGTATAGCTTTGTAAGACGTTTACAGTTACTTGCTGGACTAATAGTGGAGAATAAGACTACGATTTGGGAACCACAGAACTAAGGAATCTTATGGACACAGAAAATTAATGGCTGAGTAAAGCTTTGAATACAGACAAAATAAACACTTAATATAAAAGAAGAAAAAAGTGAAACAATATCTTCTAGCAAGGTTTAATTTCAAGGCAGAAATGAAGCAATACATGTGGTGTGCTAAGATTTACTGTATAAAGGAGTATTTGGATAGCATTTGATTCTGTTCCACACATAATAAATCTTATCTCTAACAACTCATCAGCCACTAGCTCAAAAGATTTTAAGGCCAAAGGGGATTTTTTTAGTGTTCCAAAATCACCTTTCTGCAACCAAAAGATTTATTTTATTTGAGTCTGCCTTTTTTAGAAATAAATGCCTTTCTGTACTGGATATAAAACCAACATGGACACAGACTGAGGCAGGGTGAGGAACAGACTTTGTTCCACTGAAATGATGTTTCTGTTGAACTTCAGCTCCTAGGGGAATTGCAATACTTTTCTTTACAGCCACAGATGAAATCGCAGCACTTCAAGAAAAGCGAGACCATTTTGTAACTGCCAGCCCATCCTCCTTGTTTCTTACCTCATTGATATCTGTGCACTGGGACCCATTCCCTGAATAGCCTGGGGGGCAGGGACCGCAGCGGAAGCCAGTGCTGGTCTCAGTGCAGGCCACTCCAGGGAAGCAGGGGTTTGGGACACATCTGTTAAACTGTGTCACAGTGATGACAGGGCCTGTCGCTTCAGTGTGTATGCCTAGAGGACAAAAGGAAGATGAAGGAAGGAGTTATCTTTGCCAGACCCTATCCAAAGCTGGTCCTGTTGTCTCAGGAGATTTCAGTGTGTCTCATCCATAGGACATTTCCTTGTAGCTTTTTAAGAGTTAAGCAGCTGTAGCTCTGCTTTGCAAATAGAGAAAAAGGAAGCCAGAAGCAGCAGCTGGACTGATCTCTGAGTCAGAGGAGACCAAAATAAATAAATTAATTCAGAAGTCTTCCCTCTTATTCCAAAACTCCTGTCGTGCTGCCTCCCTTTTGGTGTAATGCCCTTGCTTTTGGAGTTCCACAGAGAACAGTTCTCTCCCCGGTTCCTCTACATCTACATCCCACTGGAAGCACAGACCCAGACACCTGGCTAAAGCACAACCCACACAGCACAGGCTGAAGTCTGGGAAGTGCTGCAGAGGGCTGGAAGCCAAAACTTCACTGAAGGCTAACTCAGGACCGTGAATAAACTTTCTAGAAGCTGGAGTTGTCACTAATCTTCCACATCCACTGCCCTAGGGGACTTTTTTCTTCTGCTTTCTCTGACTTAATAGCCTGATTTTAAAAATCTGAAACAAACAAAAAACCCAACGCTCTATACTAGCACCAATAAAATCTTCACTAAAACAGAGGCTTTCTCTCTTAATGCTTCTCCTTCTGAGAAATAATAAGAGAAGCACATATAACTGCTGTGAGCCACATTGTTCAATGCATGATGAAAAGAAGCTCCAATTCTACAGCAAGAAGTATAGGGAAGAACACACATACAGCACAAAACCAAGTGGGGAAGTCAGAAATCAAGTAACAGAGAGAAAGTTCAAGACAGTTTTATGAGTGAGTTACTAAAACAATTGGTGTGGATGAATACATTTCTGCACTACAGGTCCCAGAAGCTTTGGCTAATCTCTTTTCCAGCAAAAGTACAATCTCTCCAAATGTAGAAACAGTTATTGCTCCGCCCTTCAAATGTACTGGCAAATAACAGAGCATCTCCACGAACCATGCTTTCTGAAAGTCAGATATATTGGAAGTAAGTTCCAGTCCAGAGAAAGCATTTAGTGAGGAACAGAGGGCAAGATGTACATGGGAGAATTTATGACCCTGTTTCCTGAATCCTCTGTAAACACCCTTTTTGCTTGGAAGGTGACAACATTAGATGGAACGAGTAGCAGAGCAATGCCTCTTGGGGGTGATGTTCTCTTCCATTCTCAGCTCAAGAGTAGCCAACTGTATCCCACAGGACAGCCGGTGTGCATTCCCAGGCAATCCTAACATAGGCCATGGGCTGGGTTATTAAGAAATGTGGTTGGGCAGCTTTCTGCACTAGAACACAGCTACCCTGAGAAGCACAGCATTGCATGTCACGGAACCGTTAATAAAGTTTATTTTAGAAACTGTGGACGTGAGCAAATGCAGAAGATTTGCTGGAAAGATATGAGATTTTTAATGCTACTTCTGCACTCCATGCTCAGCAAAGGGGTAATAACTTCAATTGCCACTGAACCATGAGAACAGCACGGAACACTGGTCTATGTGTGCAGAATGCCATGGGGGAAAAAAAAGCATCACTAACACCAAGTATTACTCCCTGACACTCGGGTAGCTGTGAAACAAGCTAATTCCTTAGGGCAGATGGTCACATATGGTGTTTTACTACTTGTTTGGGCACAAAGGTATGAAGCACATGGAGCAAGCAGCTGAATATAGGGCTCAACTCAGTAACTCACCACAGGCATCACACTCCATGACTGTGTTCTTCAGGAATGTTATCTCCTTAATCTAGAAGAAAACAAGAATCACCACTTAGCCAAAGGCTGAGTTTTGCTGCCACGCATGCTAATGGTCCCACTGTCAGAAAACAGGGTGTCTGAGAGTGCACAGCTACTTACAAATTAATTCTTACCCCTAAGTCTATGTTGTAGACATTGTGGAAGCTGAGGTGGCTTGTTCTCCCTACTGGAGTATTCCTACAGGCTAACTAGATAATACTATTCTATTACAGATGCCAGAAACACTCGAAACACACAGAAAAGAGCCATGGACAGAAAGGAATCTACTTTACTTGTGTCTTCTTCTCTGGAAGATGCTGAATTAACAGTTCTAGAGAGGTCTGCATTATTTAGCACTAGAGGGAATGGCTTCAAGTTGCGCCGGGGAGATTCACATTGGATGTTACGAAAAATTTCTTCTCCAAAAGAGTGGTCAGGCTCTGGAATGGGCTCCCAAGGAATTGGTTGAGTCATCATCCCTGGAGGTGTTCAAGAAACATTTAGATGTGGTACTGAGGGACACGTTTTAATGGGGAAATATTGGTGGTAGGTAGACAGTTGGACTGGATGATCTTGGAAGTCTTCTCCAACCTAAGTGATTCTATGACTCTGTGATCTGCAGCTCAGATACTGTATAGACAAAGTCAGGAAAAGGATCTGCTGTGTGCCACTTCTGCAAAAACACAGGTCACCTCTGACCTCATACCATTTTTTGGCCCTAATGCCCTCATCATAGAGACATTTTGAACCTATTCATAAATGCTCCTTATTCCAGACTTCCCCTGCTCTCCTCTAGCCTCCTATTCGTTCAAGCTTTCTTCAACAAAGAGATAATGTCACACTGGCAGTGAAAAGATGATGTAGGAATTCGGGACAGACAAAAATAAGTGCCAGTCTCAAGCTAAAATGTTCATGACTGTAGCATCTTAGACAGAAACCCTAGCAGGCTTCTTTCCTGAAAAAGCCTCATTGGCTTTTGACAGCCAATGCTCGAGCACAGTGTGTGACCACCCTTCCACGCCCTATGGACTTCGTGTTTCCACTATTAAAGACATTTCACTTTGTACTTGGATAAAATCATCTGCTCATGTCTCTCTGCCAGCTTCCACATATAGCAGCAAGATTTCATTCTATGTTTGATTCTCTCTTTCCTCCAACGTGGTCAGGGTTACATATTTTGAACAGTTAATGCAGAAGTATGTCTAACCCAAATCCCCAGAATATGTCCCATTTAGGAACGGGGGACAACGCAGAGGGGAGATGTTGGAGAGCTGCTAATGAATATCAGAGGTTCCTTTGTGCTGAGAATTCTTCAGCCTTTGGCTCAGGAGACGAGACCTGGGCTTTTATTATTATGTCTTTTGCTGTCCTGACTCCAACATCTCTAGATGATGAATCAAGAAAAAGTAAGTTTTAGAAAATCTCTGCACAAATTAAGACTTTATGAACTGCCTCCTGGCTTTCCAGTGACGTGTGTCAGTTTGTCTTCTCGGGAAGAGTTTTCTTGAAAGTGCCATTTAAAAAAAGTCCATGGATTCAAAAAAAAAAAAAAAAAGTAGGTGGCAAGAGTGAGAGAAAGAACAAATAGAAAATCTATATGGAGTGTAAGCACTAAGCTGGAAGGGAACACTGGAAATCATTGCTCCAGGCTGCCAGGAACCATGTCTGACCTGATTCCTAGTAAACACTGGGTATTTATGCAGAAGCCTGAAATTTGAGAGTAACTCAATGCAACAGATGTTTTTGCAGATTACAGGCCGCCCAGTTTGCACTGGCACACAGACCTGTCTGCCATTCCAATTAGCTGGCAGGCCGAAGCTGCTGCCCTCAGCTCCCAGAATGGATAAAAGGGAGAACGGAACCTTTTTCTATACCTAAAAGAGTTGACCAGACAAACCACCATCTCCTCGTTAAAATGGGAAAGGATCTAAGCACCCAAGAAGTTCCAAATTCCCTAAGAAAATACCAGAGCCAGAAAGGCTTAGGATTAAATCAACAAGAGGAAAATGAATACAGGGCTTGTTTAGACTCCATATGATTTTCCTTTCCAGGACCCTAATGGACAGCTGAAAGGTCTCTTCCACCTTCCAAGTTTGGACGTTACTGATTTCAAGTGCCCACAAAACCAAGGAAAAACTGACTTGTTTTTCCAGTTAAATACACATCTACTGTGTGTCTTTTTTTAAGAGTTCATTCTCTGTGTACACTGCTTTTCAGCAGACATAGTTCCAAGCAGCAGAATCAGATGAATCTACTTTTTCTCAGAACAGACCTAATTGTGAGACCACCTCTTGACCCTGGTGTTCAGAGCAATAATTCTATCACCCAACACAGGCCTTCTCATCCCATAACTCAGCACTTAAGGCAAAAGATTCAGCGACTGATCTTGAGCACCAGACAAGGATTAGATCCCTTTCTCACTTACCTGCTGTTTCAACAAGTCTCGAACTTCCATTAAAACACGGTTAGTTTCTCTCATCTCTTCCAGCATTTCAGGCCCAACTTCAATTCCTACCAAGACACAGTGGTTGGGAAAAACACAGAAGAGCTATTAGCAGTACAAACCAACCGATATCATTAACTTATATTTAATATTAAAGACATGGAATCCTCCACACCAGTTTCTCCCAGTTCCTAACTGGAAACTTGCTTGGAAGTAATAAAGACTTGCACACAGGCAAGGATTTGCTCTTGGCAGTGATAATCAGCCAAGCTTGTCACTCAGGTAACAGCTACCTCTCAGCAAACAAATTGTCCTGGCAGCCAGTTGTGGTAGCTGTTAATCTGGCATAGTCTGAGCAGTTCACACGTTGGAAGCCTTTGCTGCCAAAAGAAGCAAATTAATAATTCAGTGCTGTGAAAGTTACTCTGAAGGGCACAGGTAAATCAAAGCTCTTTGCTGAGTCTTTCTCAAATGTGCTGCCAAGCACTGAACGTGGAAAACTAGCACCTCAGCTGTTACATAGCCTGTTCTTGAGGTTCAGACTTCTTGCTGCACAAAGCTGGGTTCATTTCGGTTAGTGGCAGTTTCAGATTGCTTTGCAGTGGCTTTGGGACACAAAAGGTACATCTGCATCCATGCATGAGTTTTCCTTCTCATATGGTAGATTCTAGACCTGCCTCATCTACTGAGGCATGCTAAACATCTAGTCCACGCTCTTCATCTTAGCTCTGAAAGAATGAATGGAAGTTGCTTACTGTTTCTAAAAATATATATGAAAATATGAATAATTTAAAAACAACCGGACTGAAAGTTCAACTCTGGTATTCTCCTGGCTGCCATGAGAAAGTACAGCCTTGTTTCTCAAAGCTTTCCTAGATGAATGAATCTATTAACAGACGTCACACCTTGCCTACAGTGTAAGCAAATCTTTATGAAGACAGGAATAGCAGTGTCTCCTACTAAACACGAGGCAAACAAGCAGGGAAAAATTAGCTGGAGTTGGGGGGTCTGCTTCTTCCAGGCATGGAAAACGTGCCAGCACCAGAGGCAGTGTGGTCAGCCCTTGCTGCTGAGGACAACTCAGGTGATAAATGAGCCTGAAAGCCTCATGGGTTTCCCTGCACAGAACCAAGAGGACTTGATGAATATTTGTACCTTCTCCAGTACATTTTGGTTTGGGAACTAAATTGAAAGCACTGCAAATTCTAAGAGTGGATGAAAATGACATTTCTTATTTTACTGAAAACAAGGAGCTTGCACATAATTTGAACTTCAAAAAGGAGTTTTGAATAAACTCTGTATCAAGACTCAGGCAGCTTTGTTATTTTTGTTCTGGAAGAATTTTCCATTCCTGATAGCAAGATATATCTCAAAATAAATGTTTTTTTGATGTGTTTTAAGTTTCAAATTCACAATAATGAGTCAACCACTCAGGAGCGATTCCCAAACTAAATCTATGCACTTGCAGACATTTCTGTTACTATGCATCTTTCTCTATGAGCTCATTCTCTTTCCACGGCACGCATTTGACTCTTGGTACAGTCCTTGAGGCTGAACGTCCCCTAACAGGCTGTTCAGAGAAGTGGAATTTCTGTAATGAATTAAGCTGAACTAAGCATGGCTAAGTTCCTAGAAGTTAGGGCTACTCTAAGCTCTAGGTGCACAAGCAGAGAGAATATCCGAGGCTCCTGCTACAGGACATCCTGCATAAGCTATTTTCTTAATCACATGCAAAATGCAGATTAACATAAATTGTCTCTTGTAGGTCATTACAGAAGACAACACTGCCATTTGCCCCAAGATAAATGCTTTTCTTAAAAATACATCACTAATCAGGCAGGAAAGAGGGGGAAAATCTAAGACTGAACATTTACAGAGTTTGGCTTCAAGTTTCATACATGACTACAAAATCTCTAAACACTGCTTTCAGGCTTCAGCAGATGTAGCTGAAATGTTATCTTCTTGCTCATTCCCTGCTGCAAAACAGAATATTGAGAGCAGTCTAGAAAACAGAGTCCAGAAAATATAGAGAAAATTAGAATTTCTTACCTGCTCTTCTCTGCTGACATGATGAAAAAGGACAAGAGAGGCAGAGGAGAAAAACAAAGGCTAGAGCTGAAGTCATCTTTGAATCTCCACGCAGTGTGGATGTATGGGCTTCTCTTGCAACTACTTTTTAACCTGCAGGTTTGCCTCTGCTCCCCATTAGTATCTGTGGTTTCCTATTTATGAAGTTGCATTCCTTCCTCTGAAGTTCTTATTCTCTGATGCTGGACGACGGGTGGACGTCATTTCTGGCTGCTAGTCCACAGAGAACGTTACAAAAGTAAACAATATGAGAAACTCATCAGGAGAGTAGTTTAATTTTTTTTTTTTTAGATCGGCTTGCACCAAAATAGGTCAGAAAATTCCAGAATTAAATGGATTTTTTTTGGATCAAGGTTTTTATTTCTTCTTCATGGACACAGGATAGACAGATGATTCATATCCCTATCCCTCACAGATTTTCCTTCTAAAACTACTCACAAGATCACAAAAGCTATGAGACATCTGGACCCCAGTGGAGTTTCAGAAAAGGCTCTCAAAACACCCCAAGGCAGTTTTACCACTCACAGTTGGGGTAGAATTATTGAGTCATCTTCCAGCTCCAAAGAGGGGCTATCACACCATTTTCAGTAAGGGATCTGGGGAATGGACTGGTCCTTAGAGGCTGACATTCTCATTCCCCCCCTACTCAGGCTTGTCTAAGAGAAGGATGCAGTGCAGAGGTGACAGCATGAAAAGAAGGGAGACTGTGCTGCTTCTTGTCTGTGAAAGAATGAGTCTCAGTCCAGCAGTTTCCCTCAGTCAGTCTAAATCCAGCACTTTCTACCAGAAGACACAGAGCAGATTGAGAAATCCATGCAGGGAAGCCAAAGAAAATTCGCCCCCCAAAAGTCTTAAAGCTATTACATGAAGGAAACTGCAAGTTAAACCATGGCCTGTCAAAAAGGTAAGTCTGTAGAACAGTGAAATTCACACATTCTCACTGTTTGATTATGAAATCTATTAGTGGGCTGATCATCCAAAATCCTTGGGGACACCACAGACAGGAAAGCCCCAGAAAACAGTAGTTCAGTCTTTAAGGTGTTATAGAATATAGAATATTTGGATATTGACAGAAGGTTTTTGTCCTCATTTTGGCCTCAGACCTCCCATATTCAGGAAAAATTTCCCATCCCTGTGGCTATGCACAATTCTTGAAGGTAACTGTGTAGTCCTGTAGGCACTACTGAGCATGCATGCTCAGCACAGTATGCAAACAAGTGTTAGTTTTATATTACAGGAATGCTGCAGCAGACAGGTTTTACATTTTCTCACACCAAGTAAATTTATACTAAACATAAAGTTAGTTTGCCTACATTACCTAGTGGCATTTCCATGATTCTGCTTGTCTGGAACACGTCGCCTCACGTTATGCACAGCAAGTAACTTTTTGTTGTGAACCCAAAGATCAAATCAACCACGTAGGTTTATTTCTTGTGGTAAGTGGAATAAAAAAAAAAAAAGAACCATTTAATACAAGGCAAATTAAATATGAATACATTTTCTGCTATCCAAGTCGAGTATTACTTGATGGTACCAAGACATAGAACCAAACCTACATTCAAAAAGCCTTAAACTCAGACACCTAATAAAAATGTTGCTTGAAAGCCCATTATCTAAATAACTGGATACTTCTATGTTTCTAAGCTTTTAGAGGCCAAAAAAAAGAAACCATTTTTTCAGCAGAGGTAGTGGGCTGCATAGAAGCAACCATTTTTGAGGCCATGTGAAGCTAGCTTGTAAAACAGTGTGACCTCCAGCCAGCAACAGAGCAGTGTTTGCGTCCAGAAAGTGCTGTGGGAGACTGTCAAGAGGAGACATGATTCTCCTGCACAGAGCTCAACTTTTTCTGAACACTTTCAGCTGCTCAGAATCACAAACCCTGTTGCAATACTATAAATTGGTGATCACATTATGTGTAAAATTCACAAATTAAGTTATGCCCATTATTCAGCATTCAAACTAACTCTAAGTCAGAATGCAGGGAAGTTAGGCTATTTTCTTTGGTTTTACTATGGACTGAAGAAATTCAAATAATTGGCAGAAAAAGAAGAAAGCTCCCAAACTCTTCAAGTCACCGTGAAGGATGAATGGTAAACAGAGAATTTCACTCTTTCAAATATATCGTGTGGACAAGTTGCAAGTCAAAGGATTTAAAACATTAAGGGCTACCAGCAGTGACGCTGGCTGTCTTCACAGGGAGGCAAAAAGAACTTTGGAGACATGGACAATCTACAAGCTCATCACCATCTGTTTTCCCTTCCAAAAGTCACTTATAATTAATTAGTGGAGGCTGGAGATTAAACTGAACACATGAAGCATGTTACCTCTACGTGGTGTCTCTGCTGATGTGTTACAGCACAAGACAGAAACTGGCTTAGAAGCTGCAAGTCCTCAAACTCAGTGACGTCAGGAATATTCACTGCTGAGACATGACATCAGTTTTCCTCATCAACAATTAGTGTGGGACAGTATGGTGACAGAACAGTGCTTATTGATCACTTACTCTAAATGAACTGAACCAAGGCATATTATATTTACATTATGCCAATTATAAATGATGTCTTCTGCATATGAAGGCAGCCAACAGTGTATCTTTACATTCTAGAAACCTGAAGTCACTTCTCTTTATTTTGCAACAGATTCTGAGATCTTTTCTTTTCATTGATAGTGGAAAAATAACTGCACAGAGAAAAATTCTTCACAGCTTTCTGAAGTTGACCAAGACATGGTGTCTCCACAGAATGAGGTCATTGCTACCCTTATTTTCCTTGGACTCATTCTTCATCTTTCTATATTCAGATCTAAGGGCTAGAAATCCCATAAAACATTGCTGTAATGCTGCTTAAACACACAATAGTAGGTCAGAAAGCGTTCAATCATGACGTGATTAATTCTGGGTACCTGCTCCTGTTTAAAAAGGGCAAGTTGAAGAGTAAATGATATACTTGAACTTGTTATTATTATCTGATGGGGAAACATCTTCCAGATTTGTCAATCATGTCTTTTTTTTTTTTTTTTTTTAAAGTATTACTGATAAAAATAAATTAATAAAACTGAGCAGTAGATAGTGTTTATTTGGGCTTTGGCATAACAGTATTTTTGCACTCTGTGCAGTGCCAGGTTAGTTACACCTTTTTCCCCTGACTGGAGTTGACATCACAAATGAAACCAGCACACAAACAAACAACAAAAAGAAAAGCTCATGCTAGTTAAAAGTCTAAATATTTTCCATCTCTGTGTTTTTAACTAATGTTTGCCAGGCGAAGAACAAAAGTCAGAAGGAAAAAGTTATTTTTCAGTCTTAAGGTCAAGTTCTAAAAATAAGTGAAAAACACCTCCACTCTCCAAAATAGTACGCTAAGTGTTTTACAGTGGTTCTTATATATTTGTGGCCATAAGAAACAAAATTATTCCAGAAGATAACCAGTAAGGATTTTAAAATAATATTTTCCACTTTCTCTTTGTAATGGGATCAATAGTACCTATGACATTCTTGAGCCAGATTTCTCTGCCTTGTTCTTAAATGCTTCCAGTGATGGAAGCTCCACAAGCAGCTCAGGAAGCCTTCCAATGCTTTATATTCCCACTGCTAGAAAGTGTTTCCAAGAGATGCTCTTTAGGCCCACTGTTTTTCTTACCGTGCACACACAGAGCAGATCAGTACCTTCTTTAAAGGAGCGTTATATATTAGAAGATGTGCATTTCAATTCAGTAGTTTTACATGAGCCTGGTAATGCCCATGCATTAAAGCCAGGTTTCCAGCTTTCATACATCCACTACAGAAAGGTGGAGTTAAAAAAATGGTCATAGTCATTGCAAACTGTCAACTGTGAGTCCTGAACTCTGAACTAAATCACAATCAGTCATAATTTTTATTAAATGCCACCATGAATAAAATTGTCAATGTCATGGAAGATACATTTCTGTTCTGGTGTACTGTGAGATTACAAATGAAGTTGAACCGACCTGACACATTCACTCAATGCTCATTTCTATTTCACTCATGTGTAGATCAGTAATAAGCCCAATACATTAGAACTTCTCAGCATCTACTTATTTTGAATGCCGTGGATGGATGGACATTTGCAAATTCTAAAGACAGACATTGTAGAAAGGTCTGGACAGTGAAGTTTGATGCCCAGCAGTGAGCAGAATCATTAGTCTTGTCCTACCTTTCTGCTGAGTGTTTCCAGCCAAAACAAACTTCTATCTTCAGAAATTTGCAAAACATGATTTTACAGCTTGATTATGTACAAATAGTTATTTCATCTGTTGCTAAAACAGAATCTCAACAAACAGGATTCTTAAATGATTTATGTTTAGAACTATTTGTGGCCCCAAGATAACAAAGTTTAGGTAGGAACTAAGTAATGTAAATAACAACACCAGTGCTTTAGGAAAGGCAGATTCACTATTTGACATCAAAATTTACAGTGAAGCAAATATCGTAAGAAAACTCCATCAGTCAATACAGAATAACAGCCTCACCTCCTCTCCATATGCTTCATTCACTGCAAGATGCAATAATCCATTCAAGGTCGTGCTCTGTGACTTGTTTGAAGAGTTACAGCTTGCTGAAATCTGGTTTATGTCTCTTAACATCAAATCTCTAAGGGAAGCAAGATACTGAAGTTGACCGAAGACCTTTTATAAGTATTTTTAATGTTTCTTTCAATTAATCAATGGCAAACTGCAATGGCAGAGAACCAAGTCTGCAAAAATATAATAAATGGACATGGCTCCATTGTGCACTACGTTAATTTTATCATTAATTCTCCTCGTTTTCTACTCTACTGATGGAATTTGAGTAATATCAGTAAAGTCATTTAGATGAACTAAAAACAGTTACGCAATCTACTGTGGCTATAAGCAGAATGACATAACACTGGCCACAACTGCAGCAAATCAATTAGAACCCTGTGACAGGGAAGTCCCCTGAGAGGAAGCCACTGCATTACAGTACAGAAAATGAGGCCATCCTTGAAGTAAGATTAGAGCATAGAAGGGTCAACTTTCCTGCTTATTCCTGCAACACTATTAGGAATTTGATTTCTTTTATCCTTTCTGTGTCTGAAAATCTGACTTTTAAGGGGATATCAGTTTTTCCCTGAACAATTTCTTAAGAGTTTTAGAATGTGAGAAAACACCAACAACTTTAAGATAGGGTATAGAAATAGCTGAAAATGGTTTATGAAAAAAAGCTGCAGAGATGACTTCCCATCTGAGGGAGGACTCCCACATAAAAGGCAGATGAGCTGAAAACACATTCCAACTCTTTATTTTATCCTTAACTCTAGCCCTCAATCAACATCAATGATAGAACCAGCATGACCTGACTTGGGGTTTTCCACTATTTTTGCTCTTAAATAGCCAACACAACAAATGCTTCAGTCTTCATTGCAACAATATTCTTCTGAGGAAGACTGCTGCATAACTTGGTTACTAGTAGCTCCATCTGAGGACTCATCAGAAACAGTAGGAGACAAGGCCAGTGACAGGACTGGTGAAAAATCCATAAGGTAGGTCTGAGGTCTATGTGAAGAAAGGCTGAAATACGAGATCTTGAATACAAAACCACCCTGAGCATTGTTCTTCATTGAAAATATGGTCCAGAACCTCGTCATCTGTAGACAGATCATAGCACCATCAGATATTCTCCACTCCTGGGTCTCATACTGATAATCCCCTTCCAAAATACGTCAGATGTGGTGTCATCAGAACTCTGTCTGAAAAGAACGAAACACCTGGAACTAAAACTCTCTTTACAAAACTGAGGGCAGGAGGCCAAGCAAAGTAAGCCCACAAATTTCATATTGGCCCTCATTCGGCTTCGTTATGCCTCTCATTTAAGCCTGCCAGAGACAAACTCTGACAAATGAGAAGGGCAAAGGACTGAAAAGCAGTGGCACGTCCAGATTGAGAAGAGCTGTGTCCCATCTTTCCCTTCTCAAGCAGCTCGCTGTAACGAGGCTTACAGATGGGGGTGTAAATTGCTGCCAGAGCTCCTTCTCCTCACCGCCACCCTGCTCAAAACTATTCCCCAGCATATGTTGTAATCATGCACCCAGGAGGGTTGTTAAAACTTTACAGGAAACATCTCACATTTTTTCCTTTACTATTCATGCCATTTTCTATTATAGACAATAAAGACTTCTAACACTGGATTAAGCTCATTTGCAACAATGAGCTACTATTGCTCCAAGAGCCAGTGGGAGCTCAGACTCATTGAGGGAACTGGGAATAATTAACTGAATTGTGCTGGAAAAAAAAATAAAAGAAAAAGAAGACTGAAGGCTGTTTTGACCAAGGGAGATGCAAACTGATGTGATGGTTAAGCCATCATGTCTTGCTGGAAATTATTGTTGGGAGTATCATTAATGCTTGGAGTATGCAGTTCTTGCAGTAAAACTGTTTTGGCCACTGTCTCCCTTTTTGGTTTTCGCTACTAAAAGACACCTCCCAGAGTCATAATGACAATAACACAGTTTTCCTGATTGCTTTCACTCGTTGCTCAGTATGCACTCAGTCACTTCCAAAAACTCTCAGGGATGGCAAACCTTAAAAACAAAAGCTCTTCTAAGCAGGCTGGTTTTTCCTTTCCCCTAAATGATGTATACAATCCATCTCCCTGGTCAAATCTTCCTATTGTGTAATCCAGGGGTCTTCAGCAATAGTATAAACAGGAATTGTCTCATTACTGAGGGGACTGGAAGTGCTCAGGGCTCTGAGATCACACATGTAGGTGGGCAGACAGCACGTACACTTTTTAATAGCCTGGGGACCTGTCCTAGGGAGCAATGACTTGCTTTTGATCACCCTACCAAAACTTAATAATGCCTGGCATCGACCCCTTTACAGGCAGAATACTTAACATGAGGGGCCCTGGAACTCTACCGTGATGTGATGCTAGAGCTGTCTACACGTGATTAGTTCAGTAGCTACACATAAATGCACATACTGTGTATGAATAATGCTATTTCTGTATCATATGCACAAATATCACATGGATGGGAATTTGCTGTCCTCAGATCACTGCCTCCTAGCCACAAGCTGGCACACACCGTTAGCACTTTGCCATGTAGCTTCAAAAAAAGATCAAGTTTCCATCGTGCCTTTCAGCAAGGAAGATCCCAAAGAACTTGACAACTTATTCATACCTAATACCACCAGAACATAGACACCTTTGGGACAGAGAGCACAGCCAAGTATATAACAGAGTGCAGAACAGCAGGAAAAAAAAAAAAAGAGAAACATTTGGCTTGGGACTCCAGAGAAAACCACGCTTTTCAGAGAGAGAGCCAAGGAATGGTTAGCATCCGTTCACAGGAGACAGAACTGTGCTTTCTGTGGTCTCATCCCAAAGATCCACAGAGAAAATTTGAACTTCACAGTTTATTCTGCCTCAGAAGTATGAAGTGGTAAGTTACCTTTTCCAACACGCTGGACCTACTAGCTGCAGACCACAAAGCTGTCCTTTCTGTGCACATCTCAGGGGAACATCAAAAACATTTCCATGCCAGAAGTTATATTAAGCAAACCTGTTCAAGCCTTCTGGATACAGGCAGTAAAAAGTTGTAGCTTTTTACTAAGTGTTGATTTAAGATTAATGATAGCTCTCTTGACACTTCCACTTTCACTGACTGTAACAGGGGCCATTTTTTCTTCTCATTTGCTTATTTTCATATAACCTCTCCATAGCAATTAGCTCTACTGTTTACATTTAAAAAAAAAACAACCAAGAACAAACCTCCCTCCACACACACAAATAACACCAAAAACCAGAAGGATGATATCCAGTGTGATTTAACAGCTGGAAATAAGCAGAAGCAGTACCAAGCAATCAGGTCTTTTCAGGACACCAGTGATTAAAAGACCACTGTTATGGTACCCTGAAAAAAAAAACCTGCAATCAGCTCTTGCAAGAAATATAAACTTTTTCAGCTGTGAAAATTAAGTTATATTGTACACAGAGGAAGAAAGAGTAGTCACAAAGGATTAATTGAATCACCCTTTCATTTCACTGACTATAGGGATGCTGAAAGCATCAGGTCAAAAGCCTGAGCATTGCTTCCTCCAAACTCAGTTCTTCAAAATACCGGATGGTTAAAAGAAAGGGAAGAAAGAAGTTGATCACGAAATGTAGCACTCCTTGTCTCAGGAGGCTACACACTTAGGTTCAGTTTTAGTATGAATAGTTTAACACTTGCACGCAGAAATCTGACCTTTTCTTACACAAGAGCAGTATGGAAAAATAGCCTTTATGAATTACAGTGAAAAGTCTCCAGGTGTAAGTGCTTTCTTCAGTTGTCAAGGAATCAAGGTGAACGTGAGATCCGTGAAGGGCACGAAGAATAGAGAGATAAGAAGAACCAGCAGATTGTCAAGGCTGAACTCTAAAGCGGCTTCTTTATCCATATAGAAAAATGAGAATCTTTAATACGAAAAAAATATACGTATGGTTATCATTATAACAGAGCTTTAATAAAAAAAAAGTAAAATTCTAAGATGGTGGTAAAGCAGAACATTGTCTCTCAATCTTTTTTGCTTATACCTCACTTCAACTGCTTAAATAATTCTGTTAGATTTTGAACAAACACGAATGAATCGTCTTCCTGGAAACTGCCTTTTATCCCCTCATTACTTGCACCCAAAACCTTGACCACAATAGAATGCCAGTTCCCCAAGGATAAGCAGAGGATGACAAAGCCAGTGCCTTCTAGACAGAGCCCACCACATCACAAGGCAGAACATTCTCCACACTGCTGTCCCCACTTCCAGTGTTTGCCTGAGGCATTCCACAGGCTTTCTGTCAAAGATAATTACAGCTGTCATATGTATGAATAGACAAAGATGTTCACAAGGCCCACGCTCCGGGGGTGGGGGAGGACAGGTATCGTCCTCAGGAGCAGGATCACTCTGTCTCCCTCAAAAGAGAGATCTCATACAATATGAAGGTGAATTTTCAAACACAAATAATAGCACAGATCCAGGCAGCTGAGCCCTCATCTGCATTTGGTTAGATAACAGTGTTAAATACTCAGCTGTTCTCATGCAGAAGTATCTCCCCACTCAGGCCCAAAAGCACACAGGTATGACTTAAGAACACGATCCAAATTGCAGCTTTCTCAGTGCTGAAGGGAATGCCTGTGTTACCAGGTATTGTCCAAACTACCTAGGAGGTTAAGCAGGTGCAAGTCAAGAGAATCAATTCAAGAAGCCTATTAGCCTTGAAATGCACAGTTTGTGAAACATTTATGGAACTGTTGGTTTCATCATTTTCACTGATTATGGAGATAACCAGCTGGTAAACACGTGCCTTCCCTACTATGCTACAGCATCAGCCCACCTCACCATAGATCTCTTTTCATGTGCCCCTTCTACTTTCATAAGCTTTGAGACATTACAGATTACTGGCTTTATTTGAAATTTGTGCTCCTTTGTACATCATTTATAAACTCAGAGGAAAATTCAACATCATTCAGACTATGGTTTATTTTCACCCCTAGAGAAATGGAAAAATGGCATTCATGTACACAGGCTTAAAAAGCAGTGGGAAGCTCTCCAGAAAGATGAAGTCTGGAGAGTAATCCAAACCTCTTGAGCTTTCAAGAAAATATCAGACCAGAAATCTCACAGGAATGAACTGGCTCTGGAGATTTCTGGCAATTCCTTTTGCTGACCCCACCCAAATCTGAAAAACAGCCATAAAGGCAAAATCAATCTTTTTCACAATATTTTTCAGTATCGAGATCTGGGTAAAGATTCAGAGTTAAGTCCTTGCTTCATTTAAACTACTTTCTCCATCCAAAGACTGCAAGGACACAGATGGCATCTAATTGCAATAGTCACAAGATTTCACTAATTCTAATTCCACATGGAAACTAGAAGTTCGATCCTCTGTATTTTTGCAATGCTTCCCTCAATAAAGGCCAATTGCTTTTGGCCAGCACAGCATTCAGTTTCTTCCATTAACCTTTATTCAAGCCAAAACACTTTGGGTGTAAGCGACACTGAGTTCCTAAGACACTGATGGCCAGAGAAATACCTATCATGAAAGTGGAATCTGAGAGCTCTCCCTAAAGTCCAGCTGCCTTGTCTCTCCTTGACATTGCTTCAGTCTTTGAATGCTTTCTGCACAAACCATTACACTGTTCAACACTTCTTCCAGGAAAGCACACACAATTCCAGGAACCCCACGCCTCAGGTGAATAAATAGCCATCACAAAAGCAATTTTCAACTGGCAAGGCAAGAGACAACGTTGTAACTGTGGGTTTCTATACACAAATGCTGTAAAGGGTACTGTGAAGGCCAATGTTCCCAAGGAAATCAAATGTCAATGCATGGTTTGGATAGGAGACCTTCTGGAAGAAGAGCAATGAACATGTCTAACCCTGTATACTCAGCAAAATCTGATCTCACTGCCTGAGATCATTTGCTGGCTTCAAGTCACATCTGGGAGTTACTCCTAACACAGCGGGAAGAGAAACTGTTCTAAGAAGATCCGAGTTGCACTTCTAAACCTTGCTATAAAATAGGAGCTTTTGCCATTTATTCCTGCAGGTGCCCCCTCCCTTTTTGTTTCTTTCAGATGAGGTTTGTGGTGGCCTCTAGCAGAACACAGAATGAGTGATACAAAGAGGGAAAAGAGGGTGAGGCATGTGGAGCCCCTAAGAAGCTGACCAGGCCTCCAGCTATTCATAGATGAACTGAGTTAAAGCTACACAAACATAACAGCAAAGGGTTAATCTCCATACCTTAGTTTGATCTTTCAATACAGACCACGTGTAGTTCCATAATGGGTCATTCCATTAAGAAAAAACCTACAGTAACACAGTTTTTACGTGGTACTTCTGATGTTTCCTCATATCCATCAAGAATAATGTCCTTGTTTCATTTCAGCTTTTCTGCTTCCTCAGTAGAGAGGAGGTGGATGCACGTTAGAACTGGATTTAAGTTCCAAAAGAACAAATAGTTTAAGATCAGTGTGAAATCACAGCAATCATTCACATTCTTCCAGTGCTCCAGCTAGCCCATGATTTGGTTTCTTACTTGAACACTTACAGACCGATCTTAAACATACACAATATATGACTAGAATTACAAATGGCTTCCTCCACTCCATCTCTTCCTAAATCTTCACAGTCATAGAAAATACTGCGTTGTTTATTCTGCCACTCCTCAGGGTCATTCTAATACAGTCTTTTTGTACTTGACCTTGACCTAACATGCTTTGGACTTTCCACAAGACTTTTATTATACTGTGCAGCTTCTCCTGCTGCAGAAATTCTGCATTTTGGCTAGTGGCCTTGTGTTGCTCTTGATCCAAAGGTCATTGCTCAATGCTTCATATTACTTTTTGTTGAAATGACATCATTACCAAAGCGCTACTTAGAATTACTGCTTTGCAGACTTTCAGATCCTTTTTGCAATAATTTCTTCCAGTAAAGTCATATAAAAACCTGCAGCCAAGAAAGTGGCCTAATATGTTAGTATCTTGTCTGAGATTGGAATGCCTCTTACTTGCCAGCAGGTTTCCCAGAGCACCTTTGCTCAATCTTCATACTATAGCTGAAATAAAGGCATAGGATTTCATTTTTCTTAATAACATTTGCTAACAACTGCATACAATGTTTCTGTGCTCTGGGTTTCTTCCCTATGACATAGGACACTTGGATTTTCTGGACCAAAACTGAAAAACAATCTGAAAACTTCTGTTTGACCATAAATTAAGTCTGGTAGTTCATTTTTAGTAAAAACAGACCCAGTTCACAGTTTCCAGACTCCGTAATGGGTTCAAAGGGTTGCCATGAACCTTGCTCAGGGTCCAGGAATTCAAGCAAATTCCACTTCCATTTTAGCCTCTTCATCATCAATCTCAGATGGCACCACTTGATAACTGCTAGTCTGCATGATACCAGAGGGAGCATGGAGGAAGGACTCCTCTTTTCATAGCACTTCCAGAACCTTTCCATTCATTCATTGTCAAACTGGCTGCCCTTCACACAGGAGGCAGAGCAAAGCCAAAAGCAAAGGTTAGCCATTTGGAAGCATTGCTGGAAACCTAGCAGAGGGCAGGTTGGATTTGGTCCAGAGAAGGCCCCAAGGTGCTGCCATCAGGGTGTGGATGCTCCCAAGGCATGCTAGTGGGTCTTAAATCAGCCAGCGTGAGGAAATCCCAGGAACCAGCAGCAGCCTGGGGTGGGAAAATGGCTCTTCCTCTGCCCTGGCTTAGCAGCTGAGGAGCAGGCTATGAAACTCCACTGAAAAAGGCAAAACCAGCATGGGGACGCAAAAGAGCCATAGGAAACACTCTATACCATCAATCTGATACTTGGAAGCTCTTTTTTGAGCAAATAGAAGCAAATCCACTTAAGCCCGCTGCATTTAGGAAGTAGATAGTATCATAAATGAAATCATTCACTCTCAGGAGTACTGTTAAAACCTGGGACCCACCGGCCTCTGGATCTTTTCATATACTGTTTGACAAAATGCCACCAGTGGCCTGGGTACATTTCCAAGGAACTCATGAGTTCTGGGAAGGCATTACACAGCTACACTGTAACCATTCATGACCTGTGTTCAGTACTGGCTTGGTTCCTCCTCAAATCCACAAGATGCTGCAGGGAAAACATTCTTTCCACTTCAAGTAAGCTTCTCCATCCTGAAACCAGTCTGCTTCAGCACCCAACCTCTTTTTGCCCTGTACTCACCCCAAAACATCAGAAATACAAGATTTTTAATGGAAGGGCTTCCATCACGGGAAAACTACTGCAACACCTAATATATTTGGTCTCCCTCAATTCTAGATTTTATTTTTTTCTTTTTCAGGCAAGCAAGAAAGAAGCAGCTGTTTGTACTACTTTTCCTACCAATAGCTGCTACAAGTATATGAAAGTTTTATACTTGCTGTTTCCTGAAGCTTCAATATTGGCAATGGAAAGATAAGGTCCTGCTCTCAAAATCTGCATTTCACATCAAAAAGAACTGAGGTGTCCATGAAAACGTGTTAATCCTTGGGAGCTGGAGAGCAGAAAACTAAATGGCTGTTATTTCATGACAAGAACCATTTCGGATGCAGGTGTTTAGGCCAACAGGAATCTGAACCACTCACATTAAATCATGTAGCCACATTATGTGGCTAAACACGTGTTCTTACACGTAGAGCCTTCAGAGAAGTTTAGACACACTCCCTCCCGCAACAAAGCCCAAAGGGCAACACACCTAATTATTGGATTACTTACGTTATTTCATTTTTAAGACAAATGCCAAATTAACAGACTTTTCCCACAGCAGGAAGAAGGTTTAGCTTGGAAGGATTTACTTTACATATAGAGAATGCAAGTAAGTTATTCATTTAAAGAACTGGAGAAGGAAAAAACAGGTTAGGACACACACAAAAAAACCCAGACTTTTTCAAATTATTTGTTCTCTTAATATACTCTTTACAAAAAACAGCCTCACATTTAAGTCCTTGCAAGCTCCCTTCCCTAAAAGTTAAAAAAAAAAAAAACCAAAAAAAGTCTGTAAAGCAGTAATGCTTTGAGAAGAAAGCAAGCTGTTATTACATAAGAAATCAACCTGCTAAAACTCAAGGTATTTATACACTTAAACAAAACACTGGAGGTAACCTGAAAAAGCACCACTCTTATTTTCTCCACTGAAACAGAGGGAGACACCAGTCCACACAATTCAAACACATCAGAACTCCTTGTGAAGAAGAACTGGATTTTACATTATACCAAAATAACCTCACTGCTCCTCCATCTGCCCAGGATAACTGCCAGAAATTAAAACAAAGAAACATGTACACCCTTTGTAGTTAATCAAGAGATTCAAAATTTGTTTTTAAGCTGAGATACAACAACATCTGGTTTGAAGAAATCCCACTTCAAGAAAAGATGATGCCCTTTAAGAAAGAGAATATTTTTAACGAGCCTGCTTCTTCCAGAACTCCTTCAAAAGGCAAACTTAATAAGCAACTCTCAAATATCTTCAGGAATATATCTACTATTTCCAGCTATTTTCCTTGGATTTTAAAAACCATGCTTTTTTGTGAGCAATCTGACATCTGTGGCCAGTTAAAGAGAAGTGGCTCATTTCACCTAGTACTTTTGCAAGCAAAAACTGCAATAAAAAACCCAGAAGCTCTGTTTTTAAAAAGATTTTTCCCCTCCATACGTTCACTGAAGTCAGATTCAGTGCTAACGTGGCATTGTTTAGGATGACCACACACTTCAGCTATTTACAAGGAACAAGAGGTAAAAGGCATTTTAATACAATTCGGGGGGAAGGATTTCCAATTTTCTACTGAGCTAAAGGATTTTTAAGTAGTACTTCAACATCAAATTACATTTTCATGGTTTATTAGCTTTTTACTACCCACTTAGCTTAGACAGGGAAGAAAAACTGGTTTGTAGCACAGAGTTTATAGCTAGTTTCATATACTGCTATTATCTTCATATGTCATTCATCACCTTAATATCTAAGTATCTTCTCCATCTGAGATCACTGAAGAAATGTCAAGATCTTCTCCTCCTTTTCCTCCATTGCTTTAAAGTACTCATCCAGTTTGCTTCAGGAATACTTTTTTACAGCCACAGTGCAGCTGAACCTGCAAACAAATTGGTCGAAAAAGAAACATTTCACACTTTGCTAAAGGATAGAAGTATTCAGATTCCACTGGCAATGAGTGATAGCCCTTTTCTGTGAGTTTTCAATGCCATATTATTTGTACTCTTGAAATCAAAGCTGGGTTGCATTTCCTGGTGCACTCAGATTCCTGGCACCTTAGAGAAATTTTTACATTCACACAGTAGTACTTCTCTGGTGTGCTTTCAGCTTGTGAAAGCATTTTTGTGGATTAAAGGGCTTTTTTAAAAAGACTGTTCAATCTAGTATCACTTGACAGAGATCTTCTAACGTGATGTTAATATACTTGTTATACAAATTTAAGCATTAAGGACTAAAGTTCATAAAATTATTATAATCATAATTTTATTCAGAACAGCCCTTTCTTCCAGTGTTACTGCTCAGATGAAGCCACATGCCCAGCTAGTGAGCCTCTGCCTCATAATGGCTGAAGTAAAGCTTTACTGACATCAGGCATTAATACGATGCAGATCCTAAAATATACATGTGCATTACTTTCAATCTACTGCATGCTAGGACTGTGCTTTTTAATGCCACAATAGTCCAATAAATCCTTCAATATTTACTTAAAAGGTTTTTATGGTCCTCTTGTTTCGTGAAGGCATTTATATGAGCTCTGATCTTAGGACATGTGCATCATCACCCATTAATTTGAGAAAATTAAATAGAAATAAACAAAAATAGCTCCATAACCTTCTTGCCCATATGCCTATTAAATGCTGCAGTATTTGTTGTCCAATAGCTAGAGATGGAACAAAAACACAGCCAGCCCAACCACACCCTGTCCCAACACTGCTACAGACATTCCAGCAGGAAAACGCTGAGGAAAGATTATGGAGTTCTGGGAAGAGATCCATTTTAGCTATTAATGCTTATTAACACATTTTCTAAGGTCTATAAAGCTTTTAAAGATTATTAGGGGTGGAGAAAACTATAGAAATGTTATGATCCCAGAAGATCCTTCTAAACAAAAGCAAAACGTATGTTGCTAAGAACCTGCATGAAGCTGTTCTTTCTATTTGTTTTTTTTTTCTCCCGGGATATCTTAGCTTTCCTTCTACGTCCCTCTTGTGGTAGCTGAGCAGAACTGTAACATCTGCAATGGAACAGCGAATTCATAGCCTTCAAGGATCTGTGCTTTGTTGCTGCATTTCGGGTGCATTTTTAAAAAAGAAAAGATAGATAACCTAAGTAAAACTGCATGGGATTTTCATCTGAAGATCTAGAAATGAGGAAAGCAAAAGAAAAAAAGAGGCAGAAAATTAAGAACTTTTAAAACAATATGAGTCACCTGAACATTAAACAAAAAAATGAAGAAGTGACATTAAAATGCAGATGTGTGGAAATAACAGAGCAGACACGAAGATTAAGTGATTAAATATGCATAATAAATTAATGGATTGTATTTCTCATTTTATAATATGTTAACGTATTGCATAACCATGGTGCTTATTATAGAGACAATATCATCACATGTGTAATGTGCAAGCACTCCTGAAGCGCCGTGCCAAGAAAATCTGATTTCAACTTCATGTTTATTTTCCCCTAATCTGAATTGTTGTCTCCCAGGATAAAAATACATGGCTTCTTTAGCCGGCTCTGTCATCTGAAATAGCAGTTTGGCAGATTCCTCACACTCCATGTGATTGGCTTTCAACCCTTCACGTCATCATGACACTTTCTAACACTATCTCCATGGCTCGGAGCTTGCAGAGACCAATCAGTTCGTTCCTTTTCATCACTGCTTGATTTCAGACTTCTCTTGTGCAGTCCTGAATGGAGGATGTTATCAAATCCCAGCGATAGCGTGTGGTGGAATGGAAATTCATTTCAAGGGGAAATTTCTGGCACAGCCAACTATTTTGAGTCATGAATGCATTATTTCTACCAACAGCTAAACTGCTGCGCGCTTCCGTTTTACACTTACAATCATCAGGAACCTTTATTATCACCTCTTCAAGATAATCACCTTAAACTTCCAATCTCATGCAAGCAAGCAGAAAGAATCTAACAAACTGAATTCACTCACATTAGTTCTCTTGGACAGCTTCTTATGGCTAAGCATGTCCTGTGAATTCTAGATTCTAATCATGCATAAAAATAGAGAAGCACCATCATTCCCAGATAATGTGCTCCTGTTTTTAGAGTGTTACCCTTTTGAATTTCATATTGGATGCACAACAATAAAGACCAATGAGTCCAAGTGGCACCTCTTTGCATTAGCCCAGATTAAAAGGTAAAACTTTTGCAAAATAATGCTTAGACAAATAAAATATCATCCAGGAAGCATTGCAGTGTAGACTGCATGCATGCTTATCTTCAAATATACCAAAGTCTTTCAAAGAATTTCCAGAATGCAGTGGCCTACCATTAAGCATTAATGTCACAAAATTCACATGCATCTTTCTCACAAGCCATGCCTCTGTGCTGGTTTAAAGACTGATTACAGTCTCCCGTTTTTAAACATGTTAACCAAGAGCCCAATGGCCACAACTGATTGCCTCTTGAACCTCTCATCAAACACACCCACGTGAACTGCAGTCTTCCCACACTCTACTCACTGTGGGTGCAGTTTTGACTTGTGTAACAGGGGCACCAGGCACACCGTGGGGTATGTGGGGATCTCCAGGACCCCCAGGCAGCCCTCTGGCTTCAGCACCTCAGACAGCAGCACGATCCTCCCCACCAGCACAGCAATGGGGCTGCTGCCTGCAGAGCAAAGCCAAATTAGCCTTCTGATAGCACAGGGAGAACGGGGTCTACAGTCTTCAATGTGTTTTCTTTCTCTTTAAAAGCATTCTTATTTTCTGTATGATGTAGGGGGAGGGAAAAAAATACAGTAGCACAACAAAGCTTTGGTTTCCAAACCTTCTGATGATTCTGTAAAATGGACAAATGTTGCAAGAATGGTCTGTTTATTCATAAATGTGTCCATAAAAAACAACCTACCTGGTTTTATAAATGTAATCTTCAAAATAGATCTCATCTGCAAGTAAGACTTCCTGTTTTTTCAGTTATGCTTCTCTCTGAATTACAAAACAGATAATTTCCAGATGGTTTTAAGGAAGTATCAATTCAATTCACCTGTGGATGCTTTCCAGTCAGACTACAAGTAGGTTTAATGTAGTTTTGATTCAGTTTCAGGAATCAAAAGTCTCAACGCAACGTATGAAATTACATATGGGTGTACACTGACTTACCTTGATGTCACTACATTAAACTGTAGGTAATGCAACAGTCATAACCTCACAACCAAATTTCCATTCCGTCTTTTTTTTGCTTAATTAGCCTACTTTGAATTAAGCTACATCTACGATAACCTATTGGTAAGTCTGCCCCTTCATAGCTTAAAGCTCATCATGAACACAAACCCTATGTTAGCAGATGCAGTGACTCCTGTATTCTCTCTCCATCTTCATTTCCCCCTCCTGTTCTCAGTGCTTTGAGATCCTTCCCAATCTTCATTTAAACCTTTCCAGCTTAAAAGCTGCAAATTTGGCAGGCGTCGTTTCCGTTCCAAGCTTTACCCTACACCAAAAGCGAGAACAAAATTGAAGTTACTTAAAAAGCCAATATTCACGTGCATATCACGGCTGAAGGCTTCGGTGGGGAAAACAGAACCAGCACCAGCTTTTCCTGCCAGTGCTTCTCACAACACCGGGGACTTACCTCAAAACAGATGAGCTTTGAAGCACACTGAGGTGCCAAACCCCAAACCAGCTTTATTTATGCACCGAACGCCCCCACACAACACGCAGAACCTCCACAGGCGGCCCAGCTCCCCCTGCGCCAGGTCAGCCCCCCGTTACCACAGTCACACAGGGCAGCACAGCCACGGTGGGTATTACAGCAGGCATTACGTGACACCACAGCCTTTTATCGCCCGCTGCAGGCCCTGGGTACGCCTCCATCGCCACAGACAGCGCACCTCCACAGGGAACGCGAGGCGGGCGGATTACAGGAGCAGCAGCAAAGGCAGCCAGCCTTCCACGCAGCCCCGCTCTCCTCACAGCCACCCGCCAGCCCGCCACAGGCCCTTCTCCGCCACAGCCCGCCCTTCCTCCTCAGCTCGAGGGCCCATTGGCTGCCGCAGCAGTCAGTCAGCAATCAGGCTCCGCCCACCTCGCCAGAGAGCCCGGTGGGGGGGGAGGGGCGGCGTTTAACCCCTCCTTTAGGCGCGAACGGGCAGCGCCCCCAACGCGTCCCCCGTTCTGCCCCCTCCGCTCCTCAGGCGGTTCGCGCCGCGCGCTCCTTCGCGCCTTCCGCGCGCGGCCCCGCCCCCTCCCGCCGTGCCCTCCCAGGTGTGCGTGCTGCGTCACCCGCCCACGCGCACGGGCCGTGCTGGCGTCCGCCGTGCGCTGCGCGTCACCGCTGCTGGCCTGGCGCGCGGCGGCCGGACGGTTCCTCTCGCGGCGCCTCGGGGCTCTCGGTCCCGTCCTCTGACTCCGGCTCCTTCCGCCGTCGGTTCGGCCGCGTTCGGGGCCGCCCGAGCGGGGCGGCGGGGGTCTCGTCGGCGGCCGGTTCTCGGGGGCGCGGCCTGGTGCGCGCGGCGGATCCCGCCGCTGGCGTAGCGCGGCGCCCGGGCTCCGTGAGGCGCGGCCCGGCCGAGGCGGGGGGGCGGGCGCGCGGAAGCGCCGCTTCTCTTCTCACCGCCGCCGCCATGAGCGTGGAGGCGTACGGCCCCAGCTCGCAGACCCTCACCTTCCTGGACACGGAGGAGGCCGAGCTGCTCGGCGCCGACACGCAGGGCTCCGAGTTCGAGTTCACCGACTTCACTCTCCCCAGCCAGACCCAAACCCCGCCCGGAGCGGGGCAGGCGGGGCCCGGCCAGGCCCAGGGCGCTCCGGGAGCGGGGCAGGGCCCTGCAGGCCCCATCGAGGCCCAGGTGAGGCCGCGCCGGGGGCGCCGCGGGGTGCGGGGGGGGGGGGGGGGGGGGGGGGGGGCACCGGGGGGAGCGCGGAAGGGGCGGGCGGGAGCGGGGCGAGAGGGGAAGCGCTGGGCGGGCGGCGGGGCCTGCGGGAACGGGGGCTGTCGCGATAGTCGCGATATCGCCGTGCTGTCCCGATAGTCGCGATACGGAGCGAGGAGCGCTGCCGGGATGGGAGGATTTCGGTTCGTTTTCTTGTTTGAAAACGAATGCGCCTCCGCGTTCTCTTCGGTTGCGAGGAGTTGAGCGCTGTGAAAACGGAGCTGAATTTCTTTCCGACGGAAAGCAGCGCTCATTTCCGACAGGGCCTTTTTCTCTTTGCGGGGTTGCCGGGGCGGCTTTGTTTGGGGCTGTAGGGCACTGACAGCCCGTAGCGCCTGCGGCTGGCGTGCGGAGCTCCTCGAGGCTGAGAGATGGGAGAAATTCCTAACGCCGCCCGATGAGGGCCGCGTTTCTGCTTTAACAGTTCGCAGAAGTGAAAGAAAAGAGGGAACTGGGGCTGTGCGGCCAGAAACTAAGAAGTGTTCTAAAAGGAAATGCTGCTTGTCCTTGCGCTGCTTCTTGACTGTCTGTAGCAGGAGAAAAGAAGCCTGAAAGCCACACCTGAGAGGCTGTTTTGTGCTCTGTTAAAAGTTGAGCCGCTCTTGTATATCTTGGAATATATTGTTGAGTTCCATTATATTGTTATAAATTGTTAAGTAGTCCCGGTGTTAACAATTAAATGTTTGTAGATTGTCTGCGTTCCAGGATGTGTGTTTGGAGGAGCTGAAATGCTGCCGGTAAAAGCTCTTCATCGTGCACCAAAAACAGTCAGAGGGGATTCAGTTTTCTTTTTAACTTTATTTTCCAAGACTGATCTCTTGGAGTCTCTAAATGACACGGAAATGAGCAAACTTAGAGCAGTGAGTGAAAGGCAGCTTCAGGTGTGCAGTGCAGGTGGAATTGTGCTGCCTCAGTGCACGGCCCAGGCACAGAGCTGTGCTGGGATTCACTCCAGTCAGTGTTCATAAGGTGGATTTAGAGCTGAGCTCCTGTGGGCTGATTGCTTTATTGTGTGTTTACTTGTTGCTCTTGAGTTCTGTTGGACAAAACAAGCCTTTTTCCTGTTTGAATTGCAGTTGTTAAGTAGTCTGTTTGTAGTTAGTGCATGTGTTATTTGAGAAAGCTTTTGGGGTAGAATCATGGTTTTTAAAGCTCTGATGGTTGTGATCATTCCAGAACTCTCAGAAAAGAGTGTTTGGACAGAAGAGGAAGAAAAACCGCCCCAGAATGAGTCTGAGAGTGTAAAAGGCAAGGGAAGAGAATTCGTTTTGCTTTTTCTTTTTGTCTAAACATGTTTGAAAAGCCTTTGAAGTAAGAAGGGAAAAAGGAAAATCTGGAGAGCGCATCCAGGTATGAGTGTGTCTGTAAGCATCCGTCCTGGCAGGCAGGAAGCAGAGGATGTTTGTAATGGCTGTGCGCTTTTATTTCAGTGCTGGGTTTTGCAGTTGTCCCCACACTGTGTAAATTTGGGATAGGGGAGGCTGTTGTTCCAGTGAGGATTTGGGAGCATGGTGATGTTGGAGCTCAGCGAAACCCAGCGCCTGTGCTCTGTTTGGAGCTCTGCCTTCCAGTGTTCTCATCAGCACTCAGATCAGAAATAGACCGTTTGAAAGATTCTCAGGGAGGTTTTGCTACCTTGGGTAGATAATGTGAGCTTGTTAATGCCCTTTGGCAGGAGTGTGTCTAAATTTAAGTCTCGCAGGTTGCATACGTTTTTGCCTGGTTTAAATTTTTACTGTGATTGTGAAGAAAGTTTGAATAAACAATATTTCATGCTGATAAACATCGAAGGGATATTATTTTTATTCCTGTTCTGTTTTCTGATACCTTTTTAGTGCCCTGTGGATTGAAATAAGATGAGTTGGGCAGTGCAAAGCCCCTTATTTCTTCAGAAAACGTTCTTTGAGCCTGGCTCTGAAAGCTTTGTTTCTCAGCATATACTTAACTAATAGTTTAAGAGGATGCTGTTACCACGGATTAGTGTCTGAGTGACAAAAGGCAGGCAGAGGTTAAGCAGTGCAGGAGCAACGCCTCCTGTTTTCTGTAAACAATGGAAATACAGTTTTCTGATGATTAGGCAAACTAATTAGCATATTTGATTTGTATTAAGATAAATTCTGATCGTATCCGCAGTGTTTCCCTGCTCCCTCGGGCCAGGACTCGGTTCTGGTGGGAGGAGGCAGCACGTTTCTCCCATGCCTGGTGCTGGGAGCCCACTTGGTGGTGCCCTGAGTGTGGGCATGGCCAGCCCTGCTGCTGGGGTTGGGGTTTCCTGCAGTCCTCGGTGTTAGCAAACACTGCTCAGATCCCCGTTGTGAAACAGCTCTGACTGTGCTGCTGTGAGGCTGAATGCTCTCAGCGATGCACCTTCCCTTGTTTTCAAAGGGAGATCAAATAAGCACAACAGATTATAAGGCGCCGCGAATGTTACACGGCTTTAGTGGAGTCTCTGCAGACAACAAATGGTTAGCAATGCAAATCCAAAAGTGTGTGTCTTTCTGAAGCATGAGAAAAACTTCCCTGAGCCGGGGCAGTGTGCCTGGCCGTGCTGTGTGCGCTGCACAGTGCTGGGGTGCAGTGCCACAGCTGAGAGCTGTCTTGTAGCAAGATCCCAGCAGAATCCTTGCCTAGCTGTCGTCGTTTCTCTTGCTGCAGCCTGACACGTACTGCTTTAAAATGCAGCTGTGCTGATGGCTGTTGCCTGTTGATGGCTTGCTGTGTGGGTGGGCACATCAGCCAGAAGCACGGCGAGGAAGCTGCTGTCACCCGGCTGGGGCTCCGCGCGGTCACTGCTTGCTGCTGTGTTAATTGGGTCAGCTGCTGTGCTGTAGTGCAGCTCAGCTCCACCAAGCTCTGCTGCTGTCTGCTGAGCAGGACCGTGGAGGCCAGCGAGGAGCCGGGGAGGGACCAGCAGCTCTCAGTGCAGGTTGCTTGGTGTGGCTGCTAAACTTGCTGTGCCAGAAGTTTCAGTCAACACATTTAAAATAGAGAATTCTCCCCCCCCCAAAAAAAAAAAATCTTACACAACAGTTGGTGCTGCCAGATTTTAATAACACGCGCACAGGCTGACATGGCAGCGAGTTTAGAACAATAGTTGGGCCACTTCCTTCCTGTGTGCCTGCTGAGCCACAGCCCGGCTGCCGGGTCCTGCTGCTGACAGATGGGTGCCATCGTGCTGACATCACTGCAGGCCTGAATGCTCTGCTGGTGTAGGACGAGAGATCTGTGTGTGCTGCCATTCCTTGTGCTCCTGCCTTAAAAAAGGGCTCTGCAATTGCACTCCCTGCTTGCTCGGCAGCCCCAAGTTATATGTGAGCTTCCAAAAAAAACGGATGGTGCTTGTCAGCTACTGACAGTAATGGCATGTGAGGCCTCTTCAGAGCAGGCTGACAGCACCTGCCCTGGGAGTGTCCTCTCTTCATGCTGCTAAGAAATTTGGGTTAACTTGTCCATTAGTCTCCATCTATTCTAAGATCGATTAATAAGCTGTGTTCATATTTTCTTTAATATCACTATATTTAAAGTTGATGTTTGCTTTAGAACAGCTATGAAGATGCTATTAAATGTTGAGCTGCTGCAGCTCCCCCCATGACTGTCGGTCTGCAGAGATGTGGTTGCTGTGGCAGAATGGAACTGGAAGCCGAGGAGTCCCAAGGGACAATGGCTGCTGTAGTCTTGCTGAAGTCTGATTTGTGACATTCACACCTGTTGGTGCTCCTTCCTGGTGGTAAAAGCACTGTGCTAAGTATTGCCAAAATGGAGTTATTTTTAACAGGACTAGGACTTGATGTGTCAAATGTGCTGATGCAGAGCTTGGTGGTTCTGGCAGGTAGTGTCAGTGCAAAGAGGGAACACGTGCTGTGTGGGTGTGCTGCGTTAGCCATGCAGCCTCTGAAAGGCATTGCTCTGAGAACTTGGGCTGTGTTAGTTTGAATGGAGTTTGTGTGTTTCCTGGGTAACTTAACGAAGCCTCTTTGTTTTGAAGGAAATTGTATGGTGGCTAAAACAATGTTTGAGTAATACAGTAGTGATTGTCACACCTGGTGCATTACACAGGTATGTGTTTGGTTGCATGTAATACAGGTAGTACACCTTGAACAAGCGATGCTGCTTGGAGAGCTGGGCAGTCTGCTGAGAACCAGCTTCTGTTATTTCTGGCTGTACTTTGGCTTTTAGTTAGGTATGCATTGGAATAGGTCTTGGTCCCCTGCTCCTTGTTGTCTTTGTGTTGTGAAGTTGTGCTTCTGGAGTCTCTGGGGAGGAGGATTGGTTTGGTGGATAGACAAAAAAATAATCCACAGAAAAGTAATTTAGTTTTGTGATTCATTTTTCCTATTTGTGAACTGACACTTCAATATTCCTGTAAAGTAGGAGCTAATGAAGCAAGTATCAATTATGTACAATGTATATATGATTATTTCTGATAGATGTGGTGTGTATTTCAAACTCATCGATTGTCTGTTCTTCTGAGATTTTCCTGAATTAAAGACAAGTTTTTACATAACAAAGTAGGGATTACCATTCTTGGCTTTGTTCTGAACGTGTTTTGATATTATGACCTAAGCACTGACCTTGTCCTGCAGGTTAATGGACCTGATGGCATTCTGCAGAACGGAGCAGTGGACGATAACGTCGCTAAAACCAGCCAGCTTCTGGCAGAGTTGAACTTTGAAGAAGATGAAGAAGATACTTACTACACAAAGGATCTTCCTGTGCATGCTTGCAGGTGAGACCTGATCTTTGCGTCGGGTTGATTGTTTCCAGAAGGTGGGGGCACTGAGTGAGATGTGCATACTTAGAGGATGGTTGGAATTTTGAGAGCAGCTTCCCTGGAGGCAGCTGCCTACTGGTGGGCAGGGAGTGCCCTCTGCTGAGTCCTGTGTGCTCTGACAGTGCTGCTTTGCTGAGGTCTTGGGCCTCTCTTCTAAGGGCTACAGAGTTAAGCTATCCTAGAAATGATAATGGTGGAAATAGTTAAAAAGCTTGCCTCAAACCAGAAGTTTAACTCGTGTGTTTGATACTTCCAGCAACTCTGATGATTCCTGATTTTTCACTTCCCCTTATTTTGTACATTTCTAGATAATTCAAATCTTGTATTTGCATTTTCCTATAAATAATATCCCAATCGCTTCCTCATCTCATTTTAATTCCAGTTACTGTGGTATCCATGACCCTGCCTGTGTGGTTTACTGCAACACCAGCAAAAAGTGGTTCTGTAATGGGCGTGGAAATACATCTGGCAGGTAAATGATTAAATGATGGAAATGAGATGGGCAGACTTGCTTTAGTGTTTGTTTTGAAATGGCATAATGGGTGTGACTTATATTTTCCACGGTGATTGAATTCTCGTGACTCGAATGTGAACCTCCAACCTCTAGATTTTCCTGTTATGAGCTTTTACAGCTCCATCTCAGCAAAACTTGAATTACTTTTGTGGCATGAGCTCACTGCTTCTTCCCCCTGTGCTCTTGCAGAACAGTGTAACAGATGCTGTGATCTGTGGAGCTTCAGGAAGCTGCTTCCAAACAGCAATAAATTTCTTATACATTGCCCCTTCTTTCACATTCATTTTGAAGTATTCATGCATTGGAAAAACACTGAAACTGTTAGCAGTCATCTTGGCCTGCATGAAAAGAGCAAGGAATTATTAACGTCTGCCAGAATATGAATAGGTTTTTGTTTATCTCTTAATAATGACTGAGTTGCTATGTTACATAAAGTTAGGACTAAATCTGGTTTTCATATTGACTGCTTATTAATATGCATCCTCTCTGGTTTCAGCCACATTGTTAATCACCTGGTGAGAGCAAAGTGCAAAGAGGTGACTCTCCATAAAGATGGACCTCTAGGAGAGACTGTCCTGGAATGTTACAACTGCGGATGTCGTAATGTGTTTCTCCTTGGCTTTATTCCAGCTAAGGCAGACTCTGTGGTTGTTTTGCTCTGCAGGTGAGAGAATTTATTACAGTGTTTGTGTGAAGTATTGCACAACTGGATTTCTAAATGGCAACCCTCTGCTTTCACTTGGTATCTGAACGTTTTATACTCTGGTCTCCTTTTTATCCCTGTGTCACATTTAGTATTTTAGATGCTGAGGTTTTTTTCAGTTCTAGAAATATGGGAGAAATTCTGATTAGGATACCTTGCCTCTGCAATGTTGAAATACCAAGTGCAGGAACTGATGAATTGGCTCAGCAGGCTACTGGTGTTGGCTTTCTTCCTTTAACCAAGATGCTTGGCGCGTTTGAAGAATGTGTTAAACATGTTCTTATAGTTTGGTAGATTCCCTTACAGTTGTTTAATAATTTTTCTCAATATTTTGGTTGTGCAGGCAGCCATGTGCAAGTCAGAGCAGTTTAAAGGATATTAATTGGGACAGTTCACAGTGGCAGCCTCTTATCCAAGATCGCTGTTTCCTTTCGTGGCTGGTAAAGATTCCATCTGAGCAGGAACAGCTGAGAGCACGTCAGATTACAGCTCAGCAGATTAACAAACTGGAAGAACTTTGGAAGGTATTTCCCACTTTTCAAATACCAATTATGTTTTACTTAGTGCTGGTTTTGTGCCTTAAAAAGGAGGGACAAGGCTGTTTTAGCAACAGTGTAAGGCAGGAAACGTAACCTAATATACATGAGGTTCAAACCTTTCCCTTTTGACAAGCAACACAACTGGGAATTGACTAGAGAAATCACCTGTTAAAGTAGGAAAGCTTCATCTTTAGGTTCTGTCACTCTGTAGTCAGTCACTGCTTTTTGAGAGCTTTTTCTGTATGTCTGTTAATGCAGAACAAACTTGGCTGCATGTAGGTGAGCATGACATAATATCTCAGCATGGTTTTAGCAGTTTCTTGTCACTTGTGCTTAAAACTTTGAAACAACACTATTGTGTGTTAAATTCTAGGAAAATCCATCTGCAACTCTTGAGGACTTAGAAAAGCCTGGTGTTGACGAAGAGCCACAGCATGTCCTGCTTAGATATGAAGATGCTTATCAATACCAAAATATATTTGGTCCTCTAGTCAAGCTTGAGGCAGACTATGACAAGAAGCTTAAGGAGTCTCAGGTAATCTGCTTGAAAAATGCCTGTTTGGGGGGGAATTCTGACCAGTTCTCTCACTTAGTAGAATAGAAGGAAAAACTAAAATGAAATAAATGTAATATTACTGTAATAAAGACATGATAGTAATTAACAGTAGTATTAATGTGTGATTACAGGGAAAACTTTGAAACATTGGTTAAGGTCTTCCATCTCTTCTGAATTCAAAGTCTGTCTCTCCTGGAATTGTATTCTTTGTCAGAACTGCTTCATGACCACCTTCTGTTAAATTCTTTTCCCCATTCACTTACCTTTGTATCAGTCACTTTCCAGTCAAGCTTATAATATGTTGGGGACGCTTAAGGGTTTTTTAGAAAACTAAGACAGGTGGTGATGACAATACATTTCTCATTAACTAAATGCACTGTCTTTGAAACAGAGTTAACTTCTACAGGTGGTGTGAATACAGTCCATAATAATAAACATAGATGTTTATTTGGTGACACTGGAAGAGCAAGTTTTGTATTTCTCCACTGTTTTGAAGTTTAGGACTGTGAGGATTGTGGTAGTTGGTAAACAGCTTTTTAAGAACATAATATATGCTCTTTCTTTATTGTTAGACCCAAGATAACATCACAGTCAGATGGGACCTGGGCTTGAATAAGAAAAGAATTGCTTATTTCACTCTTCCAAAGACTGATTCAGGTAATGACAGCTCAGCTGCACGTTTTGTCTGGTTTTTGTACCTGGTGAATAACATCAGCATTTAAAGAACTGTAATGATCTGGCCTGGGATATGATAGTCCTGTAGGTTTTTCTGCATTGTGGGGTGGTGGTTGTAAATGTTCTGAGATTTTCTCTTTCCTTTGTAGATATGCGTCTTATGCAAGGAGATGAGATCTGCTTGAGGTATAAAGGAGACCTGGCCCCTTTGTGGAAAGGAATTGGCCATGTTATCAAAGTTCCTGATAGTATCCTTTACTTAAAGAGCCTTAAGATGAGGCTTAATGAATGGTTAAATTATCTCTGAAGAACTCCTAAATTGTGTGCAGAAGTAATTTTGAAACCATTGTAATTAGTGGGCGTCTACTTAATAAATCAAAATCGGGGAAAATAAAATTCAAACGTTTGCTATAGATTACTACTTAACGAGGTTCTACAGATTATGGTGATGAGATTGCCATCGAGCTGAGGAGCAGCGTTGGAGCCCCTGTGGAGGTTACTCATAACTTCCAAGTGGATTTTGTGTGGAAGTCTACTTCGTTTGACAGGTATTGAGAAAGCACTTAAACTCAGCAGATAATGAGTTCAGTAGGTGTATATTTTTTCTTCTAATTTCAGTGGGATTTTTGAACAAGAGATGATGCATTGTTTCATTATGCTAGCAATCAGAGGGAGTGTACTGAATGCATCAAGTTCATGAACGTGACACCTGCTTCACAGAGCAGCAGCTCTAATTGTTGTTAGAGGTGGTAACATTCAGATGAATTCCAAGCTGTCAGTGTTTCTCGCTTTGAAAGCATGTTCAGGGACTTTGGAAATACATTCATGTAACCTGTGAATCCAAGTGGGAAAATTAACCTCAAGTGTAGTAGCATTTGGGATTTAAGAGGTTGTTTGTTAATACAGTCATGAAGTGCTCTGTGTTCTTATTTGCTCTCCTCAACTTTGAGTCACTTTGACAAACTGAAATTTCAAGGAAACTGAATCAGCTGTGGGGTCTGTGGGCTTGAGATGTGTCTGTAGTGCATGTTGTAAGATAGGAGTTTGTCCTGAAACAGAGGTACTAAGTACAGCTTTTATTCAGATCTTGCACCTAAAACTTCCACTGCAAACTGTCAGAATCCAGTTCCCCTGCGGGTTTGTGGTTATACTTTGTAGAATTCACACTGGGGAAACAAAGATCCATGTTCTGGAAGTCTAATGTTTGGTCTCTTAATTCTGTTATTAGATGCTTTGCGTTGTCTTTTTTCCAAAAGATATGTTTTAATTTGTCTGGCTGATTAACTTCTGTTGTACTCTTGTGCATAATTTCATCTGAGGTGATCCTGATTCTGTTCTATTTTTTTGTCCTTTGTACATTTCAGAATGCAGAGTGCTTTAAAAACATTTGCTGTGGATGAGACTTCGGTGTCAGGATACATCTATCACAAACTGTTAGGCCATGAGGTGGAAGATGTAATTATTAAATGCCAGTTGCCAAAGCGTTTTACAGCACAAGGACTTCCTGATCTCAACCATTCTCAGGTAACTTCACGTTCCTTTTTTCTACATGCAAAGAATATGATAAAGGATTTGTGATTGAAGGTTGAACGACTTTGTAATTTCCTGTGCAAGGAATACTGAATAGCATTAAAATAATTCCATAGGTTTATGCTGTGAAGACCGTCCTGCAGCGTCCTCTGAGCCTTATCCAGGGTCCCCCTGGTACTGGAAAAACAGTGACATCAGCTACCATTGTCTATCATCTGGCTAGACAGGGCAATGGGTAAGAACTTCTCTGAATCTTTATGCACGAGATTACCTCATTATTGATCCAGACAATCAGCTCACATTTTAACACTTAAGCAGTCTGTATCCTTGAACTGGGAAGATTTTCTAGAAATGTATTATTCTGTGAAGATCTGAGCTTAAATCAGAAGATACTCATCAGTAGCTTATTTTTAGGGAGCATGTATATTAACACACTGTTGCAGGAAGAAGTTAATAGTTCACTGAGACTTTTTTGCCTTTTTTTTCCCCCAAGGCCTGTGTTAGTTTGTGCTCCAAGTAACATTGCTGTAGATCAGTTGACAGAGAAGATCCATCAGACTGGTCTGAAAGTGGTTCGGCTGTGTGCTAAAAGCCGTGAGGCAATTGACTCACCTGTATCCTTCTTGGCACTGCATAACCAGATCAGAAACATGGATAGGTAAGGAGTGGGTGAGGGAGAGGGGAAGACACCCCAAAAAAACCAAACTTCAGGTGCTGGACACAGTTGTTTTAACAACTCTGACAATGATGGTATATATTTTGCTCTGTATATAAGTCATTTTTAGTTTTGCAAATACGTTTTCTTGTTTCTGTGGCAATATGTGAAGAGCTTCACTGTGAGCTGGAGTTGTTGTTAATTAGATTATAATGCAAAATTCCATTTTTGCAGCATGCCAGAGCTTCAGAAGCTGCAACAGCTTAAAGATGAAACTGGAGAACTGTCATCTGCTGATGAGAAACGCTACCGTGCACTGAAACGAACAGCAGAGCGTGAATTGCTCATGGTAAAGTTCCATCAGATACAGTAGTTCTGCTACTGCCTTCTCCCACTGGAAGCTTAGTTGCAATTTGTTGGCAGATATCAGAATACAGTTTAACTTCGGGCGAGATTCCTGGAATGGTATTCAGTGACCTTCTGTATGAAAGTGTTGTCTATCCTACTTGATTGATTTCGGTTGTGTTTCTGTCTCAGAATGCAGATGTGATCTGTTGCACGTGTGTGGGAGCTGGTGATCCAAGGCTTGCAAAAATGCAGTTCCGCTCCATTTTGATTGATGAAAGCACCCAGGCCACTGAGCCAGAGTGCATGGTGCCAGTTGTGCTGGGAGCAAAGCAGGTAGGAGCCACTGGATTTCCTTTAAAGTATGATTTATAAATAGGCGAAGTAGTAGTTTAGGCCAAAAATTCAGACTTGGGTATCTGCACTGTCATCAGTGGTGAATTTTTCTTTTCCACAGCTTATTCTTGTAGGTGACCACTGCCAGCTTGGTCCTGTTGTGATGTGTAAGAAAGCTGCCAAGGCAGGCCTGTCTCAGTCCCTGTTTGAGAGGCTGGTGGTGCTGGGGATTCGCCCCATCCGCCTGCAGGTGCAGTACCGCATGCACCCTGCCCTGAGTGCTTTCCCATCCAACATCTTCTATGAGGGTTCGCTCCAGAATGGTGTCACTGCAGGTGAGTAAGAATGGCATTTCCTGCAAATTCCTTTCTTTTCACTTCATTAAAGATAGAAGGAAAAATTCTTTAATCTAGATGAGGTTTTTTTATTCAATTAGAAAGGGAACTCCCACCACACTGATGGCTTTGAGTCTTTGAGGAATTGCTGTGAAAGTGCTTGTTTAGTAAAGCAGTACTAACTTTATTACTTTTGTGCTCTTCAGCTGACCGTGTGAAGAAAGGGTTTGACTTCCAGTGGCCACAGCCAGATAAGCCAATGTTTTTCTATGTTACACAAGGACAGGAAGAAATCGCCAGCTCAGGCACCTCTTATTTGAACAGGTAAAAATCAATACTGAGATTTACATAGAAATACTGATAGTATAAGGAGTGTGGGACAACTAAGTGCCTTATATAAGAGGGATAAATTCAAAACAGAAGCAAAATGACTGCATTTTGCACCCAGGAAGTGCTGGTTGATTCCCATTTCAAAGCTTGAATTCTAGTAGGTCCTGAAACAAAGTCCTAATGGGTAGATGTTGAAAGAGGAGAAGGTAGCACAAGAGAGCAGTGGAGAGCTGGGAATTTCATTTTTTTTTCCTATTCCTTTGTTCAGCACATCCAAACTTTTCCAGTGAGTGAGCTTCTAACACTTTGCTCCTTTGCTTTACATGCATTTGTTTTTGTGCCTGGAAGGAAGAACCAGACCAACTTACAGAACATATCTGCTGTGATATTTTTAACCTGTCTGCTTCGTGAACTGTGTGTGCAGAAGCGCTGAATGCAGCAAGGCAGACTGTGCACAAACAAATGGCACAATCGTTGGCTGACAGGGCAATTGGCATTAAAAAACGTTCTATATTTAAAACTCTAAGATAAAAGAACTGAAGGATCTGTTTGTACAGCAGGCTGGAACACTTCTCATGGTCTCACTCGAAGTACAAGCGTACATTTAACTCTGAGAAGTGCATTTCAGAAGAGTGATGGCTGTCCTGAATTCTGCTACTCCAGGAAGTCTAGTTGTGCAGTACTGAAAAGGCAGAGGTAGATTTCAGGATAAATTTGTGTTGTTGTGATCTCCTTTTGAGGTGTTAATTTTTGGCTGAGAGCATCTGTTTGTAGCCAGGAGGTGATAGCAGTGAATGTTCTTGCAGAACTTTAGATGAACTAATTTGAGTGACAGAGTGCTGTGGTGTAAAAATGATCTCTTTCTGAAGTAGCCTTTGTGAAAGAAGGCACAGCACACGTGTTCAGGTTATCTACCCCCATTCACTGAAAATGTTTAGATCTAATGCTGTAATTTACTTAAATGAATCTCTTTTTTTTCATAGAACGGAAGCTGCCAATGTGGAGAAGATAACTACAAAGCTTTTGAAAGCTGGTGCCAAACCTGATCAGATTGGCATTATTACTCCTTATGAAGGCCAACGATCCTATCTGGTGCAGTACATGCAGTTCAGTGGTTCCTTGCATACAAAACTTTACCAGGTATGGAGTCATTGCACAAACGAGAACCTTTGAAGATAGAAAGAAGCTGAGAAGATAGAAAAGGCAGACGCTGTGAAACTCAAATGTTTTCACTTTTGGTCTGGCTTCTTGGACCAAATTTGTTTATTCTTTAGTAACTTCTGAGCATTTTAGTTGACCTCAGGTAAAGTAGTTCAAGGGAAGGTAACGCAGTAGTTAGCAAATGCCAGTGAGTTTCAGGAGAACAATTTGCCAAATAATGGAGAAAGCCCAGTGAGGTTCTGTTGAAAGGAGAGCTTCGATGAGTCCATCCTCTGAGGGCTCATTGAGGCACAAAAGGGAAAGGTCAGCAGTGCTTCAGCTGTGGAAAAATATCTCAAGCCGGAAGACTCGCAGGAAGTTGAACACCATAAATCCTGATGTTCAATCACTTGTTTGCTTAGGAGTGTGTCCTCTGAGTGGACCTCCTCCACCAAACACTAAAAGGTGTTGCTACAAACGAGCTGGTTAGATGTTTAATAGTCTCTTTTGCAATAATTGAAAGCTTGGGCAGTGTTTTCACTGAAGGAAAACTTGGTGGAAATACTTCTGCTCCTGCCAGGAATGATCTGTCCCTCTGATTCAGGCTTCTCAGTAGCTGGGAGCAGCAGTACTGATCTGCAGCTGTATTGCTATGAGGTTTTGGGATAGCCAAATCTGTTCTGGCAGTGTACCTGGAGAAGGGCTGCTTTCTGTAGCAGGTGCCAGTTGTAGGGGGGAAATGCAAGAACCATAAAGCACATGAACATAAAAGTTATTTGTCTTAAACTGAGACTCTTTCTCCCTTAGGGAAGCTCTTTAGTGGGCAGTGGAATTATCAGATCATCTGGCATGACAAAAATAACACTTTTCTCAAATGATGGAACTGTTAGTGTGCAGCCAGTATGTTTTGTAATACCTGTTGGTAGTACAACCATTATGTGCTTCCATGATTTACGTGTTTTCCTCTGTGTTAGGAAGTAGAAATTGCAAGCGTGGATGCCTTCCAAGGACGAGAGAAGGACTTTATTATCCTGTCTTGTGTGAGGGCCAACGAACACCAAGGGATAGGATTTCTGAATGACCCCAGACGTCTTAATGTGGCTCTTACAAGAGCAAGGTAAAGTAAAATTGGACAGATCTTCTGTTTTAGAGACAAGCTACTAAGAGCTGCATTCTGTGGGTGGTAAGCCTGTTCCTCTGCCTGGTTTAAGGGAGCCTTGAAGGGAATATAGAAATGATTCAACTTTACAGGAGCAATCTTAAATCAGTCAGCGTTACTGTTTTGTTTTGGGAGACTGTAGAATCCAGCATGCTCTTCCCCTTTGTCTGCAGGACAGACGTAGTCTTCCCTTCACTCACTCCTTTCTGTCTCAGAAGCCATTGTTACAGTTTTTCTTTTCTTAGAATGAGTTTGGTTGTTAAGAAGGGAAGCTACTGAGAAGTTAGTGATGTGCTGGTTGGCTTCCCTTGGTATCTGTTAAGTTCTACAATAATGTAATGTGGCTGGTGAGCATAGTGACATGTTTGACAACCCTGCAGAAGGAAGGAGATTGCCGTGGGCAGTTTCTCAGGAATCACAAGTTTCCAAGTGTACAGAAATCGTTTGCTGTATACAGGAAAGTTGGGTCAGGGTCTCCTATACCTACTGTCACAGGCTTCTCTGGAGTTCCTTCATTTGCTGCTGTTCCAGCACTACTGTGTAACTTGTCCTGTCTTGTAAGCTGATCTTAGTTTCATTGTTTGCTCTTCCATAGGTATGGAGTAATTATTGTTGGGAACCCAAAAGCTCTGTCTAAACAACCACTTTGGAATCACCTGCTGAATTACTACAAGGAGCAGAAGGTTTTGGTGGAGGGACCACTGAATAACCTCCGGGAGAGCCTCATGCAATTCAGCAAGCCCCGAAAACTTGTCAATACCATCAACCCAGTAAGTTGGTCTTTCCTGTTTCTCAGATGTCTGCGGCATGAAGTAACTGGGCATTGATAGCCATAAATGGATGGAATAAACGGACACCCACATGCCCTCACACACCTGTATCTTTTCACTTTTGTTGCCTAGTAAATGGGCTCTGGCAAAGTAAACTGCAGTTTCTAAGTGAAGCAGTTTGTCTTTATTCACTGCAAAATTCTACATGGGGTAACTTTTGAGGTGCATGAAACATCATGTAATTATTTTTGTATGATGAGCTTGCTAAATCTATACAGTGTTCTTTAAGGTTTTTATGTACAGTTCTGTTAAAAATTGTCAACATGTGGTTGATGATGGCTGGATGTTTTTCTTGTATTAGAAACAGTATCTGTGATGGTTTTGCTGAGTTTTTACTCGCCTTACAGTCGGGTTGCAGTGCACAGGTCAATGCTAAAGCTTTGTCCAACTCCTCCAATGCTTTCAGGGCGCCCGCTTCATGACCACTGCCATGTATGATGCACGTGAAGCTATTATTCCAGGATCCGTCTATGACCGGAGCAGTCAAGGTAAAGAAGCTGTTAGCATTAACACCATTCACCAGTTTTCTTTAGTTAATCTCTGGGGTTACAGACTGCAAATGTTTAAATGCCTGAAAACAGAAAAATGTAGGGGTTAAAAACTGAAAATGCTTGTGATGTCTGAATACTTAAGGGGGGATTTTGCTGTCCCTAATGTTGCAGTAACCTCTGTGGTGTAACTCCGTGTCTGAAGAGAGATGAAGAGTGAGGGGTGTGTGTCAGTGTTGTAGGATTTATGAACGGCACTATAGAAGGGTGATTGGATGAGGTGACCATATTATGTCTCTTTGAGACTTGGGAGTGTGGGATAGAATCCCAGAGGTTCTTGGCAGTGATAGGCTTGTCCTTTCAGTTTCTGGTTTCTGATTATATTTTTTCTGCTTAAAGTCCTCCTGTTACCTTTAAAAGCAGGAATAGGAATTTCAGAATATTCAGGATGCTTGAAATAACTGTGACTTTCCCCCTCCCCAGGGCGCCCATCCAACATGTACTTCCAAACCCACGACCAGATCGGGATGATCAGTGCAGGCCCCAGCCACGTCACTGCTATGAACATTCCCATCCCCTTCAACCTCGTGATGCCCCCAATGCCACCACCAGGGTACTTCGGGCAGGCCAACGGCCCAGCTGCAGGTATGGGACCAGGGAGGGACAGTGCCAAAGCCACGGTGTGGGTCTGATGTGGGATAATGTTTTCAGTGCTGATGAGAGTAAGCTTGTTGTATTTCTTTGCACCTACTGCATTGAGTACAATGTGAAGCGTTGCCTGAAGTGAGTTCATCAAGTCTTTGTAGGAGCATCTTATTCTCACACACTTGTAAAGCTTCTCACTGTTGGTTTGGATAAATGCTTTTCCAGGACGTGGGGCACCCAAAGGGAAGACTGGTCGTGGTGGGCGCCAGAAAAATCGTTTTGGGATTCCTGGAACGAGTCAGTCAAACCTTCCCAATAGCCAGGCGAGCCAAGACGTGGTGTCCCAGCCTTTCTCCCAGGGTCCACTGACTCAGGGGTATATCTCCATGAGTCAGCCATCTCAGATGAGTCAGCCTGGGCTCTCCCAACCAGAATTATCACAGGTAAGCAGAGTGATGCACGGTCTGCCCTTTTTCCTGGGTTTTATATCAGTATTCTGTTTCTGTGTGCACATCTCTGTTTCTTAGAATTGAGGAAAGTAGAAACTAAAACATCTTCAGTTAATTTGGCTGCAGCATTTCTTACCCTCTACATGGTGGGCTTCAAAAGTGTACTTGACCAAAAGAATTGAGCTGCAGATACCAACTTCACCTTGAACCCTAATGTTCAACCTCTGCCCTTTCAGCTGCCTTGTACTGCTGAAAGCTTTATAGCAATTCTGCAGCAAACTGGGGGTCAACTTTAAAAGCAGAGACAAAACAGAAACTTGTTTTTTCTTTAATGTTGGCTACTCCATAAGGTACCACTGGAGCTTGATGCTGCTTAACACACGCTCTCATTTCCAGGACAGTTACCTTGGTGATGAGTTTAAGTCTCAGATTGACGTGGCGCTGTCACAGGACTCCACCTACCAGGGGGAACGCGCGTATCAACATGGCGGAGTGACGGGACTGTCACAGTATTAGAGTGTAAGCACTGAGGTCACCCCTCTGCTTCTCCTCCCTGATATGAGCTCTTGAGAACTGTTTTTCTCGTGACAGCCGTAATACAACTCTGGTTTTGTTTTCTCGCTTTCAGGTTGAGGAAGAAGAGCTAAGCTTGTGTGGAGCTTAGTTCATCAGCATTTTATTCTGGGTAATAAAAAAAATAAAATAAAATGGATACCTGTTTTCCACTGCTAAAACTGAAGCACCACTGTGTGAGAGCAACAGGAGAAAGAAACCAACCAACGGAGAGGAGAGAGAGAGAGAGAGAAAGGAGAGCGCGCGAGAGAGCCCACTGCTAGCTCACTGAGACAAGGAGACTGACCGGAGAGGAGAGAGAGCAACGACGGACTGGCTGGCGCCTCACAGGGAAGGCAACTCACCCTGCAATGAGTGGTCAGCCGAGTCCCTGCTCCCCCAGTCCAAGAAGCTCGAGAGAAGGGCCTTAAGCAGGTTTCACTTCATTCCATACTTCTCTTTGCGAGCAGGGCATTACTTTTCAGAGCAGATGGGGAGAGGAAAACCCTCATCTCAGAGTTGTTCTCATTTTCAAGGGGTACTATATTTTAGCAGTAACTGTTTACATTTTAGAAGCAGAGTATCTGAGAGAGAGTTCCTAAGTTGACAGCAGGCCAAGCAGAAATCCAGTGGAACGTAGCTGATGCTCAACTCTGAGATGGAGGTTTTGTTGTCCAGCGCTGGCTCTGAAATCCTAGTGTCATCGTGCTGCCCACATTCTGAATGGGTCTTTCGTGACAAGGTGGTTTTAAAGAGATTCTTTCAAAGGAGCACTGAATTTTTAGAAGTTTGTCTCTGAATTCTTAGTGGTGGACCTGGGAGATCCTTGTTCTGAGAAGCTTACAAAAAGTGTAAAACAAAACTAAATTAGAGCACCAACCTTGAGAACTTTCAGTGTGATTTAAAGTTGCAGCAATCAGCCTCTTCTTCCTACATCGGATAGCAGTTAGAGTGGAAGGAGCCTGCGCGCTCGAGCAGGAGGAGGGTTTCAAAGTGTTTTCTGTATGCTTTAATTGGCTACTGTCTGGACTCTACTCTGTGAAAAACAAGCCTTTCTCTAAGATGAACTTTGCGCTTGAAAGGGGATGGGTTCCTGTGCCCTTCGGCCCTGGAGGAAAGGATGCTAACAGGCCTGCTTTACTGCTCCCTCAGCTGGGGGGAAGAAGTAGTGGAAACTGGGGATTATATTGGTTTTGAAGTAAAGACTACAATGTTACCGAAGCAGGTTGGAGAAATGGACAAAGCAGGCAGTTGTTGGAAGGTGGCCTCTGATGGATGGGTATAATTAGAGATAATGGGGTAGGCTTTTGTGTGGCTTCTTCGGTGATTAACGCAGATAGCCGAGAGGTTCAGGTGTTGCAGAACAAACCCGGAGCTGCTTTTTCAGGTAGTGCACCCAGCTGTGCCATCGGTGCTGGCTGAAGAAATAGCTGGAAGTCAGAACTGAGAACAGCACATAAGAGAAGCCATCCAATTTCTAAGTTGTACCCATATCTTAAATAAGTCATATGGGAACACTGGGAGCATTTTATTTGTGTCTAAACCTTTTTAGAAACGGCGCAGAGAATCAAAATTCCTACAGACCCATTTTTATCGGATCCCAAACTGCAAACCTCTGCCTCCCAGCAGGCAGAGATGAGCAGAGCGATTCTAACCTCGGTGTTTGTAAGGTTTGAATTAAGTTAGCGTTCTATCAAAGGGCTCCAAGTGTTTCTAGTCTTTTTTTGGGGGGGAACTCGAAATACCTCTCATATGAATGTACTTAAGCGATGTAAAACCCACTTTTTGTATCTGGGGGGAAAGCCCTTTCATCACTGTCCTTTCTGTAGAGTGTTGACCCGCTTTCATCACCTCTATTTGCTGTAGTTTTCAGGAGTGTCTCTTCCCCAGCACAGACCTGGTGTAGCATACCCACAAACGTGAGTAGTGTGCACATAGAATGGAACAGGTGTTCAGCATTTGTGTTCAGTCCTGCAGTGAACGTGGTTCAAGAACTGCAAAATAAACTCAAATTTTCCAGAAATGAAAACCATTCTTTTCTCATAAAAAGCCTCCAGCGTTTAGACTTCTAAAATGTGAAAGAATGGAGACACAGGCCACCTTCCTTCCTTGTGAGATGGACTGTTTTATTTATTAACATTGCCGAAGGGCTTTTTTAATTTTTTTTCCTTCTGTAGGCTGCGTAGCTGCATAGACTTTTCAGATAGGTTTAAGCTGTAACCCTCTGTGCAATGCAATCCATTGAGTAATGTAACCCCTCCTCTCCCTTCCCCCCTTTATTTCACTGATGAGAATGCCTGCCTCTGCTTCGTGCTGTTTTTTTTCCTTTGTAGCAGTTACTCTGAGTTTTATAAATCCAGACATCAGTGCTAGCACGGTGTTACTCTTTTGATTTTGTCTCAGTTTGTTTTAAACCTGTTTGTCATCAATAAAATATTAATAAACAGCTCTTGCATTCACAGTGGCCCCCTACCTTTCAATGATGAAACCATGCACCATTCATTAAAACTTAGTATGATTGTAGAAACTTCAAGTTTATTACTTCCTTTAAACACAGACTGGTACAAAAGTGTGGGGCAAGCAGAGCGGACGTGGGGAAGCAAATGCAGATCCTGGGTGGGTGCTCAGCCCGGCTCCAATAACAGCTCTGCATCCCTCAGTCTGCTCTAGCCAAGTACCAAAAGGAAAGGAGTGGTTTGTGAATCCCTCCCATTTTAATTTGGAAAGAAAGAGTTCCTGCTGGGTTATGCCCCACTCAAAGCTCTTAAAACCTGCTTTCTCTGCACTATGTTAGGGGTTACTGCTGGATGTGGGGAAGCTCAAGGTGAGTCCTACCAAGCTAAGGGCTGTTCTCAAACTACTCAGCCTTCTGCTGCATAGTTCAGGCACGGCAGCAGGACGGTGCTGCAGGAAGACGTTCCTCTGCAGCTCTGGCAGTGGTTTAAACCCTTAGTGCTTCCTTGGAGGAAGAAGGCCCAGCTGCACTTGGCAATACCTCATCACATCTTGGAGACAAAATACAACACAGGTACAAAAAAAAAGTAAAAATAGTAATAGTCCAGGCTATGTTGTCAGGCTCAAAAAAAAAAAAATTCAAGTTAACTCAGATTTCTTGTCTGTTCCCCCCAACCCCAAAAAACAGCAAAGCTGCAGCGGTGCCAGGAAAGCCTCTGCTGGAAGGGCAGCACACAGCACTGCTCTGGGGGCTTCTGTTCAGGGCATCAAACACTGCAAGAGCAACAGCCACACTGCTGCAACAGCCTGAGGACCACAGCCAAGAGCTGCAGCTCTGTCCACAAGTCCTCAAAAAACTAAACAACAACAAGCCAAATAAATCCAAAATAACCCCAAAATGCATATCCACATTATTCATGTGGTGCCTGAATTACAAGGGTTGTAATACTGCTGTGCAAAGCTGCTGATGCACAGTGCCATGTGGCTCCAGCTGCGCTCATTGCTTCACTCAGCGAGGTTAATTAGCACTGTGCTGCAGCAGAGGGAGCTCAGGGAGGGATCAAAATGCCACTGACTGCTGCACAGAGCACTGCGTGCCCCTCCTGCATGCTGCCCTTCCTCAGCCACCTCTCCCGTGGTGCTGCTCCATAGAAGCTGATGCAGACAAACCCTCTACAACAGGTACATTGGGGATGAGCAAAAGCAATGCTAGAGATAACTCAGCTCCAAGTACACCAACATCCAGCTCAGGAGTGAAGCAGAAGCACTACAGCCTCCACTGCCCCAGGGAAGAGATTCAGTCGCGACCCAGCTCAGCGTCACGACACCATACCTCTTCTTGCAGTTGGACCAGAGCTGCTGCAGCTGAACCTGCCAGCATCACTTCACCAAAAGGGTCATTTCGTTTTGCATCGCATAAGCTGCAAAAACAACAAAGCCCAGCAGCAGCAGCTGCTCTGCCAGGCACACGAGGGGGCCGGGATTCCCAGCCTGGTGTCTCTGCCATCCACACTGGATGGCTGAGCAGCACCCAGGGTCAGACCTGATCATAACCCCGTAACCACCTGCAGGCTCTGATAGAGCACCCAGCACAGCACTACCACTACACCAGCTCTGTCACCATCCCGTCATGCAGGCCTCCTCCCTGGCTGCACATGAAGGCAGCACAGAGGGGAGCTCTGCCAGTCCCTGCCCCAACAGGAAACTCCCTAAGCACCAGCACAGAGGGCATTTATCACACTTGGATTTATTCCATCAATCATTCCGTGCCCCCCACGGCCCATACCCACATCCACTCCTCTATCTGCAGCCACACTCATCCACCACCATGTCCTCGTAGTGCCTCAGCACCACGTTGTCACTGTTGTCGTAGTAGAGGATGGAGATGGGGGAGAGCCTGACCGGCACGCAGCAGGGCTGGGGCGTCCCCTCGGGGTCCAGCGAGTGCACCATGGTCTGCAGGATGGCGTGGTTGGTGCTGTTGAGCTCAGCTGTCAGGGGGAAGGGGCACTCGCCCAGGCAGTAGTTGGCCATGTAGCCCTGCGGGGCGATGATCCAGTTCTCCCAGCCAACGTCACTGAAGCTGATGTAAAGGCGCCGGGGCTTGCAGAGGTTGCTCGGTGTGAGCGGGACGCTGTAAGCGCTCCTCCTCCTCCTGGATGCCCCGCACTGCTGCTGGCTGAGGGTCACCACCAGGAGAGAGGTATGCAGGAACGAGTCGATGCCCGCGCAGAGGCTCGGCAGCCCTGAGGCTCCATCTCTGCTCACCGCGATCTCCAGGATCAAGCCCAGGTTCCTGCTGTGCATCGTCCAGTCCTTTGCCACATCGCTCAGGTTGAAGAGCAGAGAGCGGTGCAGGCGGGCGAAGGACTGCTCCACCAGCAGCTTGCGGCCTCGCTCCAGGGACGGCGTCCCCCTCAGCGGCACCTGGCAGCTGCGGTACAGCCTCAGCTCAAAGCCCCCCCCCCGGCCGGGGCTGTGGTACAAATTGTGGCTGAACTTGATCTCCAGCTGAGCCATCGTCAGGCGCTCGTCCTCCTCCAGCACAGAGAGGTTAAAGTACAGACGCTTCTGCAGACACAGCAGCGGATGGGGCTGCGTGCTATGAACGAAGTGGCCTGATGGAGAAGAAGAAATAGAGGTGGTGGTGTCTGAACCCCCTTATGTCGAGCAGGATCAGCCTCCCAGTGCTCAATCAAGCTCCCGGCTGCACAGCAGGAGGAATTCAGGCAGGGCAGAGACAGGCAGCTCAACACATCCACAGCTGCTGGATCAAGACGACAGGGCCATGGGATGCTGATGGCCCCACAGCACAGCCTGCAGAAAACTGTCAGCATCTCCCCCAGGACAGGGGCGTTGTTAGGGGACGGAGGGAAAGCAGGACGGATAGCAGCAAACTGAACTGACAAGCTGCCTGTGAAAGCCAGCCCTAGATTTCCACTGGAAACCCGAGCTCAACAGAACCTAATCGTGCCTTGAGATGCAGACGGTGTTGACACAGCAACTCCCATGGAATGGAACGGCTCAGAGAAGCCCCATGCTCAGGGCCAGCTGTGCTGTACGAGCAGCCCGAGGCAGGAGAACCAAAAGGAGAAGGGGGACGGGACCCAGCAGGACTGCTGAGCATCTGCCTCCACCGGAATCTGCGAGCCTGAACTCTAACATCATTACCTACAACACGCTCACAGATCAGACCACACGCAGCCAGGACTGCTCTCAGAAATCATTTCTGGCTGCTGCCCTGTCCTCCCCCAGCCATTCCCAGCACAGACCACAGAGGGGCTTTCAAAAGGCAGGACTCGAACGGCAGCATTTCTGTACCTTGGTCAGCGAAGACGCGGATGATGTTCCCAGGGACGTTAAACTCCTCCACCCTACAACCATCCACCGGGTCTCTGTTTGTTGCAGGAGGGCTCTTTCTCTTCTGGAAGATCCTCCAGAGCACGGATGGCACCGGAATGGGGATTTTGGGGCTGGGCTTCGCGCTCAGACCCAGGGATTTTAACAGCAAACTTTCCTGTAAACTTAAATCCATCCCCAGACTGACAGTAAGAAGAGCCCAGGCAAGGCCGGCTCCAAAGCTGGCACGCACAGGGAGAGACCACATCGCCCTGCTTTCCTACCGCAGACAAAGAGCAGCGCTGTGCACAGGACCCACTGCCAGCTGCACTGAAGACAGGGCCAGGGGGTGATGATTGCCTGATGGGAGCCTTTGATCTCGTTAGCGCTCAATTAGCACACTGGGATTCCCAGGATTGGGCAGAGGGTGTGAACAGTCCCCCCTGGCTCCCCGGGGCCTGTTAACCCTTTGAGGCTGTGGCAGAACAGCAGCTCAGAGCTCCCTCCCCTTCTGCATCTCCACACCACTGAGGTCCAACAAGAAGTTCCATGCAGTGGCAATGCTGCCAGCATGCTGAGCTGCTCCCTGTGCCCTGGAGAAGGGTGGATCTGGTGGCCACTCCACCCAGATTTGGGAGACACTGGTCAGTCCAGGCATTCTCTCACTGCCTCCTCCCCAATCAGCTCTTCAATCACAGCGTTTAACACTTCTCTCCAAAGGCTGTTAACTTCCAGCACATCGCATCTTCAAACTCTGCCCTTCAGCTCCCACCTCACACCATCCTCCCGCAGCCCAGGTGCACAGGCAGCAATCAGCACCCACTTCCCACACAGGGTCCCCCCACCCAGCCACACACACAGCAAATGCTGCAACCCAACCAGTGCCAGTGCCCAGCACACCGACGCTCTGAGATTCAGTTTCCTTCATTTCCTCCTTCCTGCAAATCCAGTTCAAAAGCCAAGAAACTAAAGCACACAGATAGAGCCCTCTGAAACTCTGCTAGGAAATTACAAGGTGACGCATCCTGCCACAGCTTGGCAGTTTCCATCACGCCAAAATCACATTTTGCTTTCAGTTTACCATGTAACTTTCCCTGAGGCTCACGTGGCAGCAGTGAGTCAAATCAACATAAAAGAGATCAAACAGTAAAAAAATAAAAATAAAAAAAATTAGCCAACCTCTGATGCCTGGAACGGATGCATCCAGCATCCTCCCACTGCCTACTGATTCCGGCCAGGAGGAGCTCTGTGCTGGGTCAGCCCGTTTCAGGGCTTCACAGCAATGAGGTGACCCAGCCCAGCCCCCAGCTCCCACCAGGCTCAGGTCAGTGCTGCCTGGAAAAGCAGCACAGGCAGCAGAGATTGACTGCTCTCTGCTCAAGCAAGCAGACATTGCTGGGCAAGAGTCTGGAGATCTCTCTTACATGGGCTCATCTTGGGCCAGAATAATGCTCCAGGGCTGGGTTTCCAGGAAGACCTGCACGTGAGAACTGTGCTGCATGCTGCAGCCTCCAGAGAAGCACAGACATCTCTGAGTTAGAGACCCCTCCAGGTCAGCAAGGCCCAGAATTGCACTGCTTCACCCCTCTGCTGCCTGCTGGCACCTGGAGCAGAGCTGGCTTTAGGCTCCCTATGCCCAATACTGCAGTGCCAATGGAGGAGAGGATGCTCCCCTCCTCAGCTGACACTGCATCAGAGGACCCTTCAGTGCTGCTGAGGCAGAACGATGGGGAGGGGCCAATGCAAACAACAGCAGAAATCACAAGGGGACTGAGAATAGCTGAGGGATGGAGTGAGAGAGGAAGCACCAGGGGACCTAAAGCCAGCTCCAAATCCTACCTGGACCAGCAAAGCCACTGCCTCTCAACTGAACCAGCATGTATGGGCTACAGAAAGTACACAGCATCAGCTGAAGCCTGGTCACAGGCAAGGCCTGGCAGGGGCCTGTTCCATCAGTGGCATCTCTTCCCCGGCTCCAGGCAGGGGATGAAGGGGCGTAGGGGATTAAGTTCTTCTTGTGCCTTTCATTTGCTGGGATTGAGCGTAGGGTCCTGGGTCAGTCCCCAGATCCAGCCAGGCTGCAGCAGCCACGCTCTTATAACCTCTTGTCTTTCACAAGTCCATTCTTCAGGTGCATCCTGTGAATGAGAGCACAGCAGACAGTGAGCTTTGCCTTTGCACCGACCCTCCCTCCCCTACTCTCACAGATCATTGCTGAGGTCAGACCTGCCATAACAGGCTCATGCAGGCAGTTTGAGACTGGTCCCCTGTCAGTCAGACCTGCTCTATGGGATCCAGCATCTCACCTGACTCTGTGCTCCACACGAACAGCAGATGCTGCTCAGGGAGCAGTGTCACACACACAGCCAGTTCTGCCTGGTGAGCAGGGGAAGGGAAAGGTGAGGATTCATGGGACAAAGGTGGACAGACACACCACAATGCTGAGGTGTGGAGATACAAAGTTCTTCCTGATCCCTGCAGCTATTTTTCATACCCTGCATCCTTCCCTTCCCCCAGCCCAGAGGTGCTGCCCATGTCCCCACCCCTGCCCACGCACCCTTCTTTCAGAGCACTGGGCAGCTGGAGCCCACTCTCTTTCTTCTTGGCTGCTGTGGTTTTCTTGCTGTCCTCCACATCATACTCACGCACGTCATTCACCTCGTGCACCTGCCCCATCAGCACCTTGGCCACAAACAGGACGATGTACTGCAGGAGGAAAGGCACCGTCAGCCACGAGCCCCAGCCCAGAGCTGTTCCACCAGCCCACTCCATCCCTTTTGCTGCAGGGGGCATCCCTCTGCTGCCTTCAGCCCCGCAGTAGGCAGCTCCCATAGGGGTGGCCAAAGCCCTGGGATGAAATGCTGCTATAAATGCCACTGACTGATTTCATCACCACCAGACAATGGGTGCAGCTGCCACCCAGCCCAGGGTTCAGCTTCACCCCTCCCCCAGAACTTCAGGAGATGCCATGGCATCTGTGCCTGTATCACATTCCCACCTGCTGCGGTGCCAAGGAGCCCCCGGGCAATGACAGTCTATAGCAATCCCTTCCCATGGATCCCACGGGCTGAGAGACAACATTCTCAGTTCCAGCACCAAGAAGCCCTCTGGACACTGCCCTCCTCCCTTCCCACTCAAACCCCCACACCTCCCCGTGCTGCAGCTCCCACAGCCGCCCTGCAGAGGCAGGCAGCAGGCATTACACAGCAGCAGCTCAGGCAGGAAAGGCAGTGCAGGGGTTGCTGAGCTTCCCCTACTCACCAGAAACCAGTAGATGTTCATCAGAGTGAGGACAAGGAGCAGAGCATTGAAGAAGAAGTAGAAGGGGATATTAGGAACCGACTGGAGGCTGGAGTAACAAGTGGCATAGAGCACCTTGAGGGGAAACCAGTAGAGACGGAACCAAAACCTGCAGGGCAGAGGGAGCAGGGTGGGATTAATGGCCCCCAGGGATTCCCAGAGCAGCTTCCTCCAGCACAGCCTCCCTTGTCAACTCCTCCTGCAGCTGGCAGTCCCTGCCCCTGGCATCTGATTTGGGTTTAAAGGCCCGGTTCTAGGACTTCACACAGACCCCCTGAATGGGCAGGTACAGTAGTGAGGGTGCTATTACCAGGGGCTGAGCACCAGCACCAGGCTGAGAAATGGTTTTCTCAGAATAGAGGCAATTCTACAGCGCAGATTTTCTCAGCTGGATGGGGGGACAGCAGAGGAGTATAGCTGGAAGGTTTTCTTAGTTCTGTGCATCCCTTGTTTATCACTCAAAACCTTCCTTGTTCTCCTCCCCCTCATATCAATCGCTCCTGTTGCCACCTCTCCTTTTCAGAGAAGCCTGCAGAGAGGGAGGAAGGAGACAAAGGGATGCACCAGGAGTGACAACCTGTGAGTAATTCATCTCTGCTCTACATCTTTCTCTCCTGCCTTTCCCCAGGAGAAGCAGCAGGGCTGGGATCTGAGACAAGCCCACGTCCCATTTGCTTCTTAAAAAAAAAAAAAAAAGAAGAAAAAAAAACAACCCACAAAAATTGTTTATTAATGCTAAAACCAAATGAGTGGGAAAACGGGAACAGCTCCTCCTCCCCTGGGGTCATTTGTCATGCTGCAAGCAAAATTTCACAGGCACTTCTGTGGTGACAGACGGCAAAGTGACTACAGAAGGATTCCAAGCCCAGCATGGGGTCAGGCTCTGCAGGAACCTCTTCCCAAATAGTTTATAGAAACAACTGGTTCCCATGCACACACACCCAGCAGGCTGTACCCCGGGGCACCAGGGGGACTGCAAAAGCTGGCAAGGAGAGCTGGAAGTGGGATCAGGGCTGGCAGGCAGACAAACTCACCAGCTGACACTGAAGGTGATGCAGCCAATGTTGGAGATGATGTCGTTGAGCCGATGGTAGACACCCCCCCGGTGCTTGAAGTAGACATTGAGCTTAGTGAATTCCAGCTGCACGTCATTAATATCGTGCAGGAAGAGCACGAGGATGCCCACGTTGTGGTACCTGCAGGAAAGGGGAACAGGGAGGGAGGGAGACATGAGGACACAGCACACAGCACGCACTGCCCAGCGCAGTAAGCAGATGGGCTCTGTGAATAACGCAGAACAAGGCCTGGGAAGGCACAGTGTGGAGCATGCTGCAGGGCAGGTCTGGCACTGAGCAATGGTTTGTGAGCACTGGGATTGCTGGGGGAGTACAGGCTTAATGGTAGGAAGAATCCATGCCGGCCCAGGGTGAATCCCCCAGTGCATCACAAGATGCATGGGAGCACAGAAAAGCCACAGCCTTTGTTGCACATTGCCAAGGGTGGCACAGGTACAGCACAGGGACAGCATGGCAGCCAAGGCCCTCACCTGAAAGCGTAGGAGAAGGCTATAAGGGTCAGAGCAACCACGTGGTGGAGCAGCATGACAACGGAGTCCTTGCGCCACGTGTCCATGTAGGCAGTGGCATAGATGGAGTGCCCATAGAAGCTGCACTGCAACAGGTAGGCGACAGCGATGTCCGTGGGCACATCCATACCCTTCTTCCAGTCTACAATGGGAGAAAGACACCCAGGGTGAACCCAGAGCCTTCGTCAGCATCAGAGACAGGAATGCAAACAGCGAGGAGCCAGCAGCAGCCAGAGCTGCCCCAGGTCAGCACTTTGCTGTGCTCAGCTTCCACTCAGGACTTCCCAGATGAAAACGAGGTAAAGGACCCAGGCATCCTGGCTCCCAGACTCCTCCTCTGGCATCAGACCCATTCCCCCTCAGGGACTCAGGGCAGAAGTCTTGATTTACTTCCCTCCTTCTCTAACTCCTCAACCCCTCTTTCCTCCAAAGGTATCCCTGCTGTCTGCAACAGCCACTAGGTGACACCCTCTCTGTAACAGAGACAGTCTGTTCTGTACTAAAATCATCACAGAAAAGCTAATGTGGAGGCTTGGTCTGAGAATTTCTCCCCCACCAACTTCAGTTCCCTTGTTCAACTCAGCTTTCCTACAAACCTGAACATCCTAATCCACCCCCACTTCTCCCTGACTCTTACTGTACCGTAAAAGACGGACGGTGGGTCGTAGAAGAAGGGGTAGTCAGTGAAGAACAGCAGGTAGCAGCCATACGACCAGGATATCGTGTAGAAAAGCAGCTTCCAGGCACTCTCAGGCATCTTGGCAGCATCTTTCGGCTGCAGCTTGCACCACTCACCGAAGGGCTGTAAGGAGAAGGGAGAAGTGTCAGCACACAGCAAGGAGACCCCGAGGAGCCCAGCACAGAGCTCACAGAATCTCTGAGGGACTCCAACACCACACGCTGCCAGAGAGGACAAAACCAAGGACGTGAGGCTCATTATTTTGGCTTTCTTTACAGCTTGAGCTGGGAGGCCTGAGAAAGAGCCTAAAGCAGGGAAAAATGCAAAGTTGGAGATTCATCCACTCAGCCTTGGCCATGTTGGAAAGCTGCAAAAGCAGAGCCTTGCAGAGAAGGAGGAAATGTACAGCACGCATCCCAGGGTCTGGGCATCACTCCATCACCCTGGCTCCAGGAGCAGGGCTGACCACAGCTTGCTTTTGCAGAACAGAATCAATACAACCGTAATCAAATCAAGTCCCATCTGCATAAGGAAATCCAGAAGAGGAAGCTCTAACAATACCACCCTACGCATTTGGACTTTGCAGTGCTGCCAGGTCCCAGAAAAGAACCTTTCAAGTGAGGAAGTGATGGTTTTGCTGAGTCCTGAACACAGCTGCTGCTTTCCAACCAGTGGGGCACAGAACCCTCCTGCACAGCCAGCACTGGAGGGAGCAACTCTGCATGTAATGCGTGTGTAAGGGCTGCTCATCCTGCTCCCTCACCCACAGCCGGCTTGTTTTTCACCCCTGTGGTTTGCAGCAGCCTTCCTGCTGGTCAGGACTCAGAGACAGGAGGCAAAGCCTCCCCAAATATGGCCAAAGTGATGAAGGAGAGGATGAGCAGTTCAGTGGATCGCTCACCCTATTAAGAATGAAACTTTCTCGCTTCAAGTTCCCCACGACGCCGAGGATGACGAGGAGTACATCTGAGTTTTGATACTCACACTTTGCAACAGCAAGAGAGCGAGGGGCCAGGGACTGCTCAGAAATTACAGAAAGCAAAGCTCCAGCATTAAACAGCTCAGCTCCCCAGGAGTAAAAAGAAGGATAGCATGAGCTGCTCCAGCTCAGATCACGCGTGCTCTGCAGGATGAGCGAGCGCAACCCTTCGCTCAGCTATGGCTCTCAGCACTGATGTTTTCCCTCGGTGGCAGCTGAGCAACACCAGACACCACCTCTGCTTCTAATCATGAGACTGACAGGGCCCTACCAGTCCCAGCAGCCTCCACCCGGCTGCAGCAGAGCATCACTCAGCGTCCAGCAGGAATTGCCCCTCCTGAAACAGATAACACACCCCGAGGCCGCGGGGGGAGCGCTCCACTGGGAGAGATAAGCCAGAGATGAAAACAAAATGCTTGCAAAGTAACCATACCCTGCCCCAGGTCAGCACTTTCTGCAGCCTGCGCTTGGCTCCTTGATGCTCAAAGTCTATATTAAGGCTCCAGCTGTCCCCAGGCAGAGGCCCGCCTGGCTTTTAGCCCCTCTCTGTGTCAGATTTTCAAAGGACTCCACTCTCGGTCTAAAAGTGCTTTGTTCTGAGCTTTGAGCAGCGCTGGGAAATTCCGACCTGGAAGCAGCAGCCCCTCAATGCTCTGCCAAGCTGCCCACAGCCCCTGCAGCCAAAAGGGGCAGCTCCAGCCTCCCCCCTGCATCCTGCATTCACAGCGTGGCTGAGAACAACACACTGCTGCCAAAGCCTCTTCCAACAGGAGCCACGGCAGGAAAAAGAGAAGGAAGCTTGAAGGGTGAATGAATAATGCAGAGACAGAAAGTCCCGAGCCCAGAAAGCATGAATTATTTGTATCTCCTTAAAGTGGAGCAGAGAAGCAGCTCAGCTGTGTGGGCAGCTCAATACTTTGCCAAGGCAGACCTTGTGCTCTTCATTAGGGACTGGATTTAGGACATAGGGCTCAACCCCACAACCCTGTTGCAGCAGTGCTGTCAATCAGCAGCCAAGTCACTCAGCTGCATCTCTGCACTTGGTTCCCCACCTGAAAAAGGTGAAGGCTACTACATTTCTATCCCAGGCAGGCAGAGCTGAGGACAAGGGCTATCACCCATCGCACATCCTGCTGGGCCAGCCGTTTCTGGAGGCTCGGGCCCTTGGCAGAGATTGCAGCAGTGCAGCAAACCTGGCAAACCTGTCCTCAGGGCAGTGAGTGTGAGGTAGGAGATGTGCAAGGCAGGAGATGCCCTCCCGCTACCCAGCTGTCGTTCCCATGGCAACAGCACGGAGATGCCTGTTGCTAAGGGCAACGGGTGCTGCTGCTGGAGCAGTGGATCTGGCTCCGGCTGAAAGAGCCCAAAGCTCTTGGCAAGTGATGTAATGGGGCTGCTCTTAAAGGGCGACCGGCTCTTCCTACCTCCTCCACGATACTCCCACACAAACCTTCACAAGAACCTTCTGATTCACTTGTAAAATTAATGGGAAACAGGGTGGGAGGGCTGTGCCAGCTCCCCCGCGCTGCCTGGCACAACCTGGGGGCTGGGAAAGAAGCACAGCAGTGGGTGAGAGCACTGAGAGCAGCTTGGAGCTGCAGGGAAAGAAAACCCAAATGGAAACTGCTGCTGCCCACAGCGCCGGAGAAGTGACAGAAACTACGTGTTCACAGAAAGACCAAACACACTCACACCCCTCCTGCAGCCCGGGGCACTGAAGGAAAGCAGAGCATCCCCTTAAATCTGCAGGCAGCTGCAGCAGCAGGACAGGAGTCCTTCCAGCAACCTGGCAGGTTTGCAGTGAGAGGTTATGAATCAAAGCTTGTTACAGCCTCTCAGCGCCTCAGTTTCTCAGCAAAGGCACCGGGAAGCTGGGCTGGGCTCTGGACAACACTTTCCAGATAAATGTGATAAAACTGACAACTGCAGCAAGCCAGCAGACATTATTTCTTCCTCTGTTCCTCTGTAAGCAGTCAGATTTCCCCCATGGAGAGAAAAGCAATAGCACACCCTCTCTGGAGACCCAACCCAGCTGCCAACAGGGTGCTGCGGGGGCTGAATAACCTTCTCATGCCTGAGTGCTGACACAGCAGCACGGGGAGGGCAGCCCCCGCTCTGAGACCTGCAGCTTCGCTCCCAGGGTGAAGAAAAGGCCCATTGTTGTGGCTTCTCCCCTCGAGCTGCCACGGTTTGTGCTTCAAATGCTGAGCAGAGCACGGCGGGATGAGCCGGGGAGGTGGGTGAGGAAGAGCCAGCAGCAAGGGCTGCTCTGGGTGGTGGGTTTGGGGACAGCAATCATTTCCTTCAATTCACATGCCCTGTTCTGGGGTTTGGAAAAAAACAAGCCTTGACAATACTGTAAAATGGAGAAAAGTTACATAAATAACTGGAAGGGAGAATAGGGAGCATTGCTGTCCAGCTTCCACACCAGTGCTGAGACTGTATGGCAGCACTTACCTAGAAACTCTGTTCTCTGAGCCATGTTCCAATGTACACAATAATACCTTTCCTTGCAGAAGGCACTGCAACGTCCTACAAACTACACCACTAAGGCAGCAAGCTGACTGGTGGGCCTAAAACAGAAAACATTCACCCACAGCAGAGAAAAGGCAGCCGTTGCAGCAGGGGGTACCTGACAGCCACCAGATTCAGAGGCAGAACCGAAGCTTTCATTCAGAACAGAATGCACTTGGCCTGGGTGCTGCTGGGCTCAGCTGCCCTGCGGATGCTCAGCTCACACAGGGATGCTCAGCTCACTGCTTTTTAATCCAACTCTCAGGGTCTGCCTGCAGCCACTCCACGCAGCCATCAGGGACTCTCCCTGTCTGGTAATCCACATTTGCTCAGCTACTTGGGATCTTTCCTACACCAAAACAAATCTTTTCCGTTTTCACACCAAGCAAGGACCCTGTGAAAAAGTGACAACAGGCAAAAATCATCTTTGCTCTAAGGATGATGGGAAAACCACTTGTAATGCACAGACCTGGCAGTTTCAATGGGTGAGAAGCACACGCTTTCAAATCCTAACCAAACCCCTCCCATCACACGCACAAACTCTACTGCTCCTTCAAACCAACGGTCAGATATTTCGTGACAAAGGTTAAACGTGGTGAGAAACAAAACTGCTGCCCTGCTGCTCCCACCGAGAAAAGTAGGGCGATGCAAATAGCACAGGAAGAGGTGCATGGCTTTAAGGCACTCGTCTCACAGAGGAGCAGTCACAGCCAGAGCAAAGCGAGATGCACTGTATGGTTCAGGCTTCAAGGTCTCACGGTAAGAGTCACTTCCTCTGCAGACACAGAGTTACAATTCAAGCTGCAAGACCTATTATTCATAAGCAGCACGCAGGAAAGTAGCATTCTCCGGACACAGAGTGCATTCATTTTTATAACTGTATTTCAGTTCTTGCAGGGAACGTGAAGGCATTCAAAAGGAGGAAGGATGCTCTGAGTCTGCACTGGGAGGCAGTCCTAACGCGGGACAAGTTTCCTCCCAGTGTTAAACAAGAGGGTTTTACTTTCTCACTGACTTTTCCCCAAGTGAGGAAGCCTCTTGCTGGGTGCCCCACTGCCCATACAGGAGGCACGCAATACAAACCCATCCCATAAAATCTGCCAAAGGCTGTTGAGGAGAGCCAGAATCTCCAGCTTTCCCCATAGCAAGTCCAGCAGAACAAGGAGAGAAATGCTTCAAGTTCTTCAATTAAAGGTAAATACACACACAGTTGTCTCTCACTGCTGCCACCCCTCCAGCCCTCTGCTGGGAGGAAACTGATGCTATCGCACACCCGCTCACCCCTGCAGCACACGCAGGCGTAGCCACAAGAAGTGGCTCTGATGAACCCTCCTTGCTCCTCTGCAATTACAAACATGACCCACTTCTCCCTGGGAACAATACCTGAGCATCGGTGCACGCTGCCAAGCGTCCTCCGAGGGCACGGAGCGGACTGCACAGCTCCAAGAGCTTTTTTCACACTCTGATTACTGCTCGCTCTGTAAAGCTGAGCCTTTTACAAGGAGAAACTGGAGCACGAAGGGAACACATCCCATTTGTTACAGCAGACCTATTGTTACCTCCAGCCCTGCTCAGCCCAGAGCTCCCAGGCACTGTGTGTGCCCAGCAGCAGCCCCAGGCAGACAGGGCTGCAGGGGAAGCAGCCCTGCACAGAAAGCCAGCCCATTATCACTGACACCTTGCCTAACCATCAGCTTCCAATGGCTCCAGAGGCCTTGGACTGGAACTTTGCACAAGGTCAGGCTCCAGCTCCACTGGATAAGCAAAAGCAACTCTGAAAAGCAAAGGCAGAGCTGCTTTGGAGGCCTCAGCAATGTAAGTCCTGATAGCCTAATTACAGGATGCAAGGTGGCTCTCTTTAATCTATGAAACAGTTTCTGAAGGAAGTGATTTCCCCAGGGCACAACGGCCCGGCCATGCAGACACGAGGAGCCCTGTGCTCCATCACTGCTCCAGGCTGTGTGTCACTGTGCTCCTGGGAGATGAGAAAACAGCTGAGAGCTGAGGACTCCCACCTGACCCAACACTGCGTTAGTTCTGTTGTTCCAATCCTCTCAAGGCTGCAGGAACGGCACTGCAGAGCAGCAGCACCTCTCTGGAAAGGCAGAGAAGAAGAAATTGTTCCTGCTGGGACTGAGCCACCAGAAAGGAAGCATAGGGCTCAATTCATCATGGATGCTTTTCACAGCAAAATAAATAAATAAATAAATAAATTAAAAAAATAAACGGGACTGTTCTTCGTTCTCAGGGAAGCCCTGTTCATTCTGTTCCTTACAAACCACCGCACTAACAGGGAGGGGGATGATGGTCAGCAAACCCACCCGGGGGCTGAGCAAGCTGCGTGCAAACACCCCGCATCCCATCCCCAGCTCTGAAGGTCAGCCCAGCACTGCAGCACGCAGCCATCCCCACCGCCGCGCCAGGGAAGGAAAGCGGGGAAGGACATTTTTCATGCAAACCGCAGCTGATGCCGAGAAACGTGGCCCGGTCCTTTGAGCACCTGCAAGAAATAATCCCCAGCCCCCTACCCGACCCCGTTACGTAGCGTGGATAGAGCTCTCCCGCGCCACGGGACCCCCAGCCCTCCGGTGACGCTCTGCCCTGCGGGATGCCGCCCGGGGTGGGACCGCAATGCCCCCTTCACGGCACGCAGCCCCAGGGGACGGACGATTTTTCCCACACAAACCACCCTAGAGGAACACCACGCTTCTCTGCGCGACGAGCTCGGGATGGAGATGGAGCCGGAGCCCTGCGGGGCGAGGACCGGCGGCTCTGCGCAAGGAGGGTTCAACCGCAGCGGGAAAGGCGCTCACGGCGCAACGAACCCACGGGGTTTAACCTCAAGACAGGGCGTCGGAACGAGCCGCAGCCCCAGGCAAGGAGGACGAGCCCTCCCGCATCCCGCGGTACTGACCCGAAAGACGCGGCGGGCGGCGGCGCGGCGCAGCACGGTCCAACCCAGCGCGCACAGCCCGCACAGCAGCACTTCTCCCCAGCGCAGGTGCGCGTTCTCGGCCCACGTCCTCCTCGACAGCTCCCAGCCGCAGTCCGCGCAGCCCCGAGCGGCCGCCGCCAGGCTGCCGTACCCGCGCCGCAGCAGCTGCCCGTAGCCGGGCATGGGCTCGGAGCCCCGCATGGCGCTCAGCGCCGTTCGCCCATCGCCCCGCCGTGCCCGGCGGCACCGCGCAGGCTCCGCGCAGAGCGGGTCGGTCCGGCCCCCCGCCGTTACCGGGCCCTGGAGCCGCCCACGGGAGGAGCCTCGGCGCTCCGGTGCCTGCTAATTAGAGGCGACTCATTAGCGGCCTGGCAACGGGCGTTGAACGAAGCTACGCTGGAGTTTCTAATACGGAAAGCGACGCGATCGCTCTCTTGAACGATGAGCCCCGACAGCGGGCACGGCGACAGCGAGAACCGCCAGCAAAAACACCGGGATTTCAGATGGCATCCTGCAGGGCACAGCTGCTCCCGCTGCCCATCACGAGGTGCCATCAGCGCCTCGGCAACACCACCCAGCAGAGCCCTCCACGTCAACATCCTTACCATCCACTCCTTATTATTATTTTGTAAACAGTTCTCCATGCTTCTCTCCGTTCCACCGGTCTCACAAAAGCCTCGCACGGCAGGAATTTATCCTCTTTATCCTCTCCTCGCAGGGTGTTTCCACCACCCCGTTACAGTTACGACAGGTGCAGAAGTTCAGCCACGGCCCAAAAGGCTGCGGGATGAGATGCACCTGGAGAAACGCAAACCCTGCCTCAGGGCCAACCCTTATGACAGCCCTTACTGAGCACCTCCTCCCCGAGATGGGCAGCCTGCATTCCAGCACACTGCTGGTTCATGCAGCAGAAATCTCATCTACAAGGAGCTCACAATTAAAAGCAGTCAAATCGATAGCCATGCACAGATCAAACGTTTGCTTTGCAAGAAGAACAGGTTTAAGGTGCAGGTTCTCCTGAAATGCTGGCACAAATGCAGCACAGAAACCTCAGAGCAATGCATTGGAGCAGCACAGCTGTGTTCTGCATCAGCCACGGAGCAGTAATTGGTGCCCAATGCACCTCAATGACAACCTCAAGTGCAGCAGTAAGATTCCCTACTGGCAGAGACAGACAAATAATCACTCATAAATAGAAAACCCATCTGTGGAATCCTAAGTTGAAAAAATAGGAGTTTTAAGCCATCTAAAAGTCCCAGAGCCATGCTGGGAGAGTCATTCTGCCTTCAAGTTCTTTGGAACTTCTCTAATTGCTCTGGGGCAGCAAAGAGAAAACACAAACTCATTCCTCTCAGAGGTCTGAACATCACTGTTCCCCTATTCTCACACTGACAGGGCTGGCTCCTTCAACGCCACTTGCTTTTATTGTTTACGTTTTTAAGTC